AAGCATCACAATATTGCATGGATTCAACTTTGATTAAATCATAGCTCTCTTAGGGCTAGTTTTTTGTCCATGATAGGGCTAGATTTTGGTCCAAAATATGGAGTCAAAATTTTCATGAAATTTAAGAGGGAAATAAACCCTGACAAATCCTCAAGATCACAGAAATCAGTAAAGCAAATTCTTGTATAATCCACTATTTTGTACTTAAGAAGGTTGCTAATGAATGACCTGAGGGTTTTTCATGATATTGGATCTATAGCATTTTTAGGTCACCTGAGTCATTCAGGTGACCCATTGCTATCTGTTTTTTGTCTGTTGTCATGCTTCGTCCATGGTACATTAACATTTGAACATTTTTAACTTCTCTGGAACTGTTGAATCAATTTCAACCAGTTTAAGCATATAACATCTTTGGGTGAAGGGAAACAAAATTTGTGAATTTCATGGTCCCTGCCCCTCTGGGACCTGAGGGTTGGGGCTAAAACCACCAAAATTAATGCAATCTTCTTATTTACTCCTGGACATCAAGCAGTCATACTGTTGGATGATTGTAATATGCATTGAGCCCTCTACCAAAATTATGAAATTCATGGCCCCAGGGTCAGGGGTTGTGGTGTTAGGACGGATCTATACAGAATTTCATGGCCCCTGGGTGAGGGGTTCTATTGATTATATAGTGAAAATGCATTAATTCTTTGAAAATTGTCTTATTCGCTCCTGAGTATTATTTAAACAAATTAAGTGCATGGTTATGATAAGCAAGGATGCCTCTTCCAAAATTGTGAAATTCATGGCCCCAAAGTTTGTTGTTCTGGTGAAAGGGATGGGGGCTCTGTTAATTATATAGTGAAAAAGCATAACTTCTTTGAAAATTTTTCTGCTCTAGGTTATAAAACAAAGAAACTAAGTGTATAGTTATGATGAGCAAGAGTGCTTCTTTCATAATTGTGAGTTTCATGGCCCCTGGATCAGATGTTCTTGTGTAAGGGTGAGGTTCTATTGATAATATAGTGAAAATGCATTAATTCTATTAACTAATCTTGTCTGCTCCTTAGTATTGAGCAGATAAACAAAGTGCATAGTTATGATGTACAAGGGTGCTTCTTACAGATTTTATAAAACTTAGGGGTTTTAGTGTTTCTCAGGTGGAGGGAGGGGTACTCTATTGATAATATAGTAAAAATGTGTTAATTCTTTGAAAATCTTCAACTACATGTAAGTGCATAGTTATGATGATAGGGTACCTCTTCCAAATTTGTGAATTTCATGACCCTGGGTCATGGGTTCTGGTGTTACAGTAGGGCTGTGTTGAATCTGTAGTGAAAATGCACTATCTCTTTGAAAATCTTCTCTGCTCCTGGGCATATCGGAGGCAAACAGAGTAAAAGATTTAATAGGGTAAGCAAGGGTATTTTTACCAGATTTTTGAACATCTTGACCATTTGGTCAAGTGTTCTGGTCTTGGCCAGGCAGGGCTCTATTAATTTGCATTCTACTGGGAGAAGTTATTCCCCTTTGCCATTCACTTCTGATAATTAATCACTGTAGATAATGTATTTCAAAGGTTAATAGAATAAGAGAATTATGCAAGAATTTTTATTGTAGACTTACAAATAATAGATAAATACAAAAGGCCCATGGGCCACAATACTCACCTGAGTAACTTTGGCCCTGCTGTTCTTCACCAGATTTTCCCCTTGTAATGCATATTGTGGCCCCACCCTATCCCTGGGGGTCATGATTTGAATAATTTAAATTCTTCACTACCCCAGGATACTTCCTTATAAGTTTCAGCTTTTCTGACCCAGTGGTTCTTGAGAAGAAGATTTTTAAAGATTTTTTCTATATATTTCAATGTAAAACTTTGATTCCCCATTGTGGCCCCACCCTACCCCTGGGGGTCAAGATTTTAACAATTTAGAATCTTCACTACCCTAGGATGCTTTCTTGTAAGTTTCAACTTTTCTGACTCAGTGGTTCTTGAGAAGAAGATTTTTAAAGATTTTTCCTATATATTTCAATGTAAAACTTTGATTACCCATTGTGTCCCCATCCTACCCCAAGGGGGTCATGATTTGAACAATTTAGAATCTACACTACTCCATGTAAGTTTCAGCTTTTCTGGGCCAGTGGTTCTTGAGGAGATTTTTAAAGATTTTTCCTTTATATTTCAATGTAAAACTTTGATTCACCATTGTGGCTCCACCCTACCTCCAGGGGTCATGATTTGAAGAATTTAAAATCTTCATTACCCAAGAATGCTTCCATTCCAGTTTCAGCTTTTCTGGCCCAGTGGTTCTTGAGAAGAAGATTTTTAAAGATTTTTCCTATATATAATTCAATGTAAAAATTTGATTCCCCATTGTGGCCCCACCCTACCCAAGGGGGTCATGATTTGAATAATTTAGAATTTACACTACCCCAGGATGCTTCCATATAAGTTTCAGCTTTTCTGGCCCAGTGGTTCTTGAGAAGAAGATCTTTCAATGACCCCACCCTATTTTTGTCTTTTCTTGATTATCTCCCCTTGTAAGGGGCTTGGTCTTCATTTTAACAATTTAAACTCCCCTTCACCCAAGGATGCTTTGTATCAACTTGGTCAATATTGGCCCAGTGGTTCTTTAGAAGAAGTTTAAAATGTGAAAAGTTTACAGATGGATGGACGGGGGACAACAGGTGATCAGAAAAGCTCACTTGAGCTTTCAGCTCAGGTGAGGTAAAAAATTAGACAAAAATAACTTATCTTGTTAAAAATTCTTCAAAGACCAAGAGAGGACAATGTGAGAGATTTTAATATGGGGTTAGCACTTATAGTTTGTTAGTATGCATGGTGATTAGTATTAAAATGGGGGATAGTTTAGAATTTAATGTATGAGTTGTTACTGAATACTAGACTAATTATTTCACTGATCCTGATCATCCTATTTCTCTTGCTCTTGGGCAACAAAGCTTCGTCTATCAGTTTATTTTATCCTCTATGGATCCTCTAAATTGTTGTATTATATTCAGGTGACAGTTAAGGCCCTTGGGCCTCTTGTTTCAAGGTTACAGAGACACGACAATTGTAACTGGCAATAATTTAGTACAACAGAGACATCAGAAGCTCATTTGTGTCACAAAGGTTTCTGATGACTGGAAGTTTCCTGACCTTGAGCCAAGGTCTCAAGGATCAAAAGACTAATGAATGGATGAAAATACAAATTTATTTTTCTTGAAGGATGGAAAATATGACCTACACTTGCCAATTCCATCATATCTAAAGTCAAAGGATGAATCAGGCTTTTCAGAGGATGTGCTTGCTCCCATGCCAGGAGTGATAGAAAAAGTATTGGTGTCCCCTGAGACGCAAGTGCAAAAGGGTGACCCACTGCTAGTCATGATAGCCATGAAAATGGAGGTATAATCTTAAGTTATTATTTATCTCAAGAAGATTTGGAAAAGAGTCAAAGTGCCTGTCTTACTGTTTCTAAAAACTTCAAGAAGACAGCATTTTACTTGATTTTCTATATAATATACATGAATTCATTGTAGTTAATGTTAAACAGACTTCAAAATGTTTGCTTTGTCTTGCAGTATATCATACGGGCACCAAAAGATGCCAAAGTACAAACCATCCTGTATAAAGAAGGAGAAACAGTAGCCAAGGGAACAACTCTAGTTCACTTTGAGGAGGAAAAGTCCACAAAGGATGATGATTCAGAATAAATTCCATCTCAGGACTCTTAACTCCATTGGCATTAACTGATGTTTGTGAATAATTATTTGTAGATTTTAAATAATACTCTGTGAATAAAATGTATATATACTACTGTGACTGACATTTTTTTAATGTCTTGACTCTCTATTGATTGGAGTATTTCTGATATATGTACAATTGATCTGCAGAATAAAAACATCCTATCTTGAAAACTAGGAGTTAACTGAAAAAATGATGTTACAGTACCCTACTGGTAATTGCCTGTCATTTTCACCATTTCAGTATCTGAATTTTTTCCAATGGAAAGTCCAGTTAATAAAAATTCACACAGTGCTTATTCACAAATGTGCTAACATAAGAACCAAACCAGAAGTCTCTGACAAGACTGTAGCTCTACTGGTTGTACTTATAAAGGAAGATAAAAGTAGCACTTGGACTTGAAACTTTGCAACAGCAATAAATAAAATAATGATCCTTGGTTTAGTCTCTTTTTGTGGCAAGATTTATTGCAATCAGACTTAAACTGTAGGAGGAGTAGCCTTTTAAAACAATTTTACAGAAATTTCGATTTAATTGTGTATCTCAGTGTAGTCTACTTGTATGTCAAGTTATACTAAAATCAGACCAAAACTGTAGGAGTAGCATTTTGAAAGTATTTCAAGGAAATTTCTAGTTTTAGTAACCATGGCAACGCCGTTCATCGAAAATCAAAAACCGATATAAAGAATTATGTATCATATTTTAGTTTACTTGTGTGCCATTAAGTTACATGTATATTGAAATCAGATCAGAACTGTAGGAGGAGTAGCGTTTTGAAAGTATTTCACAGAAATTTCTATTTTTAGTAACCATTGCAACACCGTTCATTGAAATCAAAACAGATACACAGAATTATGTATCTTAGTGTAGTCTACTTATGTGCCAAGTTATATTGAAATCAGACCAAATCTGTAGGAGGAATAGCATTTTGAAAAATTGTTTACAGACGGACACCTTACTATTGCGTAAGTTCTTCTGGTCTCTGACCAGTAGAGCTAAAAAATTCACATAGGGCCTTATAGTATGTATTTACAGGTTAGTGTTTATGTTCCTGGTATTTATCAATAACCTTAACCTTTTGTCAACCTTTGAGCAAGCAGCCTTAAATCTATAGGTGTCTTTTAATAAATTATATTGTTATAAGATTCTGCTAGTCTTAGCTTTCTCATGATGCTGCCATTCTCTTGGTTGTCCCCCTAATACCTTGGCACTGAAGTCTCCCATAAATGCTTCTACAAGTTTGACTTTGCATGAAATACTTCAAGACTTTGTTAAAATTTTAATTATAATATAAATCCACAAAGCTTGTAAAATTGATCACGAATTAGATTTTATATAACTATCTGCCTCATTCAAAACTTGTTGAAAGTCTTTGAATTTTTCCACATATTTTAACGCAGAAGGAAGGTTCAGCCACTTGTAGTCAATGTGTTCATCAGATAACCTGATAGGTATGTTTGGGTTCTTCAGTTCTGAGAGCCAGTACACTACTCTCTTGGGATTCCCCCTCACTTCATAGTTCAATGTCCTTTGGAAATTTTCATACATATGGAAATCTCCTTTTTTTAATCCTGCCTCTTCCTCTGTTTCTCTTAATGCAGTTTGTAACTCTGATTCCCCAGGGTCTACGTGACCTGCAAAATATTGGATAGTAAATTTTAAATTGCAGTATCAATACTTCACATGTTTTATTATAGTTTTACAGTTGCTTGCATTAACACTGCATCTTTGTGATTGCATATTTCACTGACCCCAGACCATCCAATACCACACACACACACACACACTTAAAAACAAAGATATTTATTGCACCAAAAGTTATCAAATCTTTTTGCGTTTATTAGTTGTGTTGGATACTGAGAAGTTTACTATATTTCATTGTAATGAATTCCAGCTGATAGTGTTGTTGCCTCTGAGCAAGGGCATAATGACATATTTGACTCGGTCACATGTCAAAGGTTAAGGTCAGTGGACATTGTTCCTGACAATATTTTTGAATTCTGTCCTGAAAATGTTGTTGCCAATGATCAAAGGATGCTTCTGATCTTGGCTAAAGGTCACAATCAGAGGTCAGAAAGTTAGTGAGCAAGAGATTTACATTGAATCATGCCCAGTATATTATTACGAAACCCTTGTTTGGAATGAATTGTAATGGTTTTTGATGCCATGATTAAAACCATGTCATGATCTTGACTTGGTTGACAATGGTTTTCATGGGGTGAAAATGCCTCGGTTCACAATGGTTTTCTTGGAGTGAAAATTTTCAATGTTAAACTCAACTTACGAGTTTATTTCCGTCTCTTGGTTTCGAGTTGATGGTATTGGGTTTATTTCAGAGACATGAATATATTCATGTCTGGCTGAGTGGACTTGGTGACGAGTGGGTCAGACCAGGGACCTATATTACATGTATATAGTATATAGGTCCCTGGTCAGACGCAACCTTTCTGCTTAATATTTCAATAACATGAATCACAAAATTGGATGCTTATTTATCACAATTACCTTTAGGTGGTGTCCAGTGATGTTCGCCATACGATGTCTGAAGCAATAAATACTGTATTTCTTTTTCAATTCGCCTAAAAATAATAAAACCTGCAGCTACTTTCTGTTTTGGGTTCATTTTTTGTCCTCCCTCTAAAGAAGAGGGAATATCCAAAGGGCGGTAATCGGCAATCGAAGAAAAAAAATCAATTATGAATTAATCATTCATTTTGGATAAATGTCGAATGTTTGATCAATTAAACCGTCTGACATCATTTATATTTAATTCCAGGGATGAAGTTGAAGTTGGTAATAAGAAATTTTATAGCTACTCAACATTTAGCAGTGCACCTGTATTTAGGTAAGGTACTAAAGTACCGATTTTAGGGCAACAGCACGCAAGTCAGGACGGTGCGTTCGCATAAACTTACGTTTAGTTGCCCTGCACTAGCGTTAAGTACATTGCGGATGTGTTGTGAAAAATAGACGCCATCAGCAACGATTTTCATATTCAAAAGGGTTTCACAATTGACAAAATTTTATTTGATTTGGTTTTGTGCGTATATGTGTATCTTTCTTTTTCTTGGAACGGGGGGGGGGGGGGGGGGGGGGTATATGTACCTGTATATAGCTATATGCTAAGTGGTACCTATGAGTTTTGAAGTATAAATTCCTTATTAATCCTTATTCCTTATTAATAAAAATATAAGAATTTTAAAATAACATGCAACGACAAGAAACGATGACAAATAACCTACCATACAAAGACAGACAAGAAATACTATCATGAATATTTTCAAGCTAAAAAAAATGATGATGTTTATAACACATATAGACACATGTACTGTATATGGCTATAAGTGAGTCATGATTGCATTTTTAAACTATTTAAAACCAATATTTATAAAAACTTATTGTGAGGTCAATTTTAGCCCAATTTTCATGTTTTTTTTTTCACTGAATTATGTAGAATTGTTCAAATGGTGTGTTAGTAATGAAAAATGAGCAACAATTAACACAGTAATAATATTTCAGAAAAATGCATTTTTCAATGAAATAAATAGGGGAAAAGTAAAAGTATGACTTACTTATGGCCATGCAGGTACTGTATATGTACTGAGTTCATTCTTGTTTTAAACAATGTAGTATAATTTAAATTTATAAATTATTATCATTATTAATCTATGGATATTGATATAGTTTAAACTGTTTAAAACTATTATATTTATATGTACCATTTCCGCCAATTTACGATGATCTCTTCATCAATATAGCTACTTTCAATTATTTCTACGCTAAAAAAAAATAAATCATCCTCAGTATTGGACATTGATTGAAAAAATATGAAGGGGTTTATTTCGTTACTTAATATTGTACTTTTTGTGGGAAAAAGTAGGAGGAAGTCAAAATTGTTAATGTTCGTTTTGCGAAAAAAAGGAGGAGGAGGGGCTAGCCCCGCATCATTATGTGCTATGTAAAAATTTCACACAGTATAGTGATAAAACATCCACCCAAGGACCCTTGAATGGTGAATAAACGCATTTACTGAACATAAAATATCCATCATAAAATTAGAGAATAACTAACAAACCCCTTACATGCCTGAGCTCCAGGCATCATTCGTCTACATGGCCGTAGGAACCGGGGGGGGGGGGGGGCATGGGGAATTATTATGCCAATATATAGAATACTATATTGGAAAACATAGCTACTGTATGCTGAATAGTAACGTACGTCTCATGACCTTTTCTTTTTTGCTTGTCGAGGAATTTTTAGTAGTTGGAAGTGCCCCCCCCCCCCAAAAAAAACTGAAAATGTATATGGTTGTGCCCCCCCCCCCCCCCCAACTGAAGTTGCTTCCTACGTTCATGGTCTAGATCTGCTAATTCTGTGTCCATGTGTGTAATACCACCATCCAAACCTGCATGACAATCAAGTGCAATGTAGACCTGCGAAAAAAATCCTGTCTACCATCTAAAGGAAGATCCATATGATAAGGAATGGATAGTACAAATTCATCGTTACTAATGTAAGTGGAGGAATTGGGGTGTTAGCATGAGAAAAAAAAGTTACAGATCCAGTATTCAGATTTTACATCTTGAGGTTGGGCATCGTCTAAAGTCACGGTACGGAGACTGCATATAGTTTCCCCCAACCAGAAGGGGAGAGGATAAAATTTGGCCGTGGATTGCGACGATTAGGGTGGGGCTACTTTTATCTGAATGTACAGGAAAACATGTAATACTACGAAAGCCTATTAGGATCAAAATACGGTTAAAAAAAAATTAAAAGGCGTTATAACACCTTTTCAAAAGGCGTTATAACGCAAAAAAGGCGTAATAACGCCTTTTGAAAAGGCGTTATTATGCCTTTCCAAAAGGCGTTATTATGCCTTTCCAAAAGGCGATATTATGCCTTTCTAAAAGGCGTTATTACGCCTTTCTAAAAGGCGTTATTACGCCCTCCGAAAAGGCGTTATTACGCCCTCCCAAAAGGCGTTATTTCGCCTTTCCAAAAGGCGTTATTACGCCTTTTATTTTTCAATACATGACTTAGCCCACCCTGGGGGCTGATTATAATTAGATTTCCAGGAAAAAAGATTTTTAAATGTGTAAAAATTTTCAGTGTTAAACCAACTTATAGTCCTTCTCTGATGCCAGACACCTCTACCAAGATGCATGGATTTCACAAATTTGGTTGAAGGCTAATTGCTCATTATACCTATGCAAATAGTTTGCCTGTTTTTTTTCTAAGAGGAGAGAAAAATATTTCAAATTTGACATGATTTTTTAATACATGGGTAGCAAAGCCCAAAGCCGGTTCTGCCTATATCTTGAATTTTCAAAAGTAGAGTGTTGACTTCTCTTATAATACGCATGCAAACAGCTGTCTGCGAGATGTGCAGGAATATAGAAAATACTATAATTTATAATATAATTTATAATATTAAAACTATAATCTAAATATTGCATAAATAAAGATGGATTTGGTTCAATCTTTTATATATTTATTATTTTAAAATAACGCCTTTCCATTTTTGGATATAACTCCTTTCAAACAGGCCGGTAGTACGAATACGAGTGGGGGGGGGGGGGCTCCCACACCCCACCTTTTGGGAGAATATAGTAATTACGCCTTTATTTGCGTTATTACGCCTTTTTCCGCGTTATAACGCCTTTTCAAAAGGCGTTATTACGCCTTTTTTCGCGTTATAACGCCTTTTAATTTTTTTTTTACCGTAGTTTGATCCTAATAGGCTTTCGTACGGGCAAGTCATTACATTTAAAAAAAGTTTTACCGAAAAGTTAGAAAAAGATTCCCCTCAAGTTTAGGCAGTTTATTTTTTCCGGGGGGGGGGGGTCTTGTTTTATTGTTTGCTTGTCAATTTTATGGGAGGCTACCCCCCCCCCCCCCCTTCAAAAGCACGGGCCTGTCAAAGACATGATAATGGCTCTTCAAAAGGCATAATAACGCGTTTTAATTTTTTTTTTTTTACCGTAGTTTGATCCTAATAGGTTTTCGTATAATACGAACAATGAATTCCCCTATATAAAATCTGTATAGACGAATGATAAATTAGAACTAAAAATAATTGCTATGCATCTTTTTTGTTTTTTCCTTTCTTTTTGTTTTCCACGGGTTTTTCGTAGTTTACAGGTACCCTTAAATCCCATCCACCCCTCACCCCGAAAAAGGGTATTGTCCGTAGTTTCGCAGCAACATGAGTTAGACTTGAAAATGTTGATTGTGGCTAAGATTTCGTGTTAATAATCATAAAAATTGTGGCCAAAATTTCGTTTTAATAATCATAATTACATCTTAAGAATTTTGTCTTTGTCAAACATTAAGAAAATAGATGATTTTGTCCACAAGAAGGTATATTCTTTCACAGACACTGTTTATTCCAAAAAGCACGGATATAATGCAAATGAGAACGAATTCTGTAGCAGTTTTTCCGGATATAAAATTTCTGTCCATCAAAGATTTTGGTGTATATTTCATCTGGCGGGTAGAGAAGTGTGAAGTTTAGTTTAGAAGAAAAATTAAAGGAAAGCAAAATATAATGGCAAATATGAAAGAGGTTTGTTGGAATTGATAGTCAAAAGTACAATGTTGTGTGAATAACTAGATTTCTTTCAAATGAAGCCCGTTAGAGTTTTCCTATTAATAGAAACAACTCAGTTAAAAAAGAATACTGTAGACCTAGCTATAATCCGAGATTCCTCTGACTATAACCCCTACTTTTATATTTTGACATGTGCAGGGGTCAAAATATAAAAGCAGGGGTTAGAGTCAGAGGAATCTCGGATTAGCCTAGCTAGAGACAAGTAAACTATGGTTATTAAGAAATAGCTATACCTTAACTGTATACCATTAAGCATAATTTCTAGCGATTGTAGTGTACAGTATACTGAATCTTCATATCTTTATTTTCAACTTATTTCTTCAATCCGGTTTATATAAACAAGTGTTAAATTAAAAAGAGGAATTTCAATGCAAATCTTTGATTTCTAGGAAGTTAAGTCCATAGAATGAAAAGAATAAGCATTCTATTTAAGGAATTTCACACAATAAACTATATATTGATGCCCCAAAATACCCAAACACTGACAAAGTCTGTGACCCAGGAGAGCAAATCAGGTAAGATAACTACCAGAAGTATTTCGAGCGCGATTGAAATTAAGCAAAATATAGATGACTGAATTTAAGGTTTGAATAATTTTCAAGTTAAAAAAATTAAGAAATGTATTTTAAATAGCAAAAATTTCCTTATATTTATAGCTATTTTGAGCTGTCAGCACTTTATTTTTTTCAAATAATGAATACCAACTATGTCTCCGATCCCAATGAAGACGAAATTTTACAAAAGTCTGTGCATATTTGTGCTACATGTTGGGGACTTCGTTTAGGCCTGAAAAAATCTTAAATAATGTTTAAAACCATTAGAAAGTAGCAAATTTGTGCAAACACTAAAAACATAAAAACAATCTGGAAAAATAGTGTAGATGCTACACTTCCTATTCAACGTACATTTTCATCAAAATATTCCTATCAAAATAATTTTTTTCTATCTAAAACATAAGATTATATCGGAAAACAAAATAGCTACTTACGTAATCTTTAATTCTGAACTGTCCTTAGGCAGATAGATCAGAATATATTCAATTTACTAATATTGTTTACTTCACATAACAAATTCGAACGTTGATGGCCGCCAGGTCACAAACACGAGTTATCTAACTTTGCAAAAAATGGCGTTTACTGGAATAGCTACTTATAGAAGAGTTTTTATGCGAGTTTCATCTGAGTCACTATATAGCTTGGTATCTCATGGATTCGTGGTACTTACCGATTCGTTATTAAATTTATTTGATTAAAAAAATTTCAGCTTATTTTTATTGTGATTTAATGTGAATAGGTCTTATCTCTTCTTAAGTAAAAAACTGTGTATTTTCATCCCTATATATTTAATGCAATGTTTGTAAAATTTAATTAATAAGACATAATAAGTAAAATAGTCATGAACAATGGTAACAGAATCTGATTTTTAATCACTGTCAGTTGGGCGGTGTGGGCAAGTGAATGTGCTTTAGGCTCCAAGAAATGTAACATCTACAGGTACAAAATTTAAAATGAGTCTAGCAGGGACAGATGTCATACTTTCCCTACTGGATACTCAAATACATGTACCGGTGAAAATTTGCTTTATCATACTGTTATCTTTTCTTCTCAAAAGCAAATATTAAAATTAATTTATATAAATGGTAACAAAATTTATAAAATATTATAAAGCAATTTTTAATAATTTTAACAGTGATATATATTCAGTCACTTCCTTCAATAATTCGCTTTATTAATTAATAAATTATCTGCTTATAATTTTTTGATATAGCTAAACATCAATTATTTATAAGGTTAAACTTGAATTTATTTACAAGACTATTATTAATTTATGCTGCAAAACGAGAATTGACTTGCTTGAATTCCTAGGACAAATATGACAAGTACTTGTAATTTGAATGTTTATTATGATAAAAAAAATTACTGATTTATAACACTAGTTACTTTCCATACTTTTTTCCATGCCTAGCAACACCACTTAATAAAAACAGCCAATCATGCAGACAATACCTGGAAATTGTTCTGGAATCAATCTAATTTATTTCACTCATTTATCTATTTTTGTAAGAAAAGTTACACCCCACAAACGTGAAAAATATGACTTTATGTGTAATTTGTATATTTTCTGCATTATTTACCGAAAATTCCATAATTTTCGATGAGTTATGCCTCTTTGTTTTCGTAATGAACTAAACTTTCGATTTCTCAGTATAAGTTTCGTAAAAAAAACATTACGCGTGCGCAATGATGGAAAAAAGAAAATACCACGAATCAATGGGTACCACGAATTGGTGAGAAAAGACCATAATTACTACCATCCATGTGCATTGGAACATGAACATGGAAGGTGAAACTTGTTATTTCACTGGTAAAATGTTGAATTTTGGTAGAACTTATACAACACTTTTATCTCAATAGTAACATACATATAATACACCATCTGGCAAAATATGTACATGTAGATAAACGTCTTGATTAAAGGTTTGGACCATAAAAAAGTAGTGTGCCTGGTAAAAACGAGATTTTTCAAAGTGCCCAGACCCTCCATTTTGGTAAAAAGACAAATATTGTCATTTTTGTCATGTTAGTAAAGAAACTACTTTGTGCAAATAAATTGACAAATAACTTTTCCACTCTTCTTTTTGCTTGTGAATTTTGCACTGTCAACAAACCATTATTGTAGTCAACTACAGTTGATCTTCGGTATCTTGAACACGGATATCTCGAATACCATGGATATGTCGAAGTCATTTTAAAGTTCCAACTGCTTATTCCTTAAGTATTTTACCCTGGATATCTTGAATCCTCTGTTATTTCGAAGTATTTTCTCGGTCCCTTCAAGTTTGAGATAACGAGGTTTGACTGTGTATTTGAGAAATTGAGATTGTTTACAATGTTTTCTGTCCTTTTTCTGTTGGTGGATCTAACATTTTTTTAAATTAAAGAGGTAAATCAGTATTCTAGATACACTTAATTTTTATGACTGTTTTTCATAATTTTTAGTTTTAGTCAAAACTATAATTTAAATTTATTACTAGTAACAGGGACCTATATTTTAACAGGATAGGCAACTCCTTCAGCGCCATGTTTATTTCACCAAAACTCACACACAACACTACAAGTTTTTCAAACTACATTTACATCCAGTAAAGACTTTGTTTTCTGATAAATATTATCTCTTGTTTTTGTTTAGTGGAGTGGATTTTTGATAAATTTTAAAACAGCGAATTCTAAGAAATATGGCTGATCGGACATGTGTTGATTTTAAATAAACAACGTAATTACAACTAAGGTAAGGAGTATAAACAGGGTTAACAACCAGAGCTCCCACTGGAGCAAAAATATTTTTCGAGACTTACGACATATTGCGAGACTTGCGTAGTTGCCTATCCTGTGAGTATATAGGTTCCTGCTAGTTATCATCATTTTCAGAATGATGGATTTCAGTATCACCACTCACTGATGACTGACAAATTGGTAATGCCATTTTTTTTTTTAACAATGGTCCTCTCTATTACAGACAGAAGAGATTCCACCTCTAAAGAAACAGCCATCACACTGTAGGCGTGGTCTAGCCGCCAGATTAGCGGCAAAAAATAAAAATGTCACAGAAGATAAGTCAACAACAGAGATCTCAGGGGAATCGGCTGTCTACTCCACACAGGTTTCACGGATGTTAAACAAGAGAGGAATCCCTGATGTTGAGCATTTTCATTGTGTTTTGTCAGGTAAACTGGAAGAGATACAAAAATAGTGAATTTTTTGTTAAATCAGTATTGTCTAAGTCATATAGATTTATCATTAAAGCTGTATGGTCCAGTCTTTTTACTCACAGAAAAATTTGATTTATCACCATTATTCATTTTGATACAGTGTAAAAGTTTCTCACTTTCAGAAAATTACACACCCCAAGTTCACATATGTTCCAGAGAAAAAGAAATTTGAATATTAAAAAAAATTATTGTGGTTTCACAGTGCATAGTATTTATAATGACTGCTGATATGGGACATGCACATTTGGTAGTGTTGCTTCAATTGTAAACATGAGATTTTACAATGGCGGAAAAGAGTTTGACAAATATGAGGCACATGAGAAGAAGAGCAGCAATCAAACAGTCTACTTAATTTAATAAATTTCTTGAACATGGTATCACTGTATGATGCAAGAAAATGGTTAAAATATGAAATTTTTAGTTCACCTGAGCTTAAAGCTCAAGTGAGCATTTCTGATCACCCTTTGTCCGTCGTCCGTCCGTCTAGCTGTCCGTCCGTCTGTAAACCTTTCACATTTTCAACTTCTTCTCAAGAACCACTGGCCCAATTTTAACCAAACTTGGTACAAAGCATCCTTGGATGAAGGGGAGTTTAAATTGTTAAACTGAAGGGCCAAGCCTCCTTCCAAGGGGAGATAATCAAGAAAAGACAAAAATAGGGTTGGGTCATGAAAAAAATCTTCTTCTCAAGAACCACTGTGCCAGAATGTGGAAGCATGCTGGGGTAGTGTAGATTCTAAATTGTTCAAATCATGACCCCGGGGAGTAGAATGGGGCAACAACAGGAATCCAAGTTTTACTTTGAAATATGTAGAAAAAAATCTTCTCAAGAAGCACTGGGCCAGAAAAGCTGAAACTTATGTGGAAGCATGCTGGGGTATTGTCAATTCTAAATTGTTCAAATCATGACCCCAGGGGGTAGGGTGGGGCCACAATAGGGAATCCAAGTTTTACATTGAAATATGAAGTAAAAATTTTAAAAAATCTTCTCAAGAACCACTGGGCCAGAAAAGCTGAAACTTAAGTGGAAGCATGCTGGGGTAGTGTAGATTCTAAATTGTTCAAATCGTGACCCCCAGGTTAGGGTAGGGCCACAGTAAGTACTACAAGCAGGAAATCAGGTGAAAAACAGCAAGGCCAAAGTTACTCAAGTGAGCGTTGTGGCCCATGGGCCTCTTGTTCTATAACGTATTGAGTAAACAAACTCGTGTTTTACTTTGTCATACTTTCAAATTATTCTCAAAAGATTTTTACGCAGAGGTTCATGAGTATTTTTCTGTAAACATAGAATTATATATGTGTAATAACAACTTAGGCACAAGGCATAAAATTAAGTGGAAAGGATATTTTAGCCATATGAACATGTGGTAAAGAGACTTAGACAATAATATCTGTGGATAAAAAATACTGAACACATACAGACCATACATAAGTCTTGAACTCTTCACAGCTTAAAGCCTTCACAAGGCTTTTACTCTTGTCATATGTACAGCTTGTTTAAAGTACTTATTTATGTTAGGTGATGACAGCAATGATGATGATGAGGATGATGATATCATTCCCAGCAAGAAAGCCAAACCTAAAACTGATACACGGAACACAGCTGAAGTCTGTAGTCTTCTCTCTGATGAGGAGGAGGAAATAGATTGGTGAGTATCTGATAGTGACAGCAAATTTACCTCCATATTTTCTTTTTATTTGTAAGATATTTTTAATTTTTTTTTTTTTTACTGGCAGTTAGTGAGTCAATATAAAGTTAGATTTTTTGAAATTTTTTTCACTGTGTTTTTCACTATGTAAGGTTTCATTGAGACAAGTTCCTCTAAATTTTGATTTACAAACCGTATATACTTGCCTGTAAGTCAGTCCTCCTATTAGTCGGTTGTATTTTTTAAGTTTAAATTTGAGAGATTGACTTGCTAAAATACCAGTCTTTTTATAACTCACGTATAAGTCAGATAAAGGCTTTTGGACCAAAGTTTAACTCCCAAAAAACCGACTTATAGGCGAGTATATACGGTAACCTGTATTGAATGTAAACTGTGTTGGTCAGCAGAACATATATAAAGATTGAAGATCATCAAGAATGTCTTGAATTTTAGGAAGTAAGGCCCTGAAAAATACCTTTGATTCAAAAACATTTTTTTTTTAGAACAATTAGCCTTTACATGTTGATAAATGTGATATTTTAAGACTGCATATTGTGCATTTCATTACATTAAAAAAACCATTTGCAATCTTATATACATGTGTAAATAAAACAGTCGAAGAAAACTCCTTCACTGAATAAAGCTACTCTGTATCTGATGTGTCATATCCACCACACATATGAGGTTCAGATGTAGTACTTGCTGACAATTTATCCATATTGTAGCACACCCCCAGACAGGCAACCAATAGGAGTTGACTTGATGAGGTCTCCCTCCCCACCACCACCCCCTGAACCTCTAGATGTAATACCAGTTCTCACCAAACAACCTTCAATGACAAGAGCCATGAAGAAGGCCATGAAGTAAGTGTTAATTACTGAAAAGATCCAGTTACATAGTGCACAGGGATGTAATGATCTGTCAATACAATATAAGGAGATGTGCTGATGAATTGCTGTTCAGTTCAACATAAAGTGTGCTTCAAAAAATAATAATTCTACTCACTGTATACTGGTTTCTCGTAATATCACGGTACTTATTCTTTTGGGTTAAAAAAAGTTATTCTAAATTCTTACTTTAATTTGTAATCAAATGCTATTCATAAACCTATCAATGAGCTAACTTTTTAGTGGCAAATTAAATTTTGCTTTGTTCAGTTTTTTTGGTCTATTTTTAAAACAGGGTGTCTTATTTAACTCCTAAAATGGAGAGTCTCATGGTATCACCATATTGGAATACATGGAAGCTTGGAGGTGTCATGACGTACAATTTCTATTTTTTAATCCAACATGTGAATCTACGTCTTAACTAAATGATTACAACTTGTGCTTTCAAAATATGAACTTCATTATGGTTTTTGCTAGGTTTAAATATATTTAATGGTCTAAAAAAAGATAACGGGAATGGAAATCTCTAAAATTACTATTTATTTGAATAAATATTTCTCCAATGCATGTTCCATACTTTTTTCATCATTATACGAGTCAACAATGAGACGACAGACAGACAGTCCATAAACAAAAAGGATGTGATATGTATCCTAATACCGTATTTGGCTGAATATAATATGCACTTTTTTCCAAAAATAATTTTCTGTGAGAAAGGGGTGCGTATTTTACACCACAATGGGATTTTGATAGGTTTTTCTTTCATGTGAAACACGGCTATCATACGCACATACCGTAGTGTTACCTAGAGACTTATGCAATTTCTTGCTGTTTATCGTTGTATTTAAAACTTCGAAAAGTTATTGTTGGAATGTAGGCTTGTTAAAAATGTTATAACCTTTTGATAGTTAAATTAAATTTAAAAGCAAGTTAAAATTAATTTGAGCTGCATGTTCATCGTTCCGTGTAGGCCGCCATTAACGATGTTATTTATAGATGTTCACACATTCCTTTGCCACGTGCTTCCGTAATCATAGTACACATGTACCTAATCAGTCAGACACTCGGTCAAAAAAGTGATGTCAATCTTTAGTGAAATACAATTAATTAAAATTTATTTTAGGTTTTAAATAACTCAGTGAAAATTCATTTCAACATAAACTGATAAACACCCCTCTATATGTCCCAATGAATGGAAGCCAATGTTGTGAACACGTGCGCTTGTCACTTGATAATTACCCCTCAACACCCCTCCAGGCAATTAAATTGTTTACCGACTCCAAAGCATTGTTTTTACAGTTAGAGCACTGATTATTTACTGCCCTCATTAATGGCTTTGATTATTTTCTTTGTTAAAAATCGGGGGTTGGTTTATGATCTTTCTTAGGTATAAGCATGTGTTGATTACGACACATTAAACAGTTAAACGCTGGTTAAATGTAATTTTACTTTATCTTATATCGGCCTCGTGTTAAAATGATTGAGAGTTTAAAAAGGAAATATGGAGTATTTTGAAACTTAAGTGTTATCATTTACTCGAGCTCTGTAAAAAATAAGATAGCCACAAAGATTACCTCGATGTATGAAGACATATATCCCATTTTTGTACCTCATTTTTCACAGCTTTGGAGGTGTGTTGATAACTACACTTTACCACGCTTGTTAAATTTTGATTTTATTTTTATAACATCAGCTATGTATTTAATTAATTAATTTCAAGTTCAAAAGAGGAAAATCGTAGTCTATGAATACTTTGATTTGCAATATCGCTTGCCCTGTTAAATTTACATAATTTTCAACATGATTGCCTTAAACTAAAAATAAATATGACAACTGTTAAACTTGCAAATATCTTGTGCTTTGTTGAAATAAAATTATTTCCACAAAGAATAGTTAGAATACGGCGATGTATAATTTCAATATCACCGTATGCTAAAAAAAATTAATAATAAACTCTGTTAATACTTTAATGCAACATTATCTCGTGCTTTGTTAATAAATAATTTCCTGCAAATTGCCGCGATATGGAAAGTCAAGATTAAGAAATAAAAACGCATTTGAATAAAATATTGTGTTCTGTAAATTTTTGGCACTTTATCTCCGCGCCGATTTTCATAGCATATTACCGCGATTTTCAAAAGTTCAGAACACCACTTGGTAAAATTTTCTGCTGCGTATAATACAACCGAACTGCATTTTTTTCCCCCAGTTTCAGGCTCAAAAAGGGGGGTGCATATTTTACACCAATACATATTATATTCGGCCAAATACGGTATTTGGAAATACCACAATACAATGGAACTGATGAGAACTAAGTATATATCAAATCTTCAATTTACAAATGAAAGAAATCTATGCAAGCTTACATTTTCTATGACTAGTATGACACTGTAGATAAAGGGAGATAAATGTTGAGACATTTCAAGGTACCAATTCTGCTAAAAATTTGCAAACAAATATCTGATTTGAATGAACACAGGATGCAAGCAACATATGTCTTAAAAATTTGATATTTCTGAGAATTTAATTCATGCATGTAAATAGGGAGGAGAGTAGAGTATTACTGTAAACCACTTTTTATTCACAAGAACTTTAATTCTGCTTATTTATGCAAGATGATTTGCTTGCAAAAATTTCATTCTCGTGTATATTTTTAGTAGCAAGGGGTATATAAAGCAATAACCATCATTTGTGAGAATTTATCCGTATAAATACCAAAATACTTAATTCATGAAAATTTAATGATCTGTAGTATTTCATCATGTTTCAATAGAAGGATTTCTTTTAGACAGCTATCAGAAGCTAAGACCTACCTTCAGAGGGACAATACTGCCTTAAACACTTCCTATCAGGATGGAGATGATGTCATTTGTCTAGATGATTCTTTTGATGAAAACTCTGTGTTTTTCTTTGTCCAGTGTAATGCCGAGTTAAAAAAGCATCGAATGGGAAAGGTGACATTTCATGTTTGTTAATTAATACTAGTCAAAGTTTTTACTATATGTTTCTTAGAAACAAGTAAACATTTTCCCAATCACATTTATTTCCGATGTTTGCTGACATAAAGCTGTAACAAATACAAGTATGTATATTGTCAGAAATATGCACTTAAGGTCAGACGACACATTTCTTGAATATCTATTAAGCATGTCTTTGAAAAATTATCATCTTGTGATTTCTAAACAGTTTTCAAAATGGCTTTAAAAAAAGAGATACGCCAGAAATTAAGATATTGGCAATTCAAAGTGATTTCCAATAGGATTATGTAGATATTTTGCACAAATGCCTGATAAGGCAATACTTTAATGACAAATTCTTGGGGTAATTATATACTATTGAAGAACGTGTTGTCTGACCTTTATAATAAAATTCTGGTATTAGATAGCATTGTGTGAATGTAAAGAGCTTTTCTGTAACCATTTTTTTCACATTTCTAGATCATTTAATTGATTTTACTGTTTCAATATTAACTAGTGTCTGTTCTGTACAGGTTAGGCTAAATAAAGTAAAAATATGGTTCTTGGGCCCACGCACATCCATTTTGAGGTATCCTCAATGCAATTTTTTTGGTATTTTCAGTAAAATAAAACATTGGTTATACAGAGACCAATCCTGGGAAAAACATTTTGCGCACATTTTTTTCTAGGTTTGCACTTGATTTTCGTTTCCAGTAGCCATTTGTCCATGAAAAATGAAAAATATGCATATATTTGGTAATTTTATGAGATGTTAAATCTATCTTACAGAATGACTCCAGTATAATTATTACGAAAGGATTTTCATTTGTAATCTTTTAGAAAATTCTGGAATTAAAAAAAATGCCCCCCACCCCCCACCCCCAACTTATACCGGGTAATTTATTGCTGATGAAAGAAAAGAGAAAAAAAAATGTCCTCATCTGTTTTTAAGAAAATTGGCCTGAGAACTGTAATTTCAATTTTATTTTGCCTTATACATGTAACTACACATAAAAGTTATATTCAGAAAAAGGATTTTTTGTTTTGTTTTTGATTTTGCAGTGGGAGCCATTTAAAAATTTGGTGGATGTGTTGTCTTTGGAACAGAATATTCCTGCTGCTGATGTAATGTTATCACTGAATGATGTAACAATTCGTCCTTCAGATACACCTATCTCGGTCAATCTCAAGTCTGCCAATATTATAGGTGGGTACCACACAGAAAAAAAAACACTCTTATTTCCTTTCATTTACAGAATAATAAAACAGTACCAACCACAGATATACTGACAACCTGAATTTTACTAACATTATTGGTGGATACCTGATGAAAACTTTATTTTTTTTGCTCTGCCATGTGCATTGCAATGATCAGGGCATACAATCTTTCTTAATATGTCTGTTTTTCTATTCTTTAATCTCTCCGACCACCCATCTAGCATTTAGCTCCATTTCAAGGACAAAAGCTACTCAAGTACAGTATTTTCAGTAAATTTCATGATAAACACCTATTAATACATGTAAGAGGAATTCAACTGAATCATTTTCTGATCTTGGCCTTCCACACAGACACTTACTGTTATATCAGAGAAACTGTTCTAAATATTTTCATCAAACTACAAACACGGTATGCTCACACATTTTGTACAACATATATGTATTTTTATTTAAAGTGTATCGTACCATTTTTAGCTCAGCTCAACAAAGTTGGGGGAGCTTATGTAATACCCTCAGCATCAGCGTCCTAGGTTGAAGTTTTTGGAGCAGTTTTCTTTTTAAGTACTTCTATGCCCTGTATCAATCAGAGATGCATGGAGGATGCTTCTAGTGTGTTTCATTGTACCAGTCAAGGTTTCAGATGCTTTAATTTCAGCTAAAGAATGACAAGGTTAATGTTTTTGGTGCAGGTTAAATTTTTTTGGAGCAGGTCTCATTTCCAAGTAACTATAAGCCCTATATTGACCAAACTTGCATGGATGATACATCTAAGGATGCACACTACTGGACTTGCTTCAGATGCTGGATCTGACCTATATTTTCCGGATGAGTGACCACGTTAAAGTTTTTGGAGCAGATCTCATTTCCAAGTAACTATAAGGCTTATCTGAACCAAACTTGCATGGATGATGCATCAAGGGACGAACACTCTCAAACTTGCTTCAGATGCTGGATTTGACTTAGATTTTCTGGATGAGTGACTAGTTTTAAGTTTTTAGATAAGTCCATTCCCAAGCTGCAAGCCATATCAGACCAAAATTACATAAATGTTGCATCTAGGGATGCACACTACTAGATTATTAGTTTAGTGTGGGACTTTGCCTTACTTAAAGACAGCATTAGTTGAGGTGAGCTCTGTAATCTCTGATTATCTATGTTATACATATGAAAATGAATGAATAGCTTAAGATATTATTTGAAGGATAAGTAGAGACAGGAGCTTTTATCAGTATGTACCTGAGTTTTTATTTTTCAGTGATGTACAAGAACTCTCTAAAAGATAGTTGTGAACCAGACAGCTCAGATCTCTCAGGAATTCAGTTGTTTGTTCAAAGTCGAAACTCTAAAAAGAAGCTAGAGTTTAAAATTGATCCGGTAATTTTATTTTTGTTTAATTTAAAAGACAGTGTCATAGTAGAGTGAATTAAAATTTCTTTAAAACATATTTCACTTGAAATTGAAATTTTAACAACAAAGTATCTGAATAAATAAAATAGCCTTAAGATTTTTAACTTAATGTAGATTGTAAAAGTGCAAAAAGTCTCTTTGATGCATTTTAAAATTTTCCTTTCAGCTGGCCCCTCTACAGTTACTTATCAACAAATATTGTATAAAAACTAAAAATGATCCAGTAAAGTATCGCCTGCAGTTTGATGGGGAAGATGTTCATCCACAAGACACAGCTACGGACTTAGAGCTTGAGGACGGTTACTGTCTGGACATAATAGAAAACACATGATAATTACCTAACCCTGTTACTATAAAAAATTTGGGCATTGTTCAGGAAATCAACTTGTCATAGAAATGGCAGTGTTGTTACATATTTTTAAACCCAGTCATTCCTTGGCCCAGTTGCGTTGATTACATGAATTTGGTTCACTTCAGGTTTTAATAACTGTGCCAAAGTAGTATGATAATTATGTAGGCATAATGTCTTCATAATGCTACCATTACAGTGGTGTTTAATGCATGTATTTCATGTTTATGGAAGATGTTATACAGTTTACTGTGTTCAGTGTTATTTGAAAGATGTTCCTATTTTTGTTATTAACACAAAGCATCTTTGCTGAATAATATCCTGGTAAGCCTGTGTCATTAGTATGGCCTCTGTCTTCAAGCGAGTTTAAAAAGGAAGACAAAGAATCTTTATTATAACATGAAAATAAATACTACACACTGAAAAACAGACAACTGTTAAAGGAATAACTCCTGCCCTCACTTTAGAAATGTATGTAAAATCTGTAATCAACTATGTCGCTTGCTGTCAGGATAATATCAAAGAAAATCCAATATTGTCTGATAATTGAATGTTACATGTACCTACCCTTGTTTTGTGAAAAGTCTATGGTCATCTAAAGTAATCATGATTTCATCTGAAAGTCATAGTAATTTAATCACACATACATAATTGGTTATGGACTGGAAAACCAAGGGAACTTATGGAAAGCCATAGGGGACCCCCATGTCATGTTCTATATATTTCATTGTAAATCAATCCTACCCGGTCAGGATGGTAATCATGACCATGTCAAGATTTCAAACATGACCAAGCCATGATTTTCATCATCTTGACCAAGTCAGGATTGATAACATGACCAACCTATCTTGGCCAAGTCAAGATTTATAACATGGCCATGCTATCTTGGCCAAGTCAGGATTGATAACATGGCCATCCTATCTTGGCTGCGGTCATCATATAACATGGCCATCCTATCTTGGCCAAGTCAAGATTTATAACATGGCCATGCTATCTTGGCCAAGTCAAGATTTATAACATGGCCATGCTATCTTGGCCAAGTCAGGATTGATAACATGGCCATCCTATCTTGGCCGCGGTCATCATATATCATGACCATCCTATCTTGGCCAAGTCAAGATTTATAACATGGCCATGCTATCTTGACCAAGTCAGGATTGATAACATGACCATCCTATCGTGGCCAAGTCAAGATAACATGACCACCCTATCTTGGCCAGGTCATGATTTAATCTTGACCAGGTCAGGATTGATAACATGGTCATCCTATCTTGGCCGGGTCATGATTCAATGTTGACCAAGTCATGATTGACAACATATGCCCATCCTATCTTGGTCGACCAGGATTGCATTGCGCCAGGATATATTACTTCCAAACGCAGCCAAGATTTCTTCAAGCGTCAATCCTGGCCAAGTCAGGATGTATTTCTTCAAACGCAGTCAAGATTTCTTCAAGCGTCAATCCTGGCCTAGTCAGGATAACATTGCGCCAGGATGTATGACTTCCAAACGCAGTCATGATTTATTCAAGCGTCAATCCTGGCCAAGTCAGGATGTATTTCTTCAAACACAGTCAAGATTGCATTGCGCCAGGATATGTGACTTCCAAACGCAGTCATGATTCGCTTTAGTATGGTAATATGTAAGCGCTTCCCTAACACCGAAAAACCGCTGAAATGTGTATTGGGTTTCCAACCTCCCCGTTCGTCTCAGCTGACAAGTAAGGTAAGTTCAGGTGATTTTTCCCTTATAAATCTTTATGAATAGCTTAGTTTGCTGTTCTAAACATGTAGTTTACGTAATGGTTCTTTGGAGTAAATCATATGAACAGCATTCCAACAATCGAAGACATTCTGCAGTTTTCATCGAGGAAATTCGAATTTGTCTATCGACACATTTGTTATACAATTAAGATAAATGGCTCTTTAATTTTCTATGCAGTTAAGAACATGAAGAAATATGTTATTTCATTAGCATTTAGAATCAAGTTGTTTTTATACAATACATTCAAGAGAAATTTGCTTAATACTTTCATTCAATTATACAACTCTGGGGCTAAATTGGAAGGGGGGCTTCATCCTGCTCTATACAGATAAATTACAACACCTACTGCATTATATTTTTGCAATTTAAAGTAAACGTATCATTTATGTACTTTTTTTTTTCTTTTTAGTACCACGTAACAGTAATTTGTGTGTACTGAACCATCAACATATTAAACTGCAGATCCATACCGGCCAAGACTGGTGATAGATATGTATAGGTAGGTTTTCTTTTACTTCTTGTAATTTGGGGCAAATACATTAAACTTGAATTTTAATTTTGTCTTTTTATGAAAAGATGCTTTTAATACATGTATTCATATTAATTTAAAAAAAGGTAATTAGTAGCAAACAATGTTTGTGTAACTTCTTGTATTGAAAAAAAAATATAGTTTCTTGAAAATTTAAATATACATGTACATGTATTCTTTTATATTATTTGTAGATACACATATATATATGACTAATGCATGTATATTAAAAATGTATTAAATATTAATAGTATTTTAGATTGACGCATGCTCAGCTGACTGGGGACTATGAGTATGGAAAACCATTTTGCAGAATTAGGAATGTGCAGCTGAAAGTGGTACACTTCATTTACAAGCATTTCAAATTTATAATTGTCTCTATATACTTTCTGTTTGTTTTAACGAAAAGGAAACCAGCAATCATACATAATGGAATTACTTATACAGATATATTTTATGTTTTCCAATGTCAAGGTCAAAGATCAAAGGCCAAGACTGATGTCAGCTTGAAAGAAACCACTCTGTGCATTGGATTTGCTAGATAAAAGATGATGAATTAATGCACCAGTTTCAAGTCCAAAGGTCAGTACAGTAAAACACGGTTAATGTGAACATGCTTACAATGAATTGATGCTTATAGTGAATTGATTTTCATTGCCCTTGGCTTTAAATCACATTGTGAACTTAGCAGATATAACAAATAATGTTTGTAATGAAGTTAACAACTTGCATTGAATTTCATAATTTTTTAATTTACATAGATAAAGTAACAAGATGATAATCATACAAGTTTCTATTTGTATTGCTAATCATGTATTGTTTTATTCTTATTCGAAGATCGAAAAGCACCATTTAGGTCAAGGTCAACTCCAAATATTGGTTAAAACCTAATTTGTACCAACAACTGATTCCAGATGAGGGCAGTCTTGATAGGACACCCATAAAATAGCTAAACAGGTATAGTTTACCAATTTCAAGTTCAAAGGTTTGTACATTTATTATGCCCCCCTTTGAAGAAGGGGGAGCATATTGCTTTGCTGCTGTCTTTTGGTCGGTCGGTCAATTTGTCTGTCTGTCGGTCCACCAACAGTTTCTGTTCATTTTCTTCGCAGAGGTTGCACATACTGAAATGAAATTTGGTATACAGATTTATCATATGAATATCTAGGTCAGGTTCTGTTTTGGGTACGATCGAACAATTGTTGACAGAGTTATGCCCCTTGGACTTAGCTTTCTGTTCATTATCTCTGCAAAGGTTGAACAAATAAATTACTGATATATCATGAGAAACATGTTTTTGCCAAAGATGTGATGTAGAAGACTATTTCTCTTTGATGCATCTCAGATAGTACTGGTAGATGACCCCTATTGATTTTAAGTTCAAAAGGTCAATTTCATTTCCATGTACACTGCCCATAATGTATACTGCCCATAATAAAGGCTTGTGCACCCTGTAGCATAATGTATGTCCTGGGGGGGGGGGGGATAAGTGTTTCACAAACATCTCTTGTTTAGATTTAGGTATAAGGGGCCTGTTTTACAAAACAACTAAAGACTAAGACCAGAGACACACATGTACAAGCAAAACACAGCAATTCACAACTCAGCCATTATTAGCTCTGACACCTGAGCCAAAGGCTCAAGTGAACTTTTCTGATCAAAATTTGTCCATGGTCTGTCGTTGTCATCTATAACTTTTTTTTTCCAAATACCTCCCCTTCCCAACAATCACTGGACCAGTTTAAATTAAATTTGGTACAGAGTGTGACTGGGTGAAGTAAATTAAAGTTTGATCAAATAAAGGGTTACACAAATTCTTCCAAGGGGAGATAATTAAGAAAAAGTAAAAATTGGGTGAGGTCATTTAAAAATCTTTTCAAGAACCACTGGACCAGAAAAAAAATGAAAATTACATGAAAGCTTCCAAAGATAATGTAGATTCAAATCTGTTCAAATCATGACTCCCAGGTTAGGGTGTGACCACTATGGCCAATGAAAGTTATATATATATATATATATATATATATATATATATATATATATATATATATATATATATATATATATATAATCTTTATAAATCTTCTTCTCAAGAACTGTAAAGCCATGATCAGACATATTTATTTGGAAGCATCCTCTGATAGTGTAGATTCAAGTTTGTTCAAATCTTAACCTCCAGGAATAGGCTTGTACTGCAGGTAGTGATCAATTTAGATTTTACATGGGATTATATCTTAAAAAGAATCTGCTGATGAACATGAAGGGCCACAAATATGCAGGTGGGCATTGTGACCAATGAATCTTTTTTTTTTACTTTGACCTTTGTTATGTAATAAGTATATATATTAACTGCAATCAAACTTATACATCTGAAAGCAATAATTTTTGGGATAAAAGACAGGATATTTGCTAAGAGAATGTGAGGGCTTCAAGAGTATAAAATAAAATCAGCTATAAAGTAGCAAGATGGAGATAACAATGGCATTTATTCTATGAATAATTTTTTTGCTTCGTTTACATGCATTATGCATGGACCCAGAAATTTTTTCCAGGGGAGGCACACCTACTTAAAAAGCCTCTCAAAAAAAATTGACTAACTATACAAAGTTGATAAATTTGAACACTCCAGGGGAGGAGGGGGTGTTATAAATTCCCCCTGGATCCATGCATGATTTATGACTTGTATTTTTTCATTAATTACTTGTACATATTGTATGAAAAGTATCAATAGTTACTATATAGGAAGGTGACATACAAGCTGATACAAATATATAAATCCTTCATTTGAATTCAAAATGTTAGTTAGACTAAAGATGATAGATGATTGGTTTTTTAGGATTGATGTGGAAGCCTGGATGCTTAGCTGTGCCACTGATTTCATTTCCTGTGGATGTGTGCTTGGTGCAATGCAATAAGGACATATAACCCATAGAATTCACATGAATAATATGGAAAGAAATTGCTGGAGAGATTGCTTTGGCAAAACTCATTTTCTATATTTTAGAATAACTTTGTCAAAGATCAAGTTTGTTTGGATGACATTTTGATGCAATAACATTTTTTATGCATAAAATCTTGTTATTTACTTAAATGGTCAAAGGATCAAGACACTTGATGTGGGTTTTAATGAAGCACACTTACTTTGGTATTGTTAAGTTAATTGGAATATTTTCACTTTGTATAATAGGTTGACAATTGTAGATTTCATTCTCAGTCAAGATTGATATTTATGTTTTACATCCAAACAATAAACTCTTTTGTTTTGGACAAAAAATTTATTTAAACATGAAGACTTTATTCTGAAGACACACCCAAAGAAACAATTACAGGTTATTAAGGATAAATAACACAAACAAACTTTTTTTTCCAAAATTCAGATATCTTTGCTAAATTAGGTGCCTTTCTCACTTTGGAATTAATATTTGTATAGTTAAACAACATAATTTTTGGCCAAGGTACATTATTTGGCAAAAAGTGCAAAAATGCAACTTTACAGTTCAATATGTTTTTTGAAAAGTTTATAAAATGTATTCAGTTTTCTTGCTTCAAAGTTTCTGGGGAAATTTTCAAGAGCCTATTTTTACATTCTACTAAATTAAAATTTATTAATTATATTTCCATTAAAAGAAATATTGAAACAATACCAGTGTTATTCTTCTGTGTGGAAGATAAGAAAATTTGTTTGTGGTATATATCTTTATGAATGTCAGTTGCTCAAACTCAAAAGGTCTAGATTATAAAAATGAAAATAATGTGGGACCTTGTATGTCTGTCCATTTTTTTTTAATTATACAAGTTTAAGGCCATCTAATATATATGATTCATATCTGGCCAGTTTTTGAAAGTTTATTGGGGGAATGAATGAGCATAAACATTTTTGATCACATTTGAGAGTTTCATGCTTCCTGGGTAAGATGTTCTGATGTAAGGGTGGGGTTCTATAATATAGTGAAAATGCATTAATTATATTAAATAATACCCTCTGCTTCTTAGTGTTGAGCACAAAGCTCAAAGTGCTAATGCTATTGCCATTTGTGCGGTGTGTGTAAACTTTTTAGAATATGGGCTATATCTCGAGAACCCCTTGGCCGATTTTTGTCAAAAAAACTGGGTACGTTACACATAACAAGGCGGCCCTGTCTCCAAATTTGATTCCAGTGGATCCGCTTTACTGCATGATTCATGTCAAATGCACTAACCAAGAATAATCCCCAATATAGTTGCACACATTCACTTTCTATGTAAAACCACAAGGGGAGACCGGTTATAAGATGTTACTTGCGGATTCCTGATTGATGGGGCGATTCCAAGTTTTTCCTTTGTTTAGCGTCCACCCTAAATTCGAAAACCTGTCTTCCTAAGGCACGTAGCAACGGGGGGGGGGGGGGGTTGATGGCCCCCACTACTTTTTTCCAATCATAAATTTTTACTATTGAAAATGTTCATTGAAAGGCCAGCCCCCCCCTTTTATTAGAGTAAAGTCAAAAAGGGTAACATAGTAGTGTAAGAATAAGATTTGGTACTGAAAGAAGTTTGAAACCTAACACCAACCCCCACCCCTCCGGTCCCAAACCCGGAAAACCGGAATTTTTTTTTTTTTTTTTTTTTTTTTTTTTTTTTTTTTTTGCTTGTCAAGTTTTTTCCAGGAAGTTGAATTTTTTTCTCTAGGCTGCCCCCCCCCCTTTCAAAAACGCTGCTACGTCACTCTTCCTATCCGAGAAAACACACAAACCAAAAGGGGAAAAACACAACATTTTGAGAACAATTCTAGAATTTCTTATTATCATTTGGGACCTCTCCTCGCAATAAAACTAAGTTTTAAACTTCTACTTTATTGAAATAAAAAATTAATATACCACTTAAAACAGAGATGTCAATCCCAAAAGAGTAAAATGCATCTCAGGGATTCGTATTTGTTGATTTTAATTTGAGTTAACTTGTGTTTCCGTTTCAAAGCTTTGTATTATTTGTCAGTTTTAATTTGCGTTTGTTTTTAATTTCATAATCTCAAAAACCAATCCGACCCCATAAACGCTGAACATAGAAAAAAAAAAAACTTGAAACGGTCAATCATAACGCGCGTTACAGACTTCGAAAATTTTTCCTTCAAATTAAAACCGTGAATCTCCGAAGCCTTTTAAAAAAGGGGTATGCGATTTGTTTAGATCCATTTCTCGACGAACAAAATATTTTCTTTAGCCAATACTAATAATTTAATATTTTTTAGAGACAAACACGATACTTTGCATGTACATACTTATTATTTTATTAACAAACTCGAAAATTACATGTTTAAATCTGCGTAGTGAATTCGACAGGAAATGCACATGAATTCTCGGGAGGGGATTCAAATTCAGAAGGGATTCAGAATGCTCTAGTACACTCTAACGGGCATAATTCCCTAAAACTAAAATTTAAAAAGGAAGGATATAGTATGTGTGTATGATTTATCCACGTCGGCTATGAAAATCTCCGCGTGTCGTCTTCAAATTTAAAGCAATGCAGCATGAAGCGGCAGACACTTGCATTGATATCGATCAGTAAAAGATCGATCAACGGTCACAGTCGAGTGGAAATTTTTTTTATTGGTCCTCATTAAAGTACATGTATAACTTGATTATCAGTAACCCCCCCCCCCCCCCCCACACACACACACACACTTCTATTTAAATGGAGACAAAATACAAATAATCGAAATGCAGAATAACAGAACACACATAAAAGAATCAAAATTCACTTTCATGTTCCTTTTGCAGGCCCGTAGGAAGCAATTTCAGTTTGGGGGGCACAGCCATACATTTTCAGTTGAGGGGGCACTATCGACTACCAAAAATTCCTTGACAAGCAAAAAAAAGAAAAAAAAAAGGTCATCAGACGTTTTTATTGAGGAGGCACATGCGTATAGTAACTATGTTTTCTATAGTAATCTATATATCGCCCCCCCCCCCCCCCCGGTTCCTACGGCCATGTTTTTATATGCTACATAGAGATTTTATTGCTAGTTTAGTTATCAAATTTATACGAAATCTGATGTTATTTTGTTACTTGTCAGTTGTGGGAACAATAAGTAAAACACGTCACAGTGTTTCTTATAGAGTTATCCTTGCCATTCCTGGATTGTATCGCCTGATTATGTTTGTTTTTCATGTTAGTGTCTGATAAAAAAAAAAAAAAAAACCTTTAAAAATATACCTAACAAACTGCTGACATGTATTACATGACTATACATCTACTAAAACAAAAACTGCTTTAAAATAGATACTGGTGTTGCTTTAGAACTCCTCCTGATGTTTACATGTTACACAACCGTAGGTAAGATATTTTATATATATATGTGACAATGATAATGTTCTCACTTCCTTCGGATACATAAACTCGATCTGGGGCATTTCCTCCGCAAATCTTTACATTTGTCCTTGTAGTAACGATAAATTACTTTAAATATTTTTTTTTTCCGGAACGGATTATCATCACAGAAATCTTTAAAATTCAGAGATAATGTGCACCATTTTTACAAAGGTGATACTGGGCAGGAACCCCCACCCCCACCCACCACCTTCTCCAGTCCCGATGAACATCCATTGGAATACTGAACATATTTCCTATGACATACTTAATGTATTATTTCATGGATAATCTGGATAAAATCCTTTTAAAAATTCTCGCTTACTTCAAGATTATCAATATATACTAGTATAGTGTAGTTAATATGTACATTCGTTTTATACAGGTAAATATCTATAGAAATATCTTTTTTTTTCATTTCAAGACTTGAAATGCCTTAAAAATGTATTAGAAAAATAATTTCTGAAAAAAAAATCGAGTTAAATCATCGATTATGGAGCGGAAAGAGGGGGTGTCTTGTTCACAAGTAATAAATGATCGTGTTTGTATTTCTTACAGAACTGGGAACAGATAATCTTTATTTATATATAGACAATAAAAAAGGTTGATTCATGTTTCACTTAAATTTTCGTAGTAAATGCCGAAAAAGTACACCACTGTCTAGGTTTATAAACCTTATAAACTTAGTTTGTCAACATAATTAATTTTTCCTTATCTATAATTCCTTGTAAATTATAAAGTAAACCCGATTTTACTTGAAAACACTGATGTCAATATTCCGATCAGCATGATAAATGTATATATAAGATAAATGTATATATATATATATATAATTAATAAGTGTAAATAAGAACTTTTCCATTCCCAGCTGCAGACCTCCAATAAGTAAATGTAGGTCGGCAGTGGAAGATTTAGAAGTTTTTAGTCATATATAAAGCACTTCCTGATTATCCGATAAAACATTAGAATCCTTTCTGACATAATTAATTTTGTCAGATAAAAATCTGCAACAATACAGTGACAAGGATAATAAGTTTAAAAAAAATGTTCAAATGGTGACTTCTACTAGTATACGCCAAACTTCCCTCCTGGCCCCCCCCCCCCTCCCCCTTTACCTGCCCCAATCACTAGCTACATATTGCATGATATTTATGAATCCCACACATATATAAATTGAAAACAGCTGATGATTTTCAATAAAAAGGTTTAAAAAAAAACCCTTTCTTGAACAGTCAAATAAAGTCAATGTCCACTATGAAGGAGATGCATTGGAGGTACATGTATGTAATTAAATGTAAACTAATCATCTGAACCAGCCCAACTTATGTCGTTTTTTATTTTTTACGCTGTAAATATTGATTCAATATTTATTATAGTTGCAAAGACGGAAGAATTTGTTTCAAGTCCATATTTTCAACATGATTGCTCTTTGTGACGTCATTTTTTCCAATGCATGGCGTCATTAATTACATGTTATGTCCCATAATAAATTTCACTGAGAAAGGTTTATATATATGGTTTTCATTTGCATAAATAGTATTAAATTATTTTTCAAAAGCAGAATTGAATTTAAAAGACAATAAAAAGAATAATAAAACCTTCAGATACAGAATTAAACAATTTATTTCTTTAAAAGTATAGATTTATTGTGGAGAAAAGTGACGTCTATCCAAAAATGCAGCATTTTCAACTTCATTTTTTTTTTTGTAAAAACGGGTGTGGCCGCACTTTTGTAAAGTCATTTTTTCTTTTTGATATTAGAAATCGGGTTATATTTATTCTTTCTGTGAAATTTCGCATACATACTCGGATGCGGCCATATCGAAATATAGACTTGAAGAGGATGAAAACATCCAAAATAAGGGAATTCCGGAAAATAAGACCGGTTTTAAACATTATATAAATGAAAGGGCGCTTTAGTTGAGAAAAAAATGTTAACCATTTCACACAGGGAAACCTCAACAGTAACTTGATACATTTGATAAAATGTAAACCTGTGTTTAATTTTTGCCGATTTTACAGGGCCGATTATTGGGCTTACCGTACCCAGTTCTTTGTCACAGAGTATCCTTGGCCAAAGGGCTCTCTTTTATACTAAAACAAGGGATGTGACCCTTAAACAAGGGGTGATAACTAGGAAAATAAAACCACAAGTACTGGTTGCTAAAAAATCTTCTCAAGAACCATTGGGCAGATTATCGCCAAATTTACATACAAGGATGAGGATATGTTGTAGATTGAAAGTTGTTCAAGGCATCACCCTGGGGCAAAGGGCGCAGTCTTGGGGTCACTTCAAAGTTGAAAAATTATGTTTTGTTTGATAAACTTTTATACTTTGCTTACTATAAGGACTAGGATAATGAAATCTTGTCAATTGATGTACCTTAGGACCTCATATCATGTTGACTCAAAAGTAGGTCAGTGACCTACTTTTTAAATTTTGCAGGCATTCGTTTTCAAATTGATCATCAAAAAAGTTTGATCATCAAACTTTGTCAGTTGATGCATCTCTCAAAAGTAGGTCACCTTGGCCTACTTTTTTAAATTTTCCAAAACATTTTAGGTCATTATTTAAGATACTGTGAGGATTAGAATCGTCAACCCTTTTAAGTTGATGCATCTTGGAATCTTAAAACACATTCATTAAAAAAATAGGTCACAGTGACCCACTTTTTGAATTCTGTAGACATTTGTTTTCAAATAGTTTCAGAGGCATATTTTGGACACTTTAGGGCCTATGATAATCAAGCTTTGTCAGTTGATGCATCATGTGTCCCATGAGAATGTCAACTGAAAAGTAAGTTACTGTGACCCACTTTTGAAATTTTATGGCTATATTTAAATATTTCAGGTACTAATTGGCTAAGAATCATCAAACTTTGTCAGTTGATGTATCTTTGGTCCTCAGACTAAGTGTGTCAAATTTAGAGTGGTCTCTGTGACCTACTTTTAGAATTTTATGGATATATTCAAATATTTAAACACTAATTGGCCCAGAATCATCAGCCTTTGTCAGTTAATGCATTTTGGGTCCTTGAAGTATTTTAATTAAAAAGTAGATCACCATGACCTACCTTTTAATATTTATTTCTGAATATTTAAGATAATAAAGGGCTTAGAATCATTGAACTTTGTCAATTTAGGAATCTTGGGTTCTCAGAGTATGGTAGCCAAAATGTAGGTCAAATTGACCTACTTTATGAATTTCAAGGCTTCATCTAAATTATATAGGATACTAAGAGGCTTCAAATAGAAGTGATATGTAGTACAATTTATCAGAAGTTCCATTCAAGGTCCTTGGGGCTCTTGTTACATGCAGTTATTTTGACAACTCTACATGCTTAACATTTGTCTCTTTTCTCAGAAAATACAACACAATATATATATATATATATATATATGCTTTAACTTTTTTGCATTTCTTTAAAAGTTCAGTTTCAGTTTTTTATAACATATGTAAAGGTAAATAACAGCAAATCCTCCCCCCCCCCCCCACCAAAAAAGTAAAATATTTTAGTACAAGATGTAAAATGCACATTATCTATAACACAGACAAACAGTACTCTAATTTATTGCTTTCTTGTATCAAGGACCTTTCAAGATATTAAAAACAATACTAAAATGCGAGAATTAGTTTTTTTTTTCATGCTACATAGTATTTGCCCGAGAAACAAAAAAAATACTCTATACACATACACAATAAAAAAAGAAACATGAACCACATAGCTCACCAGAGTTACTTTGGTCATGTTTTCCTCAGAATACTTTTAATAAAAAAAAATTATTTCTTCATTCTTATGAAAACAATTTGCCCCTGTATAGTTTTTACATTTGGCCAAATGCATTGTGATTAGTCTTGGCCCTAGTGTTCTTCAAAAAAAGATTGTTAAAGATTTTTTTCTTTTTTCCCCAGCAAAACTTGGAACCCCCATTATGATTCCACCCTAAGGGCCACGATTCAAATGAAGTTAATTTTGCACTACCCTGAGGATGCTCAACTAATCAATTCCTATGTCAAACTGACCTCTTATTTTAGCCCCAACATACCCCCTTTGATTTAATGATCAATTTAAAATCTATGCTACATCCAAAAAACTTTAAATTCCTTTATATTTCCATGTTAAAGTTAGATCCCTATCTTCGACCTATGCTACCCAGGGTTCTCCACATTTGAAAATTTAACCATGAAGGAAGCTGTGCGAAAGCAAAATGTGATTGAAAGCACGAACATGTGTTAGACTCTCTTAACTTCATTAATCAATGATCAATTGTAGCTTACCCATGGGCGCCACAATTTGAAAAATTCAGAATTCACACTATCTTTTGTCATAAACCTTTCATCTTTTTGGCCAAGATGTTCTTGAGAAGATTTTTAAATAATCCCTTCATCCACCCCATTTTTGCCCTTCTTGATAATCTACTCTTGGAAGGGGGAAACCAGTGGTTCTCAAGAAGAAGTCTAAAATGATTACAGTATATAGACAAACAGATGCTGCACAATGGATGATCAGAAAAGCTCTCTTAAGCTTACAGCTTAATCTGAGAAGATTACATTCTATCATTTCTATGTAAAACTAATTCAGTGAAGATCTCTTTCTTTACACATCAAAAATACTCTCTATACATGGGCGGTGATTCCGCAACTGGTAGAGGTGTCATTTATTGCCAAGCTCTGAAAAAAAAATTAATTCATTTCAGTGCATATTTCAAAAAGTTTAGAGCAAAAATTGACCAAAAATATTTAAAAAGCGTTTTCTCTTAAAATATTTTGGTCCCCTTTAGGGCTGTGTCAATATATCGATTAATCAATACATATCAATATTCAGGAATGTATCGTATCAAAAAACTAACTTCCAATTTGTATTGGACAGAGAGTTTTTCTTAAAATTCTGTGAAAAAGTTGGGAATTTCAGTCCCCAAAGATTATATTTCACTGTTTTGAATTAAAGCTGATCAATAATGAAATAAACATGAAGGAGATAGCACATCTTAATAACTACTGCAAAATACATAGACAACTATTTTTCAACATATTAGTTTTACAGTCATTAAAAATTTGAATTTGAAGTGTACTTTGTAAAGAGAGTGAGACATGAACTTTCAATTTGGTAATAAAACACCCAGTTTTTATCAAATTCATGCATTAAATGATTTACAAAACCTTTTTTAATAGATTTGTTAAAGAATCCAATATATCGCATATTGCATTATGAAATATCGTATCGTATCGAAATATTTTGGTCAATACACAGCCTAGTCCCCATCTGATTTTAAACTCCAGTTTGAACAAAATGTACCGGTACAAACCTTTGAACTTGAAATTGGTAAACTATACCTGTTTAGCTATTTTATGGGTGTCCTCTTCTGGAATCAGTTGTTGGTACAAATTAGGTTTTAACCAATATTTGGAGTTGACCTTGACCTAAATGGTGCTTTTCGATCTTCGAATAAGAATAAAACAATACATGATTAGCAATACAAATAGAAACTTGTATGATTATCATCTTGTTACTTTATCTATGTAAATTAAAAAATTATGAAATTCAATGCAAGTTGTTAACTTCATTACAAACATTATTTGTTATATCTGCTAAGTTCACAATGTGATTTAAAGCCAAGGGCAATGAAAATCAATTCACTATAAGCATCAATTCATTGTAAGCATGTTCACATTAACCGTGTTTTACTGTACTGACCTTTGGACTTGAAACTGGTGCATTAATTCATCATCTTTTATCTAGCAAATCCAATGCACAGAGTGGTTTCTTTCAAGCTGACATCAGTCTTGGCCTTTGATCTTTGACCTTGACATTGGAAAACATAAAATATATCTGTATAAGTAATTCCATTATGTATGATTGCTGGTTTCCTTTTCGTTAAAACAAACAGAAAGTATATAGAGACAATTATAAATTTGAAATGCTTGTAAATGAAGTGTACCACTTTCAGCTGCACATTCCTAATTCTGCAAAATGGTTTTCCATACTCATAGTCCCCAGTCAGCTGAGCATGCATCAATCTAAAATACTATTAATATTTAATACATTTTTAATATACATGCATTAGTCATATATATATGTGTATCTACAAATAATATAAAAGAATACATGTATATTTAAATTTTCAAGAAACTATATTTTTTTTTCAATACAAGAAGTTACACAAACATTGTTTGCTACTAATTACCTTTTTTTAAATTAATATGAATACATGTATTAAAAGCATCTTTTCATAAAAAGACAAAATTAAAATTCAAGTTTAATGTATTTGCCCCAAATTACAAGAAGTAAAAGAAAACCTACCTATACATATCTATCACCAGTCTTGGCCGGTATGGATCTGCAGTTTAATATGTTGATGGTTCAGTACACACAAATTACTGTTACGTGGTACTAAAAAGAAAAAAAAAAAAGTACATAAATGATACGTTTACTTTAAATTGCAAAAATATAATGCAGTAGGTGTTGTAATTTATCTGTATAGAGCAGGATGAAGCCCCCCTTCCAATTTAGCCCCAGAGTTGTATAATTGAATGAAAGTATTAAGCAAATTTCTCTTGAATGTATTGTATAAAAACAACTTGATTCTAAATGCTAATGAAATAACATATTTCTTCATGTTCTTAACTGCATAGAAAATTAAAGAGCCATTTATCTTAATTGTATAACAAATGTGTCGATAGACAAATTCGAATTTCCTCGATGAAAACTGCAGAATGTCTTCGATTGTTGGAATGCTGTTCATATGATTTACTCCAAAGAACCATTACGTAAACTACATGTTTAGAACAGCAAACTAAGCTATTCATAAAGATTTATAAGGGAAAAATCACCTGAACTTACCTTACTTGTCAGCTGAGACGAACGGGGAGGTTGGAAACCCAATACACATTTCAGCGGTTTTTCGGTGTTAGGGAAGCGCTTACATATTACCATACTAAAGCGAATCATGACTGCGTTTGGAAGTCACATATCCTGGCGCAATGCAATCTTGACTGTGTTTGAAGAAATACATCCTGACTTGGCCAGGATTGACGCTTGAATAAATCATGACTGCGTTTGGAAGTCATACATCCTGGCGCAATGTTATCCTGACTAGGCCAGGATTGACGCTTGAAGAAATCTTGACTGCGTTTGAAGAAATACATCCTGACTTGGCCAGGATTGACGCTTGAAGAAATCTTGGCTGCGTTTGGAAGTAATATATCCTGGCGCAATGCAATCCTGGTCGACCAAGATAGGATGGGCATATGTTGTCAATCATGACTTGGTCAACATTGAATCATGACCCGGCCAAGATAGGATGACCATGTTATCAATCCTGACCTGGTCAAGATTAAATCATGACCTGGCCAAGATAGGGTGGTCATGTTATCTTGACTTGGCCACGATAGGATGGTCATGTTATCAATCCTGACTTGGTCAAGATAGCATGGCCATGTTATAAATCTTGACTTGGCCAAGATAGGATGGTCATGATATATGATGACCGCGGCCAAGATAGGATGGCCATGTTATCAATCCTGACTTGGCCAAGATAGCATGGCCATGTTATAAATCTTGACTTGGCCAAGATAGCATGGCCATGTTATAAATCTTGACTTGGCCAAGATAGGATGGCCATGTTATATGATGACCGCAGCCAAGATAGGATGGCCATGTTATCAATCCTGACTTGGCCAAGATAGCATGGCCATGTTATAAATCTTGACTTGGCCAAGATAGGTTGCATATTGGTCATGTTATCAATCCTGACTTGGTCAAGATGATGAAAATCATGGCTTGGTCATGTTTGAAATCTTGACATGGTCATGATTACCATCCTGACCGGGTAGGATTGATTTACAATGAAATATATAGAACATGACATGGGGGTCCCCTATGGCTTTCCATAGGAACTTAAAAAAGAACGCAATAAGAATTTGTACTTATTATTTTCAACTTAAGCTGTAACTTCTCTATTGCTCTATTTAAGCCAGCTTTGTTTTGCTGATTTATTTAATTTGCTACATAATTTATTGCAAATGATTATTCCTGGTACAAATTATTCCTTTTATGGAAAATGAAATTACATGGCACCTATGCACATGTATGTAATAAAGTAAAATTTACAATGGCCTACATTGTTTTTGTCTTCATTACAAATTGATATGGGGATTGTTCCACAAAAATAAAATTGTTAAGATTGATAAATATTTGCTATTTTCTTGCATGTAGAGTCTTGTATATGTGTTGTGAAATTCCTCATTAAGGTCTTCTTAAGGTTTTTTTTATTATCTTCAAGTGTTTTTATAGAAAAGTTGTAAATATAGGTGTTATTTGTTATTTAACAGTTTGCACCAGTTCAACATGTAAAACATTTTATCTATTCAATCATATAATCTAATGAGTGAAAGTGAAGAGGTTGCTGAAAAATTATTATACCCCCGCTCTGAAGAAGAGGGGGTATACTGTTTTACCCTTGTGTGTCTGTCTAGCTGTCCGTAACAAATTTTGGTCGCAGTTTTCTCAGCAATTACTCATTGCAGATGCTTGAAAGGTTAACACACACTTTGTTTAGGCATGCCATATGGTGGGCTTTGTTTTTGTACGAATCTGATGTCAACTTCCTGATTATCCGTACGGCTGTCCGTACCATACATAAATTTTGGTCGCAGTTTTCTCAGCAGGTACTCATCGCAGATGCTTGAAAGTTTAGCACACTCTTTGTTTAGGCATGACATATGATGGGATTCATTTTTGTATGAATCTGATGTCAACTACCTGTTTATCCATGTGTCTGTCCATACCATACATTACAAATTTTGGTTGCAGTTTTCTCAGCAATTACTCATTGCAGATGTTTAAAAGTTTAGCACACTCTTTATTCAGGAATGCCATATGGTGGGATTCATTTTTGTACGAATCCGATGTCAACTTCTTGTTTATCCCTGTGTCTGTCCATAAATTAACTTGTATTTACATCAGATCGGGGGTATTATTAGTGAGCATTAGCTCACAGACTTTTCATTTTACTTTTTAGCTCACATGAGCTTAAAAAAAAGTAAAAATTTTATGGTATCTTCAAAAAATCTTCTCAAGAACCACTGGGCCAGAAAAGATGACATTATGAAAAAAAAAAGTAGATTTAAGTTCGTTCAAATCATGGCCCCTTGGATCAGGGCAGGGCAAAGTAGGAGATCAATTTTTTTGCATGGATAAATATAGGAAAAAATCAATAGTCCTATCAATGTGCAAGCATCCTCAGGTAGTCCAGATGTTTAAGGCATGGCCTTGAGGTATGGTTAGGATACAATATGGGAAGTCTCAGTTTGAAAAGGTAATAATGGGAACAAATCTTTTAAAAGAGTAGATGGGCTATACTAAATCATATCAATATGCAAACATTTTCAAGTTGTGTGGATTCATTTAATCCTGGGGTAAGGGTTGGGCTTTAATTGGAGACAATTTTTTCACAATACATATATGTACAGGGGAAAAAAAGTGATCTCAAAAATCTTTTTGTCCTGAACATCAAGGCCATGCAAGTCATTCTGAAGCATCCCCACAATGTGTGGATTCAAATCTGGTTAAATCATAACCTTTTCAGGCTAGGTTGGGGCCACAATTATGGAGTGAAAATTTTAATGGGAATGAAGAGGGGGAAAATCTACTGAGGAATAAAAGGGCCAAGGTCATTCAGATGAGTATATTGGGCCTTTGTCTACTACCCCCCCCCCCCCTTCCCTTAATGGGAAAAAGACTGTTCCTTGATATTTGTGCCCAGGCTCTTTATCAAATTCTGAATGGATCCAGACTGCAGCATTCATTGTCCCATGTCAAGTCTTGATATTCTTGACTCAAGATGATGTCTTAAAGTTCAGTGTTATTGGCAAATGTGAATTTAATTTTGTGTGGATATAACATAGTCTCTTGATCTGATTGAATTAAGTTCATGTACACCAGGCCATTTACTAGAATTTTTCAAATCTTGTGTTGCTAATGACCTTATGGCATGTCATAACGTTTTATATCAACAAACAGTTGTTAGACAAAAGCTCAACTTTAAGACCCTAAATGACTATTTTTAGCTGTTTGTTGTTGCTTATTAGTTATAGAGGCATTCCTAAAGAGCAAAGGTCAGGGTCACTTTGCATTGTTTTAATGGTGTCAGCCAATAATACTGTAATAGTTACAACCAGTGAATAAAATATATTACCTTGTTTAGAGTCTGTGAAGCATGTTCATATTTACTACGTATATGAAATGAAAGCACTCCAGTGTATATCATTTTTATTACTTATACACATCACAACAATTACACTCTCTCCTTCTCTCTCTCAACATAAATGATGGCAGATGAATGAAATATATGCAACGCATGAAATGATATCAAAATTGCTTTATAGCACCACTTGAAACAAACAAAAAACATTTTTGAAAGTCGACAATCAAAATCAATGTTTCACACACTCCTTCTCAAATACGACATGTTAATGCAGAATTGTGATTCAGGTGAGACATGGACTGAAATCCCTACCAAGAGGGTGCTGTGTTGGCCAACCGCCTCATCCTCCTGAAAACAGAAGAAGAAATGTGTCCAATACAATGTCTCTCCAACCACCATTTTTTTGTTTAATCTACTAAAATTCATACGTGCATTTCTGAACCATTCAAGAAATCATTTTCATGACTAATCTGTTCACATTTTTTTCAAAATTTATAAAAAAAGACCTCTTTACATTTAGAAATTCTTTAAATACCTTGTGTTTCTATCTTGATCTCGGATCTTCTTTTCCATTTCTGCATCTGTTAGTGTTTCTAAGAATGGACACCAAGTATCTGCCTCATTCTGGTTCCTAATGGCTACCTCAACAATGGGCAAAGGCTGTTCACTGCAGGAAACACAATCTGAGTATTAACTGATTGGCTGAAGTGTTATACATGTACATCTAGTAAAATGTGGTATCCAGATAATTCATTTACGCACAACTTATACTGATTTTTTAGCCAATAAAATTTTAAAACTCTCTTGGCAAATTACTTTGGGTTTACCTAAATGCATAAGTTCTTTGGTGCCAACTTAATTGGCCTCTGATGCTATAAGCTATACATGTAATGAATTCTCCACCAAGGCCTGAAAATGATGTAAAATAGAATTAGAGCATACAAAATTTACAGAATAGTTTAAACAACAGCCATGCAGTATTTTAGATATCAGAAGCCATCTGTAAAATATTTTTTTACTTGATGCACGTACCCAGTTCTGCACACAGGGTCTTGGCAAAATCTTCTGGCGAGTTATCAGGTTCCGACATGTCCCATTCGAACTGGTCGACCAAAGATATGTTGCCTACATGTATATTTAACTGAAAAAAGCAATTACATGTTCAGTCCTGTACTTTTATATTGGATATAAAACACTGAGTCAATGACACACCATTTGGCACTTTCAATGACTCTTGGCTTCTGTCTATATGAAAGTGCAGCATCCGAGTGTTAAAATATAAATTTCAAACGATATTTTGATATATTTTGACATCATCCAAATGTTTCAGCATTTTAAGTGTCATACAACATTTGTAAGGTGTTCACAAACCTTGAGTATCACTCTCTGGTCTTTTTGTTCATCTAACAAGTTTTCCTGTGGGTAAGCCTCTATTTGTTGTCTGATGGCCTGTGAGATGGCTGGGATGAAGTTGATTGGGTTCAGATCTAAATCATCACACAAGATTTCTGCAAACTGTTCAGGAGTAATCAGGCTCTCTGAAATATCAACAACATAAAAATCTTGTGATTCTATTTGAATGTTTATAATAAGAGTTGTTATTCTATTTGAATGTTTATAATAATAAGAGTTGTTAATACTAATTTACACTTTTATTGATGACAAATGTGGTAGTACTTTGGTAATGCGGATCATTATTACCGTTTTTATTCCATGTGAAACAGTCTCTGAGTTTCTGGCCTTCGTACTCCATGTCTAGTCGGATGGGGACCAGCTGCTCCTGTAGATTGGCATTATCATGAATACTGGCAGGATCTGTATCATCAAAACTGTAAATAACAAAATGTAGATAAATTAGAACTAGTAATTAATAGAACTTAATTATCATTGCAGAATGTCAAATACATGTCACTCACATTATCATTGTAGAATGTCAAATACACGTAACTCACATTATCATTGCAGAATGTCAAATACATGTAACTCACAATATCATTGTAGAATGTCAAATACATGTAACTCACATTATCATTGTAGAATGTCAAATACATGTAACTCACATTATCATTGCAGAATGTCAAATACATGTATATGTATAGTAGGAATAAAATTAGATGTTGTCTTAACATTAAAACAGATGTTTTCCCCTCTACCCAATTCAGTGGCCTTAAATTGATGATGCACCTTGCAGTCTTACAGTACGTTAAAGTTTAAAGCATACCTTAGTTTTGGCCCAGCCATTCACAAAGATTATTTGACAGAAAGACAGAAACCTTGGCAAAAGCAGTTTGTTTCTATTCTGTTAGAGGGAAGTTCAGAACTACTACTGTGAAATGCTATCAATATCATGTCCAGTTTGTACTAACCACATGGGGAAGGTCCGCACTTGTTTTTTCCCAAGTCTGTTCCTGTTAATTGGGGTGGCACATGGAACAGCATCTAAATGATGTGAACTGCTAGGAACTGTGGGTACCCAGTTGTTCCTCTTGGATTTATAATCCCTGTTTCTGTAAAGGTAAAATGATTACCATTCTACTATGCTTGAGGGGTAAAATTGGATCAATTTTTACTAATCTACTGCTTAGAACTCACTGAAACATGTAGACTTTAAATTTGACCTTACATTTGGTAAGATGAGTCACTGTTGATTGAGACAGTTTTAAACATATCATCATTTCCTTCAAAGATGGCATCAACTTCACTAGCCTTCAGGAGTGTAATGTTTGTGGCTAAAGATGGGGCTCCAGTGTCTATAAATGATTTTAAGAAAAATTAATTAATTTGTAATCAAACCCCTAAAAACATATAAAGTATTCAAGGAACACATATGTTATAGCAAGTACTTCATATATTACAAGAATTAATAAATGACATTTTAAAAATAGATCAAGTGCATCAATTCTTTTAAAGTCGTATTCTTTAAGATCTCCCTAAAACCCATTAGAAACAATATTCTTTGAAAGCTTTAAAAGAATTTGGATCATTAGATTCAAATTTTATCTTCATGCACACAGACTAACCTCTTTCACATTTACATTATAAACTACCGGTACTGGTTTTATAAAATCTTTTATAGTCTGTTAATAGTTTATAGTTTTTCAGAAAAGAAAAGAAATTACAATCCTTCATCTATTTCTTCTTAAAATTCATGCATGATTATCCCAAAAAGCAATCCCATGATGCAATGATTTTGAAAGATTCATGAATATTGTAAAACACAGGCATATTAATTTATATACTTTATATCAAGAATTCTTCTCTACCTACTACCAGAATATTTCTTTCAAACTACTGACTCTCATAGGTTTCGCCTATGCATTACTCACTTACATACATGTATATCATATACTGAGATCAATTTATCTGAGATTGATCCATACACATTTAATTATAGCTCTTGTCCAAACAAAATTTTGAACTATTTAAACTCCATATCATGTTTGTTTCTTACTAAAATATGTTTTGCATTGAAGTGATTTGTAATAAGACAGTTGAAGATTTTTTTTGTGAAAGTATATACATGTATACCATTACATCTTTATTATTGTATCAAGTCTACCATTATGTCTTTATAATTGTATCAAGTCTACCATTATGTCTGTATATGTTATACATAAACTTACTTAGCTCAGAGATCCTCTTCCTCTCTTCCACAGTAAGAAGTCTTCTCCACATGGAGGGATACTTCTTGTATAAAGACCCCCTGAACATTCGGAGATAATTCCCAACCTTTGTAAATAAAACATATTGTAGTTTTTATTACCTAGTAACATAGATACGGTAATAAAGAATTACAATCCTTACCTCAATGAATATTATCTATAAGTTAGGAAAAGTCTCATACTAAATGAATACTAAGTTAGATCCACTAGTTACATGTTAGTTTCGGGGATGGGGTTGATTACTTTCAAAACTAATTGATTAAATTACAATTACTTTGGATTTTTAAAGTAATCAATTACAAGCTGATTACAGCCATTCTTTAAAGTAATTGATTACATCTGATTACCTTTCCATCATGTAATCATGATTACTTGTGATTTCTCTAGATTACATTATACCTGGAATCCCACTCATGGAGCGAGCTCTGACAATGAAGTTTTTGGTACTGACATGCATTGCAGCTTGTAATGTTATAAGACTTGTTTCCCATGTAAACAAAGAATAGGGTAAGTTCCCTGGTCATTTGTTTTCTCCAAATATACATTCAAGTAATGGCTCCATTTGGTACACTGTGACTTTACTTTAACTGGTTAATTAAAATACTTAAGTGGACAACTGGACATAAACTTATTTATTAGTTTAATCCTTTGTATGTCTGGATCTGGATATTAGGGATGCGCAATTATATCGGTATACCAGTATATCGTGATTTTTTAATTGTGTGATACGTATCGTAATATGGAGATTAAAATACCGGTATTGAGGTACATAATTATTAATTCCAGAAATTATTAATTTCTTTGTTCAAACTTTTAAAATACAATTACAGGAAGTGTAAACAAGAGGCCCATGGGCCACATCACTCACCTGAGCACATTGGCTAGGCAAAAGCACAATCAGTTCAGTATTGAAAAGACCGGGGGGGGGGGGGGGGGGGGGGGGGGCTTGAATTTTAAACTACCTGATGATGCTTCCATGTCAATATAACAAATGGCTTTGTTGTACTTGAGAAGATTTTTTTAAAAAAATTCCCATATATTCCTTTGTAAGGATTTCTTGAGAAGAAATATTTTTTCTATCTGTTCTTATGGAAAACTTTCCTTCCCCCATTGGGCCCCACCCTACCCCTGGGGGTCATCATTTGAACACTACCTGAGGATGATTCCATATCAAAATGACTAATCATGGTTTGCAGTTCTTCAAAAGAAGATATTTTCCTTTATATTTCTATGCAAAACTTTGATCCTCCATTGTGGCCCCGCCCTACCCCCGGGGGTCATGGTTTGAACAAACTTGAATCTACACTACCTCAGGATGCTTCCATATAAATATGACTCATCATGACTTTGCTGTTCTTGAGAAGAAGATTTTTAAAGACTTTTTCCTATATATTTCTATGTAAAAATTTGATCCTCCATTGCGGCCCCGCCCTACCCCCGGGGGCCATGGTTTGATCAAATTTGAATCTACACTACCTGAGGATGCTTCCATATAAATATGACTCATCATGGCTTGCTGTTCTTGAGAAGATTTTTCCTATATATTTCTATGTAAAACTTTGATCCTCCATTGCGGCCCCGCCCTACCCCCGGGGGCCATGGTTTGATCAAATTTGAATCTACACTACCTGAGGATGCTTCCATATAAATATGACTCATCATGGCTTGCTGTTCTTGAGAAGATTTTTCCTATATATTTCTATGTAAAACTTTGATCCTCCATTGTGGGCCCGCCCTACCCCTGGGGGTCAAGATTTGAACAAATTTGAATGTACACTACCTCAGGATGCTTCCATATAAATATGACTCATCATGGCTTTGCTGTTCTTGAGAAGAAGATTTTTAAAGATTTTTCCTATATATTCCTATGTAAAACTTTGATCCTCCATTGTGGCCCCGCCCTACCCCTGGGGGTCATGATTTGAACAAACTTGAATCTACACTACCTCAGGATGCTTCCATATAAATATGACTCATCATGACTTTGCTGTTCTTGAGAAGAAGATTTTTAAAGACTTTTTCCTATATATTTCTATGTAAAAATTTGATCCTCCATTGCGGCCCCGCCCTACCCCCGGGGGCCATGGTTTGATCAAATTTGAATCTACACTACCTGAGGATGCTTCCATATAAATATGACTCATCATGGCTTGCTGTTCTTGAGAAGATTTTTCCTATATATTTCTATGTAAAACTTTGATCCTCCATTGCGGCCCCGCCCTACCCCCGGGGGCCATGGTTTGATCAAATTTGAATCTACACTACCTGAGGATGCTTCCATATAAATATGACTCATCATGGCTTGCTGTTCTTGAGAAGATTTTTCCTATATATTTCTATGTAAAACTTTGATCCTCCATTGTGGGCCCGCCCTACCCCTGGGGGTCAAGATTTGAACAAATTTGAATGTACACTACCTCAGGATGCTTCCATATAAATATGACTCATCATGGCTTTGCTGTTCTTGAGAAGAAGATTTTTAAAGATTTTTCCTATATATTCCTATGTAAAACTTTGATCCTCCATTGTGGCCCCGCCCTACCCCTGGGGGTCATGATTTGAACAAACTTGAATCTACACTACCTCAGGATGCTTCCATATAAATATGACTCATCATGGCTTTGCTGTTCTTGAGAAGAAGATTTTTAAAGATTTTTCCTATATATTTCTATGTAAAACTTTGATCCTCCATTGTGGCCCCGCCCTACCCCCGGGGGTCATGATTTGAACAAACTTGAATCTACACTACCTCAGGATGCTTCCATATAAATATGACTCATCATGGCTTTGCTGTTCTTGAGAAGAAGATTTTTAAAGATTTTTCCTATATATTTCTATGTAAAACTTTGATCCTCCATTGTGGCCCCACCCTACCCCAGCGGGCCATGATTTGAAGAAACTTGAATGTACACTACCTCAGGATGCTTCCATATAAATATGACTCATCATGGCTTTGCTGTTCTTGAGAATAAGATTTTTAAAGATTTTTCCTATATATTTCTATGTAAAACTTTGATCCTCCATTGTGGCCCCGCCCTACCCCCGGGGGTCAAGATTTGAACAAACTTGAATCTACACTACCTCAGGATGCTTCCATATAAATATGACTCATCATGGCTCTGCTGTTCTTGAGAAGAAGATTTTTAAAGATTTTTCCTATATATTTCTATGTAAAACTTTGATCCTCCATTGTGGCCCCACCCTACCCCAGCGGGCCATGATTTGAAGAAACTTGAATGTACACTACCTCAGGATGCTTCCATATAAATATGACTCATCATGGCTTTGCTGTTCTTGAGAAGAAGATTTTTAAAGATTTTTCCTATATATTTCTATGTAAAACTTTGATCCTCTACTGCGGCTTCACCCTACCCCCGGGGTCATGATTTGAACAAACTTGAATCTGCACTACCTCAGGATGCTTCCATATAAATATGACTCATCATGGCTTTGCTGTTCTTGAGAAGAAGATTTTAAAGATTTTTCCTATATATTTCTATGTAAAACTTTGATCCTCCATTGTGGCCCCACCCTACCCCCGGGGGTCATGATTAGAACAAACTTGAATCTACACTACCTGAGGATGCTTCCATATAAATATGACTCATCATGGCTTTGCTGTTCTTGAGAAGAAGATTTTTAAAGATTTTTCCAATATATTTCTATGTAAAATTTTGATCCTCCACTGCGGCCCCGCCCTACCCCCGGGGGTCATGATTTGAACAAACTTGAATCTACACTACCTCAGGATGTTTGATATAAATATGACCAATCATGGCTTTGCTGTTCTTGAGAAGAAGATTTTTAAAGATTTTTCCTATATATTTCTATGTAAAACTTTGATCCTCCATTGTGGCCCCACCCTACCCCCGGGGGTCATGATTTGAACAAACTTGAATCTACACTACCTCAGGATGCTTCCATATAAATATGCCTCATCATGGCTTTGCTGTTCTTGAGAAGAAGATTTTTAAAGATTTTTCCTATATATTTCTATGTAAAACTTTGATCCTCCATTGCGGCCCTGCCCTACCCCCGGAGTCATGATCTGAACAAATTTGAATCTACCCTACCTGAGGATGCTTCCATATAAATATGACTTATCATGGCTTTGCTGTTCTTGAGAAGAAGATTTTTAAAGATTTTTCCTATATATTTCTATGTAAAACTTTGATCCTCTACTGCGGCCCCGCCCTACCCCCAGGGGTCATGATTTGAACAAACTTGAATCTACACTACCTCAGGATGTTTCCATATAAATATGACCAATCATGGCTTTGCTGTTCTTGAGAAGAAGATTTTTAAAGATTTTTCCTATATATTTCTATGTAAAACTTTGATCCTCCATTGCAGCCCTGCCCTACCCCCAAGGGTCATGATTTAAACAAATTTGAATCTACACTACCTCAGGATGCTTCCATATAAATATGACTCATCATGGCTTTGCCGTTCTTGAGAAGAAGATTTTTAAAGATTTTTCCTATATATTTCTATGTAAAACTTTGATCCTCCATTGTGGCCACACCCTACCCCCGGGGGTCATGATTTGAACAAACTTGAATCTACACTACCTGAGGATGCTTCCATATAAATATGCCTCATCATGGCTTTGCTGTTCTTGAGAAGAAGATTTTTAAAGATTTTTCCTATATATTTCTATGTAAAACTTTGATCCTCCATTGCAGCCCCGCCCTACCCCCGGGGGTCATGATTTGAACAAACTTGAATGTACACTACCTAAGGATGCTTCCACATGAGTTTCATCTTTCCTGGCCCTATGGTTCTTGAGAAGAAGATTTTTAAATGATGCCATTATTTTTTCACTTATTCCTAATTATCTCCCCTTGAAAGAGGGCGTGGCCCTTCATTTGAACAAACCTGAATCCCCTTTACCCAAGGATACTTTGTGGCAAGTTTGGTTGAAATTGGCCAAGTGGTTCTTGAGAAGAAGTCGAAAATGTGAAAAGTTTACAGACAGATAGACAGACGGACGCCGGACAAAATGTGATCAGAAAAGCTCACTTGAGCTTTCAGCTCAGGTGAGCTAAAAATGTTGAAAATTGTAAAAGAACGGCATCCTAACATTCAAACATGCTTTATATTATGTAAATAAATATGAAAAATAGTTACTTTTTTCGAGTATATTTGTAAGAAAAATTATAGATATTCATTTAAAATAAAATAAAAATTGCCTGTTAAAATATCACAATATCATCTTGGATCTTTGGGGGGGGGGGGGGGGGGGATAGGGAAAGTTTTTGGCGATACCCATCCCTACTGGATATACAACTTTATTTCTTGGGGTATGAATTATAATTTTCTTCATTGGTTTATTGTTGTCTTATTTTTTATGCACTTCATTTGTCTTCATTGTACTCATACTCAATTTCATTTGAAAAGAAAAAATGTTACTTAACTGCTGAAGAAATATATCTACTATACTATTACTATAAATGTAACAAGGCATGAAACTTGCCTCCATGTTGGATTCCACTAAGGGGCTCTTTCTGATTAGTAACAAAAATTTCTAACCCAAGTCAGGCTTTTGTCAGACATTGCAGTCTATGCGAAAGACATTGGACAGTTGGACCTGACCGATGTGCAGTGCCTCTGGTCCAATGCGTCATTTTTTACACCGGACCAGAATGTCCGATGTTTCAGCGTCCAGTTTTGAGCTTTACTATTTTGACACAGTCATTCAAATGTTTGTTATTAGTAAAAAAATATCGCACAAATCTAAATACGTAAATGAATTGATTTAAACCGCATGGACCATCTACAGTAATAAGATTTCTTTGGTTCTGCATTTTCACGTATTTCACTTTTTTACATTAGGTTTTTTTTTTGGTCTGACAAAATTTGGTTCCATCCTGTGTGTTCATTGATTACACAGGACTGAATGTCCTGTGTGGTCAAAAAAACTTTCGCATAGACTGACATTGGATGCTGATATATATTGAAAAAAAATTTAAAAATTTTGAAATATTAAAAATCAAATCAGGCTGAATCTTGCAGCACGCCCCTAGCATTCACCATTTTTTAGCATTTCTCAGCAAACCAGGTCTCCTCAGGTTTATGGGGGTGCAGTCAATTTGATTGCTGTTTACTTTCAAAGTCAGAGAACGACAACACAGAAAGCTACCATAATAGTAAATATTTTTTAGCACCACTGCAGTTAAGGTGGGGAGTGACCGGAGTGCCTATGGTTTTGTCGATATATTGTAGAAGAAAATGGATGAGACACTTTTCTGTTTGTTTTCCAAATGACTGCAATTCTAGAGAAGGAGTACGCTATATAATATGTAGTTAGATACCTTGTCATACTATGGGGGAAACTTTTATTATAGAAACAAGTGCCTGTGACCCATATTGACATATATATATTCTTGTATATTTATATGGAGGTTCTCCAAAATTGATGTTGGATGCGTTTATTAACTATTTTAAATGTTGCTATTACTTAAAATGTTAGACTGAAACATTGTATATTTATACATAGAGCCATTAGTGTGGTGAGATTTTATAATTGATAAAATTGCAGGTGCCTCTGCTTATAAATACACCTTTACTGCAGTCCAAATGATATTGTAAATTGGTTTTTAATTATCTCCGAATTCTCAGCTTTTCTTTACCTCTGACCCAATGTAATAAAACTCGCCATCTTCCTCTATTTGAAAGGGTCTTGGTTTTTCCCCAAAGGTCTTTGTGCCAAACACCGCCATATTGAACACACCTATGAGCGCCCTCTACTGGATGTCATTTAAATTAACTCGTCCCAAAAGTCATTCAACTTTAAAATTTGCATTTTTTACATATGTTTACGTTATATTTTTAAAAATTTTTAGTTAATATGACATATAAAAAAATCCATAGGATCTTTTTAACGGCAAGTAATAGCATAATGATTGACAAGAGAACACATGCAGACAGACCTTCTTTCACTTTCATTTCTCCGGTCAAGGTAACTTTTCACGCTGATGGGAAGTGACCCAACATGTCAAAGAATGACATGGAATATAAGGTTTACAAAAAATGTTTTAAAGAAAACTTCGCACAGAGGGTCAAGGTCGGAGTTGTATGAGAAAAACATGTTCAGCCCGTGATATTTTGTTCAGTACTACGTACATGTTTGGATCAGTTGAGTAAGCTGAAAATATTTCCACTTGTGTACCTCAAATATAGTTTGGGCGAACTAATAATACGTGCACCTGAATATCAAACACTAGCAGGTAAGACAATACTATGATTAAACAATACAGTTAAACAGTTGAATGCTGTCGAACATCAAATTTGTCTCCAAACTCTCTCATAACACAGTTTTTTTTTTAAATCAATAAAATCTGATAATAAATCATTCACTATCAACACAAATAAAATTATATAAAGGAATTAGGATGTTATCAAAATTTAGTTTTGACAGATTTGAAGTGTTGAAAAAGAAATGAAATGATTGCTTTCAGTAAGTTATCCATTTGTATTTGTTTTTCCCCAACTCTTGCTAATGAAATCTAGTCAGAACTGGTTATTTTGATGGAGACTTCATTGATTTGATGTGATTTAATCAGTATCAGTGTTCAACAGTGCAAGAACTCCTCTCAGTCACCAACTGCAAGCATGGAAATATCAAGTACTAGCAATATTTAGTCAAATCTGTGAGGGAAGTCATTTTCCTTTATTAAAAACCATTTCCTTTAAAAAAAAAAAAAATGAGTTGGGTTGTGTGAAATATACATAGAACATGTAGAATGAGAGGAAACAAATTAAAGTAAAATTATCACAACTATGAGTTTCTACCACATTCGACAGTTGCCCCCAAACTTTTTTTTTAGGACAATGTCCACACCTAAGAAGCTCCGTCTGATCACTTACTTGTCCCCAGGGATTCCCATTGAGGTGTTTGAACTTCTTCTGCACTATCTTGAGGATGTCACAGGACTGGAGGGGTACCTGATGACAGAATCACGCTGGAGTGGTCCTCCCCCAGACAGGAGGGACCCATTCACAGAGGAAGATGCCGATATTGGTAAAAATCATGAACTTTAGAACTTGTGTAATCAACTCACAGAAATAGTGTCATTAGAGCCAAAACATTTTATTAATCAGGATTTATGAGCAGTTCAGCCTACCTGCGTTTGAAACAAGAAGGGAACAATTATATAGATCTGTGTTCAGCAGCTCCTGTACACCCACACATTAAGGGAGGTAGTGAACCAGTGTACTTCTCTGATGTTGTGGTCAATGGTAGTAAAAAGTAAGTACGCAACCAGAAACACTTCAATTTAAGTTGTCTTTTTCAAAAGATAGTACCTTTTTTTAGCTCACCTGAGCAGAGGGCTAAAGTGAGCTTTTCTGATCAAAGGGTGTCCAGTCTCTGTCTGTAAACTTTTTACACTTTTTGACTTTCTTCACGAATCACAGGGCCAATTTCAACTAAACTTGCAACAAAGTGTCCATTAGTCAAGGATTTAAGTTCGTTCAAACAATGGGCCATGCCCTCTTTCAAAGGGAGATAATTAAGAAATTAGTGAGTGAAAATTTAATGGCATCTTTTAAACATCTCCTCAACAAGAATCTCTGGGTCAGAAAAGATGAAAACTTCATTACATAGTGAAGATTCAATTTTTTTTTTTCAAAACATGACCCCCAGGGGTAGGGTGGGGCCACAATGGATGATCAAAGGTTTACATAGGAATACATAGGAAAAATCTTCTCAAGAGCAGCAAACTCATGATTAGTCATATTTATATGGAAGCATCCTCAGGTAGTGAAGATTCAACTTTGCTCAAACCATGACCACTGGGGGTAGAGTGGGGCCACAATCTACAATCAAAGTTTTACATAGAAAGAATTTTTAAATATCTTCTTCATAAGAATGACAAAGCCATGATTAGTCATATTTATATGGAAGCATCCTCAGGTAGTGTAGATTCAAGTTTGTTCAGATCAGTACTCCTGATCAGGGTAGGGTGGAACCACAATATATGATGAAATTTTTACATAGGAATATATAGGGAAAAAATGCTGATGAACAGCAGGGCCATAGTAAGTCAGGTGTGCACTGTGGTCCATGAGCCTCTTTTGTACCAGCTAGGCTGAACAAAAGTTTCATTGAAGTTGTAAAATTTGATCTTATTTGCTTTAAATATGTAGGGCAAGTTACACCACATTTGTGGATCTAAAAGGACAGACATTTGCTTTCAATGATCCAGTCTCGCTGAGTGGAAGTCTGATAGTTCTAGGCAATCTAAAAAAAATGGGCTATAATTCCAACTTCTTTGGCAACATGCTGCATTCTGGTATGTCCAATGGAATTGTAGATTTGTTAAAGGGTTTGTTCTTTGTCATCTTAGATGACCAAAATGGATATTTCTTGATTGGGTTTTGTATAGTTTATTTTAAAGCTATCAGAATTTGCTTCATAGGTTCCCATTTGAACTCCATACAGATGATATTGGATGGTAAAGCAGATGTGGCAGCCATTGACTCTAATGTCCTGCAGTATTATCTCAAACAAAATCCACAAAATAGAGAAAACTTGTCAGTCTTAACTTCATTTGGACCAATGCCAGTTTATCCTACCATCTTCAATTCTCGACTCAGCTGTAAGCTTATTTATAACTTTATTCCATAATTACACAGTACAAAGGTTTCCACTTTTTAAAAAAAAAAGTCATATTTTACATTTCATATTTGTATCAAAGAAATAACAGCTGTTCATGCAGACATTTAAACAAATACCAGAGAAGGAAAAAAGGATAATGGATAAGGTACCTCCCTGTTTTGAAAGAGAAACTCTTAAAATGGGATTCCCCTCCTGGCTTTATGCATGAATTGATTTTTTTGACGTGTACTTGATACATAGTATTTTGTTTATATCCTTTAGCTGACTTTAAGAAGCAGATATCAGATGCCTTGCTGAGAATGCACAAAATACCAGAGTGGAGGTCAAGGATGAACGAGTGCTACATTCAGAACTTTGCCGAGATAGACGAATCTCTGTATAACATTGAAACAGGGCTCATGGATGTTGTCAAGGGACTTAGCTTATCTAATATCTACTATTGACCATAGCAACATACATTATTATTTGCTAAAGTCAGCTTTAAAAACAAATCCTCTGTTCATTACGATGATCAGATTTGAAATCTGAATAAGGCTACTGAAAGTAACAAAGAAATGAGCTCTTGACAAGAACTGTCAAAAAAAAAAAAGAATCAGGTTGCGAATGGGACAAATTTTCATTTATACGTCTACATTTTTTTAACATTTTTTTATTGCGCATTTGTTGCTGATGTTTATAATAGCCACCAATATTTTTAGTGCCATATATAAATTTTTTTTTGCAAAAACAAAAGGCAATATTTAAATAATACTGTAAGCATGAAATATCAACAATAATTACATGTATATGTTGGAGTATATTTTTATGGTTTAAAAGCAAAATGGAAAATTCATGTGTATTTATAGAAGGTTTATACATTCCTGTTTTTATTGGTTCAGGTGGAATTAATAATAAAAATGTACATTCAAATATTTTGAGCTGTTGAATTTATTAGACATTTATTCACTGTAAGTAATGGATATATGCCGAATACTGTTCTATATGTAAAATTAAAACATTGCTGTGATGTCTTGCCTTTGTTCTTACAGTCTAAAAATTTACCTGTAGCCGTCCGATAATAATAATTAGCAGTCCAATAATATATTATCGGACGGCAGTGATAACAAAATCGGACAGTAGTTAAAAAACAACAACTAGAGTGAAATCAAGGTTTAATTTGTCCAGAAACCAAAAAAAAAAGTTAGGGAAAAAAATTCAGGGAAAGCGAAAGCGAGGAAATTAAGTTGTTAAAATAGCAAATTCGAGAAGAAACTGGAGTTTTAACCTTCCTCAAAAGTAACACTTTCCATTCGGTTTTTTGCAAAGCGTTTTCAATACAGCACTGTGAATAAGCCAATTTAAATCCATTTCTGGTAAAGAACCAGTCTGCGAATCTCTTCATTTAATGAGGTTTGTTCGCCAATGACGGCACTTTTAAAACCCAAGATTTTCATTATATCATCCAATCAAAATTTTAGATAAAAATTCGCATTTTTACTTTAAATGCATTTTGAAGATATCATCCAACACTGTATCTGTATCAATGTCAAACGCACTTAATAAAAAAAAAAAAATATTCCGAATCATAAAAAATTCCTTCATCACCTGACCACTGTCCATAGTTCCTGCTAAGCCAAATGACTGCCATTGAATGAATGAAACAAAAGAGTTCACTCACTGATTTTACTGTCTGAAGAAAAAAAAAACTTTCTCTTTTCTTTTGTCTACCTATTAGATGGTTTCAGGTAGAAAACTATTGATGCCTGAACTCCTATTGTGTAATTATTGGACTCCTCCAGGTAACTTTTGGACATTTAAATGGCAATGTTTTAAGTAAGATATATGCCTCATACAATTCTATATGTAAAATTATCAGACTGTTTTCGGCCCTAACCGGCCTCAAACAGTCTGATAATTTTACATATAGAACAGTATTCGGCATATATCCATTACTTATCAGACTGTTTGAGGCTGGCAAGCACAAAAACGTGTTGAAGCATGAATCTTTATGGTTTATTGCATCAGTATCACAGTTGTCAATATTGTAGGTGTATCACAGTAGTGGTAATTGGACAAGTGATTTCACTGAATCTTTTTTTTTTTTTTTTTTTTTTTTTTTTTTTTTACAAAAGATGATAACAACGTGTTTACTTCAACAAGCTTTTATTTACATGTTGTAGAAGAGTACCTTTTCAGAACTAGTTTAGGTCCACCTGGGAAGGTTTATTCTCACAAGAGCAGTTGTAATAGTAGATCTTTGTAAAAATTAAGCGTGACATATGCCAAGCGCTTGTTTGAAACAATTTTGATCCATCTAAGAGGCTCTGTTTTTAATCATATATTCTTGTAAATAACCTCTCCACACCAATTAAAACGGAGGAGCAGGTAATCCTGGTAACAAATAATGACAACCTATGTCAAGGTTTCCAATCATTTCAAATATCCCTGGACAGAAAGTCAAGTCTACAGAAATTTATCACGATGAAATCTCTGAACTGTTGGTAGGGGTACTGTAAAATTCACTCCAGTATGGTTTGCATCATTTGAGCCTGGGGTCTTGGACGGTACAGATATGGGTCATTGAGCATGTATGACACAACAGAACTTGGTCTTCCCTGAAGAATTTCATCAGGGGCAAGATTTTCAACGACTGACATGGCATTAGGAGAAATATGGTGAACGTCTGCCGCCAGACTGTCTTGCACAAACCGCATCATATGTTTTACTTCTTCCAGTCGGAAAAGAGTCTGTGATTAAAAATTGTACTGTCAGGTTAGTTTACACAGAAGGTGTAATGATGTAATGAGTATTTAAAACTGATAGAAAACAATATTTTACATTGAAGATTTTTTTACCCACATTTCATTTCCACCCTATATTCCTTAATTCTTCATAGACAAACTTGAAACTTTGCAAATATTTACAGGTATCTGAGGACATTCTAAGTTGAGAAGCAATAAGGGTTTGAGTGAATTTAAAAACGGACAAACTCATTTGTTTATGTGATTGGATGAAAAAAGCACTGGATGAAATTTTTTTGATACATAGTAGGCCCAACATCAAATGATTGGGAATAAGTATTAACAACTGTATGTGTTGGTGTATGCATTATTTTAAAAGTTACCTCTGTGTTGAATGCAAAGTAGAAGTTGTCCAGTCTTGGGTCCTCCTCAATGCATGTTTTTAGTTTAGCTTTCAGGAACTCTGTTAAGGGGGTTCCAGTCATGAAGATTCTAGCCTGAGTGACCTCCACCAACTTCTTATGGAAAACCATTGTCATTCTTCCAAAGATTGCTTCATCGACTGTACACTTATAAATCACAAAAGCACATGAATTTATAAAATGGCTAATATTGTTCAAAGGAATTTTCATCATTTCATTACTTATGTTCCCAAGAAAGAACCAATTCATGATGATTAGAGTGGGTTTTTGTTTTCCAAATTACAGAGAGGAAATGCATTTAATGTACAGAATGGAATTTACATGTACCTCAAAGTCTGGAATCACCCCATAAGGCAGAGGTTTGCTAGGCGTGCGTCTCTTCCCCCGACTCTGTCCCTGGCTGTTTGCTGTAGCATCCCTGCTACGATTTTTACTTATGTACTCGTGTGCCTCCATAGTGATAACCAGAAGATCCTGTAGGGCATCAATCATAGAAATAAGGTACTCCACCTGGCCAGCCATGCTGTGTAACATCCTCCAGGACTCCACGAGGTGGACCCGATCCTATGTATAAAGAGAATATTTACATCTGATAAGATCAGCCATCTTTGTACTGTCTGTCTGGTTTGTCTTTTGATTTTTACACTTTTAAAAACCTCCAAAACCACAAAACAATTGCCATTAAACTTTCACATAGCTTGTCCTTTGGTTTGAAAAATTTCCTCTAGGTCTGATTAGTGTATTTTGGGTCATTGTCATTAGACTATTATTTGTTGAGGTTGAAAATTTGTAGGAACAGGGACCCAGCAAAATCATCCAAAATTGCACCCCAGTGTAATTTAATGTTTCCGCAATATTACAAACCTTATTCATGGCAACAAAACAAAGAAGATTATGGTCAGAAATTAACCAATCAATTAAGAGGTACATTACCTGATTCATCAAGCTTTTGAGCAGCAGCCCTCTGTGGACAGTCATCCAATCACAGCGGTCCTTAGATACAGAGATCATCTTATCCAGAAACTGCTGGGCATTCCTGATATTAGTTGTGTTCATAGGATCCCCTCCATTGGAAGGTCCACCATTTTGGTAATGGAATGCTGCCTAATCAAAAAAACACAAGACTGCAGCTAATCCAGACTTAATCAAACTCTGCCTCATTTTGAAGAATTAAATGTATGGAATAAATATCTCAAATACTTGCATTGGATATTCATTTAACTGGATTTTACAATCATTTACCCTGTCTCTGGAGAGGAAGACACTCTGATAGAAGGCTACAGGGTTATCTGGATAGAAGATCTCACCACTTAAAAACAAACAAAAAGTCAAAATCACACAAATATGAAAATAAGTTACCACTCAAGAAAAAATATCAAAACAGAAACTTTGTATTAAAATGTTCATCAAAAAAAAACAAAAACAAAAAGTTGAATTTGGTTAATATACTGGTACCACTTACTCTAGTTCATCATCTGTGATGAAGTGAAGAAGAAAGTACTTTCTGACAGGAGTATATCTCCAGTTATCCATCAAAATGAAGGCCTGCCAAAATTTTTAGAACTTAAGTACATTCTACACATTTTCATCTGCTTTGATCCTTTTCTCCATGAAAAGAAATTAGATTTAGAAAACAAGATGTGTTTGTGAAACACTGCTGCCCCTGTATGGCAGCTCAGGGTGAAGGTTAAAGTTTCTCAAATGCAAGTCAAAATCCAAGGAGAAGGTAAAGAGATAAAAAAATATTCGACCCAAAGAAAGGTCTTGTCACAAGGAATACACCTGTGAAATATGAAAGCCCTAGCACCAACTGTTCAAAAGTTATGGCCAAAGTTAAAGTTTTTCAAAAGTAGGTCAAACTCCAAGGTCAAAAGTCAAAAATATCTGTACCCAAGGAAAGGTCTTATCACAAGGAATACACATGTGAAGTCTTAGCACCAACTGTTCAAAAGTTATGGTTAAAGTTTGATAACATCTTGCAAAAGTTGGTCAGATTTCCAAGGTCAAGTTCAAGAGGTACCATATGTTGGTACCGAAAGAAAAGTCTTGACACAAGTAATACACATGTGAAATATAAAAGCTTAGTTCCAACCAATCTAAAGTTATGGGCAAGGTTAAAGTTTTTGTGGTCAAACAGATTAACAGATGGACAGACAGAGCAAGAACTATATGCCCCTGAATCTTCAAATAGGGGGCATAAAAAATGCATAAAGGGGAGTAACTATCTTAATTTTTTTTTTGCATCGTAGAGTTCATAAAATAAATTTAGACTGTGATGCATTAAAATAATATTTAAACATAGTTATAAAAAAGATAAATTGATTAATATAAATATAATTTTATACATTTATATCATTTTACTCTTGTGATATGTGTCTCCGTGATTTCTTTATATAATTTTATCTTCTTACTCAGTATGTTTAGACATTCATGCCTTAAAATTTGATACCTTTAAGAAGACAGGTTCACTCCTGGTGGTGGCACCAACCAGCATGTCCATGAAAGCTTGCTTCCGAACTAGGACTTCCTCCCAAGACCACTTCTCCTCCCCAAAAAACACGCCCACCACAGGTATCGTGTTCTTCATTACCATGTCATTTATGTGGTTATAAACTGGAATCAAACTTAGACATTAGGGTGGATATCAACTGTGATTAGCAATGCAACAAAACAAACTTCGGACATCTTACTATGATGAGGCTTTGACAGAAATTTTACTCATCTCTTATCAAGACTGTAAAATCAATCTCTTGTGGTAAGAAGAACTTCATCAGAAATGCTAGATGAAGGATGGTGTCTGATAACCCATATGATTTGTGAAATTTTCAAAATAAAATTAAGATGTAAAAATATTGGTACTTTAATTATAATCATACCCATCAGAGCAAAAAGTTGGATAGCGTCCCCTGAACAGCCTGGTGGACCTTGTATATAGTAGTGTTCATGTAGTTCCACTTCATTCAAAAATGGCTGCATCTTGCCATATAAGATACTAGGACCACTCAAAGCCAGGCAGATTCCAGCCTATAACACGTACAATATAATTATTACTTATTAGGTTTGTTAGTGACTGTCTACAGAGATCAATCTCAGACAGACAGCAAGGCAAAGCCGAGTTACCTATACGAGATTAATCAACCGGGCATTGGTAATTTATTTCTGTATATAAACAGTCACTAACAAATGTAATAAGTGTTTTGTTTTGTTATGAGGACCTGCAACAGTTAACAAACCACAAATCAATTACAATTTAAAAGGATTTTCTCATCTGTGCAGCTACCTGGTAGTCATCTTTTTGTTTACAGATTATGTAACTGAAAATGGACACTACTCTAAATTTAATCAAATCATTGCCAAATAGGTCATGACATGAATATAAGTTTTTTTTGAAAGCAAAAAATAATATGCCAGCTAATTTTTTTTTCTGTAAATATGGATGACATAACATTGCTTTATCCACCATGTTGCCATCTATATTGTTACTCGCCATCTACAGAAATATTGAGGGCAAGCATATGATATCTGATATCCAATGACAGAGCATAATTCTAGTCCAAGCCCAAACAAAAGGCATATATAGCACTTTTATAATGCAAATGTTGCTGAAAAGAATATTACTAACTATCAGAAAAAAAGATGGTACTTATAGAGTCTGGTATGAGTGAGCTAAATGCAGGTAAAACAATAGAAAACCTTGGAAGAAAACTATACTACAAACATATCGAGAGGTCACTTAGTCAATGGATGGCAATACAGGTTTAACTCTATTTAATTGATTTGTATAATCACTGCATTAAATTCATTCAGAATTTTCATAACTGAATTGACATGATCTGTACCCTGTAAGCTCCTTTTCTCTGTATGTAGTTTTGCTGGACAAACAGCTGAATAATCTGTCCCAGTGGAAGAAAAGCAACAGTGTCTAGTACTCGGAGAGCACTGGTGGTTCCTAGAAATCAAAGAAAGTAACAAAATTTTAGATTTCAAATATAGAAATATACATATTTAAATAAGAAAACGAATGTTTAAAATTTAGATGGTCATTTTTTAGGCTGTACCATAGGCATCAACTCCATTGACTGAGTAGATATAGTTCTCTGGGTCAGATATCTCCATTTGTGTAGCAAGTAACAAGTTTTCTATCTGTTCTGGTTTCTCAAAAAATAGGTCCATCCTACAAAGATTATCAACAATGAGACAATATCAGAAAAAAATGTCACTGCAAATAAAGTGTTTAACGTATTGATTATAAATTTCCCTCATTAAAAGTTGGTTTATTGGTTTTTCATTAGTTGGATTCTATATATACTTCATTGCCTATCGTCAGAGATGTTAGTGTTTGTTAGTTGGATTCTATACTACTTCATTGCCTGTTGTCGGAGATGTTAGTTTTCGTTAGTTGGATTCTATACATACATTGCCTGTTGTCGGAGATGTTAGTTTTTGTTAGTTGGATTCTATACATATATTGCCTGTTGTCAGAGATGTAGTTTTCATTAGTTGTATTCTATGAATACATACTTCATTGCCTGTTGTCGTAGAAGGGAGACAAATCTGGGGTATGGATTGGGTGGGTAATACTGGGCTCTGGCAAGCTCCAATAAATACTCTTTCCACACGTCATCCAAGTGAGTGTCCAGCATATACTTAAAACACAACAGAAGAACATGACAGAAGGTAAGAAGTCTGTACAGTTGTAACAGGATTAATTATTCATGTGAAGATTCAAAATCATTATAAATATACCATATATATTTTCTAAGGAAAAAAGTGGCACGTGTTGTAAAAAGCCACAAACTGATTAACTATAAAACAAATTAATAATAACCTGAATGAGGACAGCTTCCTTTGCAATTGCTTTGCTGTGTTCTCCATTTTCAATGCATTCATCAACATTTACAACTAAATTTTAAAGAAGTACAAATCTGTCAAGAAACTTGAAAATGATGTCAGTAGGTCAGCATTTACATAAATAAGGTTAAGTTTTAATGACATTTTCATAAAGTTTCTCCATTACAGAACAATTAACTCACTGAGCTTTTCATGAAGAAGATCTTTCATATGTTCATGCTCCAACCCATGTGAAACATTTGGATCCATTTCAACACCCTACAATCACACAAAGTTCCTACATACATCTGGGACATAAAAAAAGCCTTCTAATTAAGAGTTATAATTCACAAAACATTGAAAACAGGTCTCTGACTGCACTCTACTTTACCGTTGGGTCACGTCTCTCTCTGTGCCGGGTCAGGGGTTGTGGAATGACTTTGGGGAATGTGTTTTTCATTGCAATCATAATCTCCTACAAGCAGATGAAAAACTAGATATCATTGAGATGGTGGCCATCTCAAAGGGCCCCGCTTTCAGCAACGAACATGAAAATGTAAGGTAGCTGAAAAGGGTTTATTTTGAAGAGGAACACTTGTGTACCATTAAGGGATGTGTTGTTTGAGTCTAAAGGGCTTCTATGTCATCCTTGTTATAATAAAAAAATAGCACGAAAATCAAGAGTGCTCCATACCCTCTATCAAAAAGCAGCACAAAAATCACAAATGTTGCATATCCTCTATGAACACTATTGCATATATATCAAAATATGGAAGGAAAATCACAAATGTTCTGTACCCTAAATCAATTGGTAAAGTTTGAGGCTGACTGGACTTAAGAGAAAGAAACCATGTACCGAACAAAGATTTTAAACAGAGAGGCTATTTTTGACCTTGACCCTTGATCTAGAAACTTTGTTCAAGGTCACTGCACATCCATTGACCAGTGGCACTCTGAGAGTGAAGTATGAGCCACATTGGACCAAAAGGAGAGAAGATATGCTCTGGATGAGGATTTTTCATATAATTCTGCTATGACCTTGACCTTAGACCTAGAAACATGGATCAAGGTCACTGCATGCCCTTTACCCAAAGACACTCTGTGGGTGAACTATGAGCCAGATTGGGAAAAGGAGAAAGAAGAAATGCTCTGAACAAGAATTTAAACACAGAGGCTATTTTTGACCTTGACCCTTGACCTAGAAACTTTGTTCAAGGTCACTGCACATCCATTGACCAGTGACACTCTATGAGTGAAGTTTGAGCTACATTGGACCAAGAGGAGAGAAGATATGCTGCAGGATTTTTCATATAATTCTGCTATGACCTTGACCTTAGACCTAGAAACATGGATCAAGGTCACTGCATGCCCTTTACCCAAAGACACTTTGTGGGTGGACTATGAGCCAGATTGGGCCAAGGAGAGAGAAGATATGCTCCGGACAAGAATTTAAACAGAGAGGCTATTTTTGACCTTGATCCTTGATCTAGAAACTTTGTTCAAGGTCACTGCACATCCATTGACCAGTCGCACTCTGTGAGTGAAGTATGAGTCACATTGGACCAAGAGGAGAGAAGATATGCTCCGGACAATGATTTTTCATATAATTCTGCTATGACCTTGACCTTAGACCTGGAAACATGGTTCAAGGTCACTGCACACCCTTTACCCAAAGACACTCTGTGGGTGAAGTATGAGCCAGATTGGGCCAAGGAGAGAGAAGATATGCTCCGGACAAGAGATCTCGGACCGACAGACGGACGGACGGACGGACAGACTGATCACTATAGGGCGCCCGCAGAGGGGGGCCCTAATAAGCTCCTATTACAATGCCTCTACTGATAAAATGTTCTACATTTCAAGTTTTGAATGACATTATGATTCAATTTTGTTATAACTGATTTGTCTTACCTGAGTTTACGTACCTTGATATTATGATTAAATTTGGTTTTAACTGATTTGCTGTACCTGAGTTTACATACCTTGAGTATTGGAGTCTGACTGAGAGAGTCCTCAGCAAGTTGTATTAACAGTGTCAGACAGTACCAGTTAATATCTTTTAAAGTCTTCAGAGCCTAAAAAATGTCCATTTAGAATGAAAACAATTCTGCCAAATAAAACTAAATGTATGAAAATAACAGGTAAATTAGAACCAAAACAATAAATAAATAAATAAATAAATAATTAAATAAAAATAATAATGAAGACTATAGTAAAACAAAACAAAACAAAAAGATATTGTATCCTTTTTATACATATTCTACAAAATGTGTTTTTGGAGTTTTTTTGTTTTTGTTTTTTGTTTTTTTTTTTGTTTTGTTTAGTTCAGATGACTTATGAAGTCTTACTAGTTGGACATCAAGAACAGATTCGAATGTAAACCCCTCCCGTGGCAGGAAATCTTCCACCTGTGCCACAATGACCTTCCCTGCTGTCTTCTGCTCCAGACTTCTGTCATTTCTGAAGGTGAATCAATGTGTGCAAAAACTGTAACCTATGATTACTCATGTGCAAGACATATTCAAAAAAATTGCAGCTGACCCACACTTACAAATATTTAATTTTTTTCTTTAAATTGTTGGAAAACTGTCACTCTCTTTGGAATATTAATAAAGACAGATGGATCGATTGTTAATACATGTATAAATAGTCATCAATTGGTTTTCCATCACTGATTCATCATTCTCGAATAAATGATGTTGCAAATGTCTATTACAGTTTACCAACTGTATATTTTCAGAGTAAATAGTTTTTTCCATTCAAACCGTTTAATCTCATTGCATATCTATTTTCATAATGGCATGTACAAAATTTATGGGTAATTTTAAATCTTTCAAATGTAAACATAAGATATTTACATACAGTGTGCTTTGGAACAAATGAATCACTGCTTCTCTGTACAATGCCATGTTTTCCCTTATTACATCCAGCTGATTTGTCTGAAAAGGTTTTTGAAATTTATGTATAGGAAATAACTCAAACCATCATTTCAAAATCAATGGAACCAAAAAAAGGATGCTTGAAATATCCAAGGGTTCAATATATTGAGGCTAAAATACATCAAGAAAAAGTGATAGGAAATTCCAAATCGCTTTGAAATATGTAGGGTATTTGAGATATAGATGTTCTACTGTATTTATATGACATAATCTAAATTAAATTCAAGTATCTGGTCATCTTAAACAACCAGTGTTACTAATATTTAGAGTTATTAGAATATAAACAATAACTGGTACTTACATTGGAGAAGCCTTTCACCATGTATCTGACAGATTTGTTCTGTTCCATCAGTAAGTACATTTGTCCTACAGTACTGTGCAAAAGTCGGTATAACTCAAATGGAAGCTCCTGAGCATAGGAATCTCTAAAAAAAGGTAAAATGAGAAAAGACTCACTGACTGAGAAGTTATGACTTACCTTTTTATACTGCATTAACATGTAATACATAAAATTTACAAGTCATATACAATCATCAGATTGACATCTTAAATTTCTATAAAAACTTATAAAAAGTAATAATTCTAACTGAGTGAGTGATGCTAGGTAACCGATTTACCTGTCTAACAGCAGTAGTATAATGGTACAGTAAATAGCATCACACAGTTCAGCATGCATGTGGTGTCCCGCTTCCCTCTTCTGGAAATGGGATCTACAAAGGAAGGTTTAATTATCTCGTTTTTATTTTCATCACAGCGATCACTTAGATTTACACTAGAAATATATAACTTCTTAACATTCAATAATATGTGATACACTTACTTGATTGGGGTTGTAATCTGCCATGCATATGGGCCATATGAGTTCTCGTCTCCGATTCGGAATCCATCAATTCTGACTTTCCTGGGCATAATATGAGTGGTCCTGTCGTACACGTGTCGTTTGATCGTTCTGATGTCCTGGTCCTGGGCTCGTGTGGGTAGTCGGTTCCTACTCTGTCGACTGTAACTCCTGGGACCTCCTATCTCCAGTTTATCTGGCCTATCAGGCTGTCCCACTAACAACAGATTGATTACAATTTTGACAATACCCAACATAGAAAAAAGAATATTCCCTGTTTTGTGTCAAATTTTATTTCCAGATCTTACTTGCTGATCTTGGTCCATCATTCTGAAATGGGTCAACTTGTGGAGAAAATATAGATATATACTGTTCTGCATGGGATCTGTTCAGAAACACGCCTTCATGTAAACAGGCCATTGGAAACTCGCAGAAACTTACAATCCTGAAATAGCAAAACCATGTTGTGTGCACATAAATATAATTTGCATTCATAAAACTTTCTACTTTTGTTCAAATCTTATAGAATATTAGTAAAGATGAAAAAAGAGATTTCATCATTCTCTAAATGTCACAGTCTTGAGAAGATCAAGAAATGATCTTATTTAAAGTGAATGGATGAACACATACCCTTCTTCGATGTTATCTTTGCTAATTTCAATGAAGTTGAGTCCAAACTGTATCTGCCCTCTAATGTACTTAGGATAATATGGATCAGCTCGTAATATACACTCCATACATATATACTTATTACCAATAACAGTGTCACTTAAAACCTGCAGGAACTCCTCCTACAAAAATAAAAATCTTGTCACTTTCTTAAGTTTCTTACTGTATACAGATTAAATGTCATTTTATAGATAAAAATCAATTTTTTGGTTAATTCGTTACAAGTTTTTACCTTCTCTTCTTGGATTTTGTCTGGATCCCACAGATCATACACTGTTATGTCTGGATACTCCTCATCAATATCAGGTATATTCACACCTTAAAGACAAATGTCATTTGACAGTTTATCATAAAATACATTTCATTTGTACATATAAAACTGTTGTTTTTTGGGGATTTTCTTTAACATTTTCTCCGAATTAGCTGGTAGATAAAGAAAATTTACCTCATATGTACCAGGTATTATAATTTGATTTCATGTCATTTTTGATGGTGATTTCTTTTAGTTAAAAAAAAATTAACATTGTTCTGATAAAATACATGTACACATCATATTCTAACCCATGAAAAGATGTCTAGGATTGGAGCGTATGGATGTCTAGGAATGGAGAATACTCTTAACAATGAGAAGATGTATATGATTAGAGTACATTCTTACCCATTAGAAGATGTCTAGGATTGGTGTACATTCTTACCCATTAGAAGATGTCTAGGATTGGAGGATATTCTTACCCATGTGAAGATGTTTAGGATTGGTGGATATTCTTACCCATGAGAAGATGTCTAGGATTGGTGTACATTCTTACCCATGAGAAGATGTCTAGGATTGGTGTACATTCTTACCCATGAGAAGATGTCTAGGATTGGTGTACATTCTTACCCATGAGAAGATGTCTAGGATTGGAGTACATGGCATCAATGTTGGCCATCACACTGTTTACAAATACTGCCACACCCTGAAATCAATTGTTCTCAATCATTATTCTCTGACTGTCTGAAGAAAAGACAAAAAATTAATAAATATCTTAACATTAATCTAACCTCCTTGACATCAGGGCCTGTGATTAGATGTTCCATTCGGATTTGAACACTGTGAACACAGGGATAAAAAGTTCCATCAAACACTGCTGGACCAACTAAGGCTAGCATCACTTGATTCTAAAATAAAATTAATATTCTGTTTGACACACATCTTTACAACATGAGCTTAATATTTCTTAAATTACGGTCCTTTTTATATTAAAAAGAAAGGAGTCAACTCTGTGTGTCTTTATAAGATAACTCTAACTAAAGGTACTGTGAGCAAGCTCTCACAGTGATACCCCCTCCTGCATCCTTTTAAAGTGTCAATTCAAATTCAAATGTGACCTTGAACTTGCCAAAAATACCTTGCTTAAAAAATGTCATCATCATGTCATAAGTAATCTTTTTAGTGAAATATGAACAGCCAATGTTTCTCCATTAGAAAATTCTAGACCTGTCATGAATTTTTCACTTTTTATACCAGTGCCTTTGAACTTGCCAGAATGACCTTGGGTCAAGGTTATGACACACCTTTAGGTCATTAACAATTTTTGTACCAAGTATGAGCTTCCAATGATTCTCCATTACAATTTGAAAGTTACAGCCTGGATAAGAATTCTATAATCTTTCTGTCAGTGACCTTGAACTTGCCGGAATGACCTTCGGTTAAGGTTATGACACACTCACAAGTCATAAATAATTTTTGTATCAAGTATGAGCTTCCAATGATTCTCCAGTACAAAGTTATAGCCCAGACAGGAATTCTATACTTTTTCTGTCAGTGAGCTTGAACTTACTGGAATTACCTAGATTGAATGTCACAATACACCTTCTGGTCATATACAATCTATGTACCAAGTATGAGTTTCCAATGATTCTCTGTTACAGAGATATAACCCGGACAAGATTTTTATACCTTTTCTACCTTTGACCTTGAACTTGTGGAATGACCTTGGGTCAAAGTCAGGACACTCCCTCTAGTCATGAACAACCTCTGTACCAAGTATGAGCTCCAAATGATTCTCAATTTCAAAGTTATAGCCTGGACAAGAATTTTATACTTTTTCTGCCTGTGACCTTGAAGTTGCAGGAATGACCTTCAGTTTAAGGTCACGACACTCCCATTAGTCATGAACAATCTCTCTACCAAGTATGAGCTTCCAAACATTCTCTATTACAGAGATATAGCCCTGACAAGATTTTTATACTTTTTCTGCCAGTGACCTTGAACATGCCAGATTGACATTAGTTCAAGATCATAACACTCCCTCAGGTCATAAGCAATCTCTGTACCAAGTATGAGCTTCCAATGATTATCCATTAGGAAGTTATAGCCTGGACAAGATTGCATAGAAAGAAGGACAGACAGACATGGTGATTCCTATATAGCCCCTCCAAACTTTGTTTGCGGTGGGTATACACATAATATTAAATATCTGTGTAGTTTGTATTTATTGTATGTCCACAAAAAGAACACTCCTGTGTACTATTTGTCAACATGCAGAATAGTTCTGTGTTTTATGTAATAACTTACAGAACAGTCCTGCATTATATGTGACATCTTTGCCCTGTGTTTTATGTGATAACTTTAAGATTAGTGCTGTGTTTTATGAGATAACTTACGGAGTAGTTCTGTGTTTTGTATACTTACAGAATGGTCCTTTGTTTTATGTGTGAGTTACAGAATAGTCCTTTGTTTTATGTGATAACTTACAGAAGAGTCCTGTGTTTTATGTGATAGCTTACACAATATTCCTGTGTGTTATGTGATAACTTTCAGAATAGTCCTGTGTTTTATGTGGTAACTTACAGAAAAGTCCTGGGTTTATGTGATATCTTACAGAATAGTCTTGTGTTTTATGTGGTAACTTACAGAATAGTCCTGTGTTTTATGTGTTAACTTACAGAATAGTCCTGTGTGTTATGTGATAACTTTAAGAATAGTCCTGTGTTTTACGTGGTAACTTACAGAATAGTCCTGTGTTCTATGTGATAACTTACAGAATAGTCCGTCGCCCAAGTGGCGCAGTGGTTAGAGCGATCGCTCTAGAGTCGCGGAGTGAGGAGTTGATCCTTACGTTGTGGGTTCGAATCCCACTGTGGGATGTGGAGATCGATCCTTCGGATGAGACCATATAAACCAAGGTCCCGTGTCGCAGTAGGTGCTGGCACGAAAAAGATCCCTCACTGCTCAATGGCCTTGAGTGCCAAGTATAGGTCAAAATTTGTAGCTCTCCACCGGCAAGTGGTGGCATCTCCATATAAGTGAAAAATTCTCAAGAGGGATGTTAAACAATAAACAAACAAAAAACAGAATAGTCCTGTGTTTATGTGATAACTTACAGAATAGTCCTGTGTTTATGTGACATCTTACAGAATAGCCCTGTGTTTTATGTGATAACTTACAGAATAGTGCCTTGTTTTTGTGAAAACATACAGAATAGTCCTGTGTTTATGTGATAACTTACAGAATAGTCCTGTGTTTAATATCATAATTTACAGAATAGTCCTGTGTTTTATGTGGTAACTTACAGAATAGTCCTGTGTTCTATGTGATAACTTACAGAATAGTCCTGTGTTTTATGTGATAACTTACTGAATAGTCCTGTGTTTTAATTGATAACTTACTGAATAGTCCTGTGTTTATGTGATATCATACAGAATAGTCCTGTGTTTTATGTGATAACTTACAGAATAGTCCCTTGTTTTTGTGAAAACATACAGAATAGTCCTGTGTTTTAATTGATAACTTACAGAATAGTCCTGTGTTTTATGTGGTAACTTACAGAATAGTCCTGTGTTGACATGATGTCCTCTGGGTGAGGTGTGAGGTCCTCCATCAGCCATTTATATTTCTCCAGGGAGGACGGGTCAACAGCCCGCAGGATACTGGACAATCCCCACACGGTGTCATGTCCCCGCACACAGAATAAATTAGGGAGGTAAGTCTCCTGTAGAGCATTTCCTATTGTGTGTAAATCATACATTCAAAATCTCCTGAGTGTTATATTTGAATTTTTAAACATTGTAAAATATTCATCAGATGTGCTGTACATTTTACCTCCACTTCCCAGACATTATTTCCATAACTACAACCGTAAACATTGTTTTATTTGCAATAAAAAATGCACATTTCCATCAGATATTACGATGATTTAAGGTACTCATACTTTTATTGTTTTGTAGCAATATATTCATAAAGTATGCTTAAATAAATTTTCCCTAATTAAACGTGATTAACAGATTATAATGTTTATAGAAAAGGAAAATATCTGAGTATAGTCATGCTAAATTAAAATTTCATATCTATTATCTTGTAAGCTTACATCCATGGCCAACATTTTGAATTTGTGTGCCTAACTTACTTAATGTTTGCTGTATTTTTCCAATTGATTCTTGTTCCATATGAAATCTGCATAATCCAAAGTAATAAAATTCAATTAAATGGAGCGATATGCAAATGATATGTAAAAGTTTAATATTTGTAAAAGTTTAATATCATTTAAGTCTTAATTCATTCTGCATATTTTATGACTTAACAATGCATATTTCTATGAGAGCAACATATATAATGGCTTACTTTTCTGCAAACTGCCTGAATCTCAGGACAAACCCTGGATAGGGATTGTAAGGTAGAGTGGGTCGATTTAGCAACATCTTGACCAGCTTTCTAAATGTCTCCTCTACTCCAGTCTCTTTGAGGTAAGCTCTGAACTGTTTCATGGCTTCTGTATCATACCCATCTGGGGGAATATAAGTTCTCCTGTCTATGGCCCCCTAAATAAGAATTAGTTTTGTGTATATAATTCATAAACATATCACCATCAGTTTACATCTTACCACATTGTTACTTGTTAGGTCCTTGGGGATCTTTAGGCATATACAATTATTATGATCCCCCAAGTTTTTAAATAATCTATTAATTAGTGATAAAAATTTACAAATTTAAAATATCTCTCTCTCATTACACATGTATAATTAAAGTTATATATGGCATATTTATGATAAGTTCAGACTAACTAAAATTTAAAAGATCTTTCTATTTGTTTTATTACTTTATATAAATATATAGAACTTTCCTGTAAATTACACAATTTAAATCAATCGCGTTAGACTTACATAGATATTAGAAATTTAAAATAATTACCAATTTATTTACCGACTCCACATTTAAATATCAGACACAGTTTAAAGTCAATTTAACTATAGAAACGTGAGGTTATTCAAGTTCAAAATCGTTGAAAATTTTAATTTGAACGTAATTAACAAATATCATGTTCATCTACACTCAATCTCTTATTTTTATTTTTTACCTAAGATATGCCATATATAGATTTAATAACTAGCTGTAATGAAATATTCAGAGAAATGTAGAACTCCTGATGGTAAACATTCAAAGGAGTTTAGAACTCTGGTGTGTTGGCAATTGCTTTTAAAATCATATTCCAACTTACCCTGCCCTGGGACTGTGCTCTAGAGGGAACATTACTTCTCTGTCCTCCCCTCTGTAACGGTAAAGTACATTGAAAAGTAAAATATATATATATACTATATACACATAGTAAAATAATCCTAGCAATAGTTACAGGAATGTAAACATAAGAAATATTTCAATTTTGTTATGATATTATCATAATAATTTTTAAGTCTGTCCAAATGTTGGACAGGGAAATATGGCTAAAATACTTAAAACATTGCTTGAAACCCAGAAAAATAAAATAATCATGACAAGACATGTAATTTATCTCAAAGAAATGAAATTAAAAGAAAAAAGAAGACTTTAATTTAATAAGTTTTACAGTTAAAAAGAATCACTGAACATTCAGCCTACATAATCAATTGTTAAAAATTAAGCCTCCAAATGTTAGAACTGAACAACATATCAATCATTTATATATCACACTAGTTATCATTATCATATTTGTATGGAAGCAAACAGGACGTCACAAAGATAAGCTGTTTATGAAAATAGATTAAAGAATTTAAAATATTTATGTTATATCATTTGATGATGGAACATAAATATAAGCATAAATTGATCAATCATTTTTGCCACTTCATAGGTCTATACCATATTTCACACAGCAAGTCTTAAAAATCTTCATAGTATCCTCAAAATACATTATTCAATTAGCATGAACACCTGCATATGAGATCTATGGTACAACGAAGAGCAAATATTAATTATTAAACAATTAAATGCATAATTATAATTGTTTATTTCAATCCTGTCCATGCCATTGTAAATACACATAAAAACTTTGATTCTATTTCCATAAAATGTAATGTTTACATTCACAAATTAACATTTATTATTCGTAAGCATCTGCAACAACCATGCCTTACCTATTGTAGGTACAGTATCTTTAAAAACAATATAACTCAATGTTTTATATAATATCGTTATCCTTTAAAATTTTCCAACTCGAGAATTAAGCAGGGACCTATATACCCATATAGGTCCCTGAAAATAGAAATTTTAGATTTGTGGAAATTCGAATTAACACATTTATAATAGTGCTGTACATGTAGTAACAATAAAAAAAGATCTTCTACCTGTGACTGCGATGTTGGCTGTCTTGACATAATATTTTACTATCCTTTACGTGCCAAACATTGTTTCCAATAATTTAAAGTAATGAATATTCCGCTACATTGTACGCGTTTCTCATGTAAACAAATAATATTTTGGTATACTTCCGGAATTCTAAAAGGTAAAAATTGAAAACGTCCAAAACGATTTTTCCGGATTCTTAATGAAATGAATAATTTCCATATGACAAGTTTGTCCATCAAAACAAAAAAATTCAAAGGTATTTTTTATGCCCCCGTATCGAAGATTCGGGGGGTATTTAGTTTTTGTCCTGTCCATCCATCTGTCTAACTGTCTGTCTGTTTGTCTTTAACCTTGCCCATAACTTTTGATTCGTTAGAGCTATGGCTTTCATATTTCACATGTGTATTCCTTGTGACAATACCTTTCTTTGGGTACCATCATATTTGACCTTTTGACCTCGGAGTTTGACCCAGTTTTGCCAAACAGTAACCTTGGCCATAACTTTTGAACGGTTGGTGCTCATAAGGGCTTTCATACTTCACACATGCAATCCTTTTAACAAGACCTTCCCTTGGATACCAACAACTTTGAACTTTTTGACCTTGACCTAGGAGTTTGACCTACTTTTGAAAATTTTTAATCTTGGCCATACCTTTCAAACATTTGATGCTACAGCTTTCATACTTCACATGCACATTCCATGGAACAAGACTTTCCTTTGGATACCAACAATTTTGGCATTGACCTTGGAGTTTGACCTACCATTAAAATAACTTTAGTCATAACATGTAAACATTTTGTTCTAGGGCTTTCAAATTTCATGAACATGTGTATCACTTGTGACAAGACCTTCCCTTGGGGCCCCATTTGACCTGGAGCAAGAAGTTTGACCTTCTTTTGAAAAACTTTAACCTTGGCCATAACTTTTGAATGGCTGGTGCTAGGGCTTTCATACTTCACATATATAATCCTTGTGACAAGACCTTCCTTTGGATGCCAGCAACTTTGACCCTTTGACCTTTGAGTTTGACCTACTTTGGAAAAACTTTAATCTTGGCCATACCTTTTCAACATTTGGTGCTACGGCTTTCATACTTCATATGTGCATTCCTTGGGACAAGACTTTCCTTTGGATGCCAACAATTTTGGCATTGACCTTGAACTTGGAGTTGACCTACTATTAAAACTTTAACATTGGCCTTAACATGTGAACATTTTGTTCCAGGGCTTTCAAATTTCATGAGCATGTATTGTGATAAGACCTTCCCTTGGGGCCCCATTTGACCTTGACGTTTACTTACTTTTAAAAAACTACCTTGCTCATAACTTTTGAACAGTTGGAGCTAGGGCTTTCAAATTTCACAGGTATATTCCTCCAGACAAGACCTTTCTTTGGGTACCAACATTTTTGATCTCTTGACCTTAAGTTTGACTTGCATTTGAGAAACTTTAATCTTTGCCATTAGCTGCTATATGGGGGCATCAGTGTTTCACAAACAAATCTTTTTTTTTTTTTTTTAAATTAAAATCTGAAATATTTTGTTGTTATTTAATTGCTAGCAAATAGGAATTTAGATTTTTTTCATCCACATGTATTGTTGCTTTACAGTAAAATTTCCCTTCAAATTCATAAAGAATATGCACAAGTACATTCAATGCTTTTTATTAAATTTTCACTTTCAGTTTTCCAATCAACAATTAACAAATGGTTATTCCATTTTAACAAATGCATTACAATAAATACCTATTCTCCTATTGTGACATAAAATAAAAAAAATAATAACAACATACACATCACCCACTTTTGTCATCTTATCAATTTTATCAGTATCATATTGCTATCACTTTTATCAATTGCTGCTATTTTCTATTTGACTAATCATATTTCAATTATGAACATGTATTTACATATATTATATTATTATTAAAACATTAAATATCAATCAGTTGATGCCCATTTTTTTTTTTTAAATTTTCATTCCAACACATCCCATGAAAACAAGTATAGAAATATATACAATTTGCAAACATACCAGATCAATGTAGGATTCTTATTTTAATGTAATAAATTACAAAAATCACTGAAATATTAATAGTGACTGGTTTTAAAAGGACATTTTTTAATTATTTTTTTTTTCATTGGGGATCTGAAAAACATATTCAGTTTATAATATTGTTGATGATGTGTAATCAAAGAAAGCAAAAATAAACCACTTAGAAGTTAAATTATCAAACTTAAAAATAAAACTTAATTAAAGGTATGTATGGTGTATCTGAGCTAAAAAATATAATTTTACCAGACTGAGTGCTGATATATGTTATGTTTGTTAAAATTAAATTTTTCATCCATTCTGAACTCAGATTTAACCCCACTTCTCTATAATTATATGAATTGACTTTAAACTTTGCTCCTTGTTGAATATTTATAAGATCCGCAATGTGCATGACTGCGGGAAAATACAGCATTAAAGTCATGATGCAAGAAGAGGTACAAGTGTACACAATATTATTTTCTCTTTACTTCTCTGTCCTTGCTTTTTCTCTCAGAATCTGTCAAACTGCTTGTGTCCACTGGTCTACCTCTCTTCCTCAATGTTGCCATTGTTGTTTATTGTCTGTCGTGTCATGCAATCAGTTATTCAAATCTCTATTATTTTTGTGGAGTAAAAAACTCAGTGACTGTTTTAAATTTCTGATATCTTTGTAATGTGCTTGAATTAAATTGCATTATTTACAGAAAAGTCCTATCTTGATATAAAGTAATGACAAATAAAAAAAACTTTTATAGATAGAATTTTCCATATTCTATGATTGGGTGTGAACTTTTATCTAGCTTGTTCTCTATTTTTCTACCTCTTCATCACCAGATCAAAGATAGAAAACAACTCAAAATAGCAGATCATACACCCACTCTATGTTAAATCATAATTATGACAGAAAATTCATAAAAATCACCACTAGCAAAAAGAGGAATATAATTAATTCTCATACTCTAACACTTGCGACATAAAACTCTGCACAAAAATGATGGTCTACTGCACTCATTAAAACACTCTGCTCTATAGACTACTATCTTTCAAACATACTATAAGTGTAACATCATAACTTTAGGATATACACAAAAAGTACAATAACATAACATTTGTTTGACTTCACAAATTAAAGCATGACATACATTATATCCACAACATATCATTGCACAGTCTTTCTTAGAAATACCTTAATACATGTATGTATTTTCAGCTTTAATATCTGAAACTCATTTAAAGCAAAAATACTATTTGAATATTGAAAATATAAAAAAAAATTGAACTTAGTTCATCAGATAAAGATGCCTGCATAGTTGTTAAGAAAAAAGTTTCTACTTAAAATTGAACAGAAGTTCTGATTTGTATAATTTGTGAAGATTGTGTTACTAGAATCATAAATATATAATGATTATTTCAACATTTTTTTAATAAAGCACCTATCTACTAATGCCTGTTATTTTCATAAACTCCCCTTCTATCTCTCTCCATTAATTATCAAGAAAATTAAATTTACTGGATCACAATGACTTCTATCTATCTATATTCCTCACAATTTTAGCATAGAAAGATAATAAGAGAAGATTCCAGACAATTTTCCCATCTTTCTTTGTAAAAATTTAGCCAGTAAAACATACACCCACTGACCTACATATCAGTATAATATCAGAGCTTTCAGCCCCTAGAGTCTCTCATATACTTAGTAGTAGCATTAAAATGTCCACACTAGGCAATCAGGAGCCAAAAAATAAAGAGAACTGCTACCCATAAAAAGACTTTGGACAGGAATTGCTCTTCTTGATGGTGGGCTGTTCCTGGCTGGGCTGAAAAATAGAACACATTTTCTTTTTTTTTTTTAAATAAAAAAAACATTATGTACCTTTCACTGACTGTGAAATTCATTACACCTGTACAGTGTAGTTGGCATAGTCTTTAGTCCCCTAACAGTGGAACCCAAGTGGACCATCTGTCCCTATCAGTCTGTCCCTCTGTCAGTCAGTATGTCCAACTTTGTTTTCTGGACTTTTTTCTAAACATTTGCATATGTTGATGAGATTTTTGGTATGTGAGTCTTTTTTGACGAGATACAATTCATGTTAGCATTCCATTTTACTTCGATGATTTTTTTTTTTTTAATGGAATAAGAGCCAATACTGTTAAAGTACTCAGTACTGCTTAGACGTAATACTCTTAGAATACTTAATGGTTTTGGTTTTTCTTGTTACTATATCCAAATATATGTATATTATTAACTCTTAATGAAAAATTGGAATGTACCTGGGCCTGGTCGTCCATCATTGAAGTTTAGTGTTGATGCAAAGATTCCAAAGGGAAAAGCTCCTATTCCAAAGGACATTTGAAAACCTCCATCACCACCAAAGGCAAAGCCAGGGAAGCCCTATTGGTATAAATCACATGGTAGTAATAATTTTTCTTGTTTGCCAAACGAATACAAAACGAATATTACAATCTGAATGAAACATCTGTAATTTATTCTCTAGTTTACTGTTCTCTTACACTTTTTTTTTCATTTGTTGTAATAAAGATTTAAAATTTATTAAACTGAAATTTCTTTTAACTGATTGTACATGTGCTGTAAATCCTTTACACAGCTTCTCTCTATCCATCTATCTAATACAATATGTACAATAGATGCATATGTTCACATGAAAGTTCTCATGCAGGTGAACATAACTTAATACGATTTCTAAATGTTGGATCTCAGCCAATCAAAGAGCTAGGAATTATTCAATTATATAATAAACCATATTGTTTTCTGTATTCACAGTGTGTTAGTTGCAACATACCCTAGGCCAAATAAAAAAATATGTGTGGTTCCGGTTACCCGACCTTCCCTATTTTATACCCCCGACCCTAAACTTTTTTTGGGCAATTTTCATATTTTTTCCGGAATTTTCCCCGATTTCCATCAATGGCAGTTTCAGCAATGACGGCCTCCTTGCAGAGCATAGTTTAATAGTGTTAAATCCAAAGCAAACTAGCATGTAGGTGTCCCCTACCAATATTGACTAGTATATTATCACACCACATCTAAATGCCATTTGCAAAGCAGTGATAGGTATTATTTCTAAAGAAAAAATTAAGAAAATCATTTTGTTAAAAAAAAAAAAAAAAAAAAATCCCTACCTACCTACCCTAATTTTTATGGAGGTGTAACCGGAACCAGACATATTTTTTTGTTTGGCCCTATTGTTTTCTGTATTCACAGTGTGTTAGTTATAACAAACCTGATTGTTTTCTGTATTCACAGTGTGTTAGTTATAATTATTATACCTCTACTGATTTTTTCCCTATATAACACTAGATCATTAGATGTGACTAATTCCCTAGAAATTGTCATGAATGGACTAATCCCCGTGCGTTAGTCAAGTGAGCTAATCCCTGCTTCGAAAGCTAATTCCTGGTTATCCGTACTCCTCTAGATTTTACTTTTACATTGGTATGATATGTGAATGGACTAATCCCCGTGTGTTAGTTCATTGAGCTAATCCCTGCTTTGAAATCACGTTATATGAATCCTCTAAATTTTACGTTTGTATCGGTAAAATAAAACAGTTAAAAGTATATCATTGCGAGAGTTAGCAAGATTCCAGTTCCCCTCGACCAGGACTATTTCCCTCGGCTTCGCCTCAGGAAATAGTCCTGGCCTTGGGAACTGGAATCTTGCTAACTTCCTCAATGATATACTTTAACTGTATACAAACCCGATTGTTTTCTGTATTCAAAGTGTGTTAGTTATAACAAACCCGATTGTTTTCTGTATTCACAGTGTGTTAGTTATAACAAACCCGATTGTTTTCTGTATTCACAGTGTGTTAGTTATAACAAACCCGATTGTTTTCTGTATTCACAGTGTGTTAGTTATAACAAACCCGATTGTTTTCTGTATTCACAGTGTGTTAGTTATAACATACCCTATTGTTTTCTGTATTCACAGTGTGTTAGTTATAACAAACCTGATTGTTTTCTGTATTCACAGTGTGTTAGTCATAACAAACCCGATTGTTTTCTGTATTCACAGTGTGTTAGTTACAACATACCCTATTGTTTTCTGGCTCTGATCTCTGGCCCTGAGGTCTGGGTGGTAATTTCTCTCTACACAATAGAAAAAATTGAACAAATTAAGTTAATGAGCACTCTATAAGTTAGTGAAATTACTGTACTTATTTGAATTGTGGATCTAAAATGCAGGTGTTTTATTTGGAAAAGGGGGGGGGGGGGGGCTTTTGAGGAAAAAAAAATGTTTATATAAATTGTTTCTATTCCTTGACATTTGAAATGATAAGTTGCAGATGTAAGACATGAACATTCCCAGGACAGGAATTTTAATTGGACACAAATTGGCAACGTATCAATTAATAATCTCTGGATATGGTAGGAGTGAAACGGTTCAACGTGATATTTTTTCTCAGTTTGATTCACAGTGCAAAATCTCCATTTCCGATTCAGTTCATTTTTTTAGTCGGGATCGTTATTCAGTCAGATTTAGCATAGGTAAAAACATGTGATTCAGCATAATTAAATTTTTAAAATGTACATTTTTGAGGATTGATAGTATGTAAAATAATCTTTAACAGTCAATTCATTCGAATCAATTTCTCCTAGTCAATTTGCACATAGATTTACTGGATTTAGTGAAACAAAACATAAAACAACGTTAAATTTGTTTCCTTCTATCAAAATGTATCGTATCGAAAAATAACCAAACAGAGACAAAATTATGATATGTATCGTATCGTGAAGAGGCATATCGTTTCACCCCTAGGATATGGAAACCTTTACTTGCATGGAGTCAGTAAGTAGCTTTTATCTTTACTTTTTGAGGAAACCCCACGAGACTTTGAAAGTCGCCTGTCAAAGTTGCTAACCTTCGTTGTTCTCTTTCACTATCAGAAACTGTGAATTTTTATATAAAGGTCATAGTTTAAGGTTATATTTGTGATTTTCAGACTTGTCGAAATCCGTCGGTCCTGTCGGCAAGGCCGGTAAAAATTTGTCTGGACCGACAACTTTTAAGAAAACGTCAGTCCAGACGACCGTTTGAAAAAAATCGAGCGTGATGCAAATTTAATAAAGGTCGGGATCGGGATGCGTAGCTGAAGGTCAAAAACACAGAAAAAAATGGCCGCATACGCGGCATGTTGACGATAGCCAATTAAATTTGTTATAGCAAAGTCATAAAACGTGTGATTTAGGCCAGGTAAAATTAAACTTTAGATTCTCATCCCCGCCCGCCCCTCTCAAAGTGCCCCGCCCCGTTGATTTTATTTTGGTTTTTGGGTTTCAAAAGTATTTACATGTATTTTTTACTCAGCAAGAATCTGGGTCAAAATTTAAGAGTTATCTCCCGTCTGTATTAAAAGTCGCGTGGCGCTATTTATAGCACAAAAGTCATGGGAATAATGGAGAAAAATCGGCAATAAAAGCAGTTTAAATATGTAGGGAAAAGATAATTTGCCAGGATAGAGAAGGCAGAAAAGCAAAAATAACATAAATACATTTAGATACCATCACTGGCATGAGCAAGTTTTTAAAGAGATTTTAACCAAGTAAAAACAGACGAAGAAAATGACATCTGGTCAAGGTATAACTTAATAATAATCGCCAGTTGTATGTGATTTTTTTTTTTTTTAAAAGATCGTCGGCAGACGTTAGAGGATAATAATGCTAAGGAAATAGTAAATCTTAAAACTGTTGAGCATAGGCTTTTCAGTAGAACATTTTACAGTTTTAGACATCCTGTTTTGCAAAAATGACATATTTTAATGTTGAACGTGTCAAGTCTCAAGAACGAAAGTATGAGGACAGTGGAAATCTGTGATATTTCACACAAAACGAAAGGAGTTGTTGATAAAACTAAAAGGTATTTGGAGAAAGGCTGATGAGAAGTCGTTACTACTACATACAGCATATGCAATTTATTTGGATCCGCACCCTATTTTGTGTGGCGTGTGCTGCATCTGTGTACTTGAAAATTCATTAATAAAAACTATAAATATTAATATTCTATAACAAGAATCTTCGATAGATATTTAAAAGAATAAACAATAAAATATATTCATATTGGCATTAACATAATGTGAAAATTTTGTGTAAGAAGGGCGTTATGTAGATATTTTCAATAATAAAAAATAAAATCCGCCCACCCGCCCCAATTTTTTAGCAAATTAGGATGAGAATCTAAATTTTAAATTTATGTGGCCTTATGTCTTTTATTAAAGACTTTCTATCCCAAGGAAGGAAACTTGTAAGATTGAAAATAATCCAGGGCATTTAGGTGCTGTTATTCATATGATTATTCACAGCGTCAAAATAAGGTACATGTATCTGGTCTGACAAAACTTTGACTGGTCCGACAGAACATTTGACTTTGTCAGACCAAATGTCTGACAATGATTTAAAAATTTCGACAAGTCTGGATTTTTCAATTGTAATACTTTGTGAATATGTCATACAAAAATATTTTATATAAAAAAAAAAGGTTGAAGAACCCTTGCGTAAGGAACAAAGGGTTGAGGAGTGGGGGGGGGGGGGCATCCCCAAGCACCTGTATGCCTCTGATGCTATTTATCTAGTTTACAGTAGTCATAATACAAACTGACATGAACTCACCTGGGATCTGTTTGTTCTGAGGCCCCTCTGCCATATATAGGAATCACTTTCTCCTTACTTATACCAGCTTTACAGACAGGACATGTTTGTCGGTTTGGTCTGGTCTCTAACCATTGGTGTAAACATGGCCAACTACAACAATGTTCAAAACATATCATGACCTGAAAAACTATAACTTACATATAGTGATATACTAGCATTGTGAGTCTTGTATACTCTCGAGACCGAGAGTGACCATACCGCAGTGACGTGAGAAAATACATATAAGATGTAAAGGTATTTCTTAATTAGTACTTACCAAAATAAATGTCCACACATGCTAACAACTGCGTCTTTTGCTGTATCAAGACAAATATTGCACTCAAAGAATTCCCTGCCATCTTCTTCAGACCCACCTGTGGCTCCTCCAGACCCGTTGTCTTGTGAAGATTCAGACGCGTTCATATTTAAAATCTCTACATCCAAAATACCCACGTAATCATTAGAAATCACAAAAGAATGGGCTTTACACTGTGTGACAGTCTGTGTTGTTCTTCATCTAACGTAACTTCGGAAGAATATTCCGGAAGTACACGCAGCTTACGTTGAGGAGCGAGATTGTTTCGACCTCAAACGTGTTCGGTCCGAACTGTTGGCTGGGGCACCTTTTCATAACATTAAATTGTAATACAAATTATTGAATTAATACAAATATTAAAAAAAAAAAATTTTAATTTTTTTTTTATTTGTCATTCATAAATTATCAATTTGATATCCCATTTTTTTTTGTAGTTTAAGTTGTTGGACACATCAATTACTTTTTTTGAAAGTGGTTATTTTATATATAATGTTATCTCAAAAGTGGGAATGGGTTGTTGGTACATTTTATCTTATTTATTTTAAAAAAAATTATTTATTTACTTATTTATTTTTGACATCACCCAAATGGTTTTTGACATGACCACGTAGATGTTCACAATAATTAACATATATGTTAATTATTTATGCACATATATCATTTATTTAAAAAGTAGTGTTTGTGATAATGAACACTGCAGGACCATTTTCCTCATAAACTCTTATATTTTAAGGTCAAATGCCAAAAAAAAAAATTATGGGTGGCATTAACAAAAAAACAAAAAACATGTGTTTGTGAAACACTGTTGCCCCCATATGGCAACTTAAACTTTCTCAAATGCAAACAAATAAGTTGCTAACCAAAGTAAGGTCTATCTCGAGAAATAAACCTGAGAAGATAAGGAAAAGGTTAAAGTTTTTCAAAAGTAAGTCAAATATCAAGGTCAAGGTCAAAATAAATGGTGCCGAAGTAAAGGTCTTCTCACAAGAATACACATGTGAAATATGAAAGCCGTAGCACAAATCGTTCAAAAGTTATGACCAAGGTTAAAGTTTTCCAAAAGTAGGTCAAACTCTAAGGTCAAGGTCAAAGGTCAAACTAAACTTGTTGGTATCCAAAGGAAGGTCTTGTCACAAGGATTAAATATGTGAAGTATGCAAGTCCTAGCACCAGCCGTTCAAAAGTTATGGCCAAGGTTAAAGTTGGGTAAAATTTTGCAAAAGTGGGTCAGACTCCAAGGTCAAGGTCAAAAGGTTAAATTTGATGGTACCCAAAGAAAGGTCTTGTCACAAGAAATATAAAAGCCATAGCTCCAACCAATCTAAAGTTACCTGCAATGTTAAAGTTTTTGTGGACAAACAGACAGACGGACAGGGCAAAAACTATATACCCCCGAATCTTTGATACGGGGGCATAAAAAAAACTTGTATACATGCATGTATTGATCATCGACAAATAAAATCCTCTTCATCAATAAATGCTATGTCAAACTTGATTGAATAAATAAGACATTTCATCAAAGAAGATGAAAATGAATGATGGACAGTGGTGTTCCAAAAAAGATCAATTTACCAAGAGAAATTTTCAAAGATATAATTACCTAACCAGTAATTAATCAATAAAGATTGCTAAGAGGTCTATGGGAACAAGCATATATTTTTAAAATAAAAATTCAAATACCAGTACTAAGAATATCAATAAATGCTGTCACTGTGCTATTTAATTATTCTCTCTGTGTCCCAGAGAAGGCATGAGGCTAATTAAATGCTGTGGTGGAAAGATGTATTTAATCATAAAGAAAAGAATAATGATCGGAACAAATTTTTTACCAGGTAGATTGTTTTTATTGTTGATTTTCACTGATTACAACAAATGGAGATAACTCTTCAAGGACAGGTCAAGGTCATAAATTAAAGACACATTCTGCTCTTACATACAGATAGTAATAAATGGGAATTCTGTCCATTAATATACTGAGTATGTAGATATCTGTTATGTATTCAATTTTATTGAATCTGAGATCTTTAGGGATGGAATACCTGGAGTTTGATGTGTAAAAAAAAAAAAATTTCAACGTTTTGTTTGATAACATGTATTAATTCGATGGAACTATTGTTCTCAGGATCTTGATAAAATATTGATCAGATAATTATTGAAGATGGTTCATTGATGAAAATTTGCTTTTTTCTTAAAGTATTTCCCTTCTTTCACAAGTGAACAAATTCTAGCTTCAACTATCACAGATGAGATAGATTAATCCCCCATGTCCTTCATATACTATGAAAGGTGCCTTTGTGAAATACCATGCACAGTATATATTATCCTTGCAAGCCACGGGTTTTGTGTACATTCTATGGAATGGACACAAAACCCGTGGCTTGCGACAAAGAGTATACATCAACAGGTGTAATTTTCCCTCTCAGATATCCTAATATTTAACATTACATGTAATTTGTCCAGAATGGAAATAAATCTATGTAAATTACATGTACATAAATCAATAATTTATCTTCCTTTTCTTATATGTTTCCCACCTTGAAAGTTTGTCATGTTAAATTTCATTCCTGATGATGTGTGTGTGTGTGTGTGTGGGGGGGGGGGGGGGGGGGGTAATACTAGTGACACATTTTGTTGTTTGAAATCACCTGGGTTTCACCAATGTTGAAGCATACCATGATCCTTTTTGTAAAAACAAATAAAAAAAAATTATATAGTCTTTTGATACATGTATTTTTAATATAAATGACCAAAAGTTTAATAAAAAATTATCAGCTCTAATCACAATATTTATTTCCCCCAATCCCTCATTTTAAAGTGTTATTTCATGGACATAAATAAACCATGGTTTAATTGTCTTCCACACAGACATTTACATTGAGTAACATTGTAAACATACATACGCTTGTACATTATCTGTTCTGTTTTTGGTTTTGACTGAAATTGATGTATCACAAGCTAAATTTATTAGAAGAGGTAGCAAAAAATTAAACACAAATGTATGACCATCCACTAAATAACTTAAAAATGAATAAATAAATACACATGTTTTATGCCCGGTTGGCTTCTTAATACACATATGCAATTTCTTTTCAGAAAAGTCTGCAAGAACACTATTACAAATTAGTGCAAATTATCTCCGACATGAAAAATTCATATACATGTACCATCCAATTTTTTTTTTTCTTCAAACAAATTTGGAGATAAAATTACATCTGAAAACAGGTGTCTCTGAAAAAGGTGTCTCATTTTTCTCTTCTACAGAATAAAAAACTTAGATGGGCACAATATGATGAGTCTATATACATGTACTTTATTTTGTCAATTTCAATAAACCAGTAAAAATCATTTCCTAAATAAAGGAAAATCTTACCTTAAACTCAATTGATTGCTACAGTACATGTTTGCACCAAATTATTACACAAATATGTGATGGAAGGTGAACAAAAAATCCAGTTGATAATGAAAAAAAGCAATGCATTTGCACAACAAAAAACTGTTGTTTCCTTTGAATCAAATACAACAAAAATATACGATAACACAACAAAGCCATGATATATAGTATTTGGTGAACATTCACTCTGCTGAGTTTGTGAAACACCTATCACACTGGTGAATCCCTGTATCATCTCTGTAAGGGAGACAACTCTATCACAGCTCAAAGCACTGTCTCCTAAACACCTCACAACTTTGGTCAACTTCCGATTGTGTACAGGTTGTCATGATGCAATCACTCAATGTTATGGTTCTTTTTGCAAATTTTCTCAAATTTTCACTGACCTTTTTCCTAATAAATGGACTTTTCTTTTTCCAAAAAATTCTTCTGACATATTCAACAAAACACACTGAAAACAACTGGTGATGAATAAAATAATGAAATTTAAACAAAGGTATAACATTCAATATTGAGGTAAAAATTGACAAAAATAAATTATAAAACCTAACATTTAGACAACTATGCTATATAAATGCCTGGTATGTCTTTATACTTTGAATAAACATGCAAAGGTGAGCATCACATGCAATATTATTACATCCTGTTGCACAGTCACACAAAATACATCACATGTGCTATAATTTGATACAAGTCTATAAGACTATAAAATACTCCAAAACAGTGATAAATTCAATAGAGTTCATTAATAAAATTTCCTTTCTAATGATAGGGGGACACTCTTTAGAAGGTGCATCTCATTCCAATTCCCAATAGGAGGTCCCTAGAAGGATGTCACTGTATGTATAGCAACAACCATTCATAATCATGGCCCTATGAGGTCCCTACAGGTAGACAGGGACCTTCTTGGTAATTACTTGCGGAGGTCTCTACAGGTAGATGGGGATATTCTTGGTAATTACTTGCTGAGGTCCCTACAGGTAGATGGGGATCTTCTTTGTGATTACTCGCCGACACATATGACAATTCCGTAAAGACTCCCCACACACGTGACACACCATGTGTCCACATAGAAAAGCTGTGTCCTTCTTCCTCTCCATACAGATAGTACATACTGTAATGTCTTCATCTGTTGGTAGGGGATTGTCAATAGGCTCACACACTTCCTTATCACCTAAGATAATCAGAAACAGTTTCATTATGTTGCATATTGTTGTTAATACTAAAAACTATTAAATGTTAAATACACCCCCTTCCTTCCCTGGAACATAGTACATGTACATGTACATGTATCTCCAAATTCTAAGCTCAAATTTCAGAAAGTACAGGTGTAAATTTAGTTATATAATATATTAAGCAACCAGATTTTTGACTATAAAATACTAACTTATTATTAGGGATGTCAATTTTGTCAATAATTCATATTCGAATATTCAATGAAAGTATTCGGATATATTCGAATATTCGATAAAATAAATAAAATCTGTTTTATTTTAAATATGCATCATCCCACTCTCGTAGGTATACTTATATAGGAAGTAAAATTGTATGAAGACTTTTGTAGGTGTACAATAAGAAATTCCATTTGATATTTGTCAATGTTTAAAATAAATAATTGATTTAAATGTAGAAAAGTATAATTTTAACAAACGAAACGTGTATTTATAGTAGCCCCACCTGAGGAACCAGTCGTCTCACAAAAGGCAAGATAGCCGTAATGGTATACTGTTCAGATTTCAATACGTGTAATAAATTACAATTATCTGCCTGATAAGAGATATGATTATAATCTTTGATACAATGTAAACAAATATTTCCATAGACAATTTTCCTAGGTAATTAACTGTTTTCCCGGTAATGAATATAAATTATGTACAACCCGAGATAATCAAGTAATTTACACATTTATTCTTAAATTAAGCCCTTTACAATATTAATTACAGATTAATTCTATCGGACATTCATTCAATGATCAATTAATTTTATTTTGATAAGTATACTCTTCGTGCCTTTTAGATATTCTTAGATTTCATTTGTTGTCCCCGATTCTAGATCCGATCGTATCTATAACTAATAAAAGCTATGAAAGTACGTTTTGTATTATACATAGAGCATTATTGTACAATTCTTTACAACACCTTACTTAAAACAAAATACATGTAATTTAGAAGATTTATAAGATAAGAAAGTAGTGAAAGAAAGCAGTCGATCGAAATTGATTGCTAGTAAATTAAACAGGGATAATTCCAAAACTGTTCTAATCAAAATTTATTAATCACGGTACTTCTTTTTATGAAATCTGAAAAACACCGAATATTCGAATCTTAAATTCATATTCGAATATCAACTCATCGAATGAATATTCGAATGTTCGAATATTCGTTGCCATCCCTACTTATTATCAAAAAATTCCTTTAAAAGGCTACAGTACCTATTTTCTTAGATTCGATGTTGGAACGACAGATAAAACAGCGTTTGATCTTCTTCATCCTCTGACAGCAATCATGGCATACTGCCACATGTCCACATGGCTCAAACTTAATGTTGGCCTGCTGGTCCTCACAGATAATGCATTCTTTCTCCTTCTCCACAGATGGGATGTTGGTGACACTTAAATATAAGAGTTTGTACTTTTTATTTCTGCAAGATTCAAAGAAAACAGGTAAATTATACACATGTTTACCACTTGCAAAATTTCAATTTGTAAGTTACAGTGGCCCCTGGAAAGAGCAAGCTTGGATATAATAAGGATTACTTGTTTATTATTTTATTTTTGAAAATGTCGGTTATAGTGAGATCGCTTATAACGAGACTCTGCCTATAACAAGGTCAAAATCTGTGCCAATTAGTAGCAAACACTATTGGATTTAACAAGATACTCACGGTACAGATGATTGCACTTGATAGTTTAAGACAGATAAATAGAGAATATTACATAGTAAATTTCATATTAATATATGCCACATCAGCCAGAGCAGCCCCATATCAGCCCGAGGGCCAATGACCCTTTAGAATGTTACAATACGGAAGCATTTTTGATTTGTGCATTGTGAGCGTGGCTTGGCAGAGTTTTGGCATCATGTGAAGCTAAAAATAGCAATACTGATTTAGAATTAAGGGACTTCAATGAAAACACCATCAGATGATAACTTTTTCAATAAAGTTTCTTTAACATTAATTGAAGAGGTTGATAAAAGTGAAACAGAGGATCTGATAGAGTTAAAATATTTCTACATAAGAAATGATAGACACAGTTGAGGTACAGCAAGACTTTTTTACTGATGTAAAACAAACACTAATTCTACTTCCAGCATTTTATAGTTTTTGATGATGTAAAATTCCGATGTGTTTGACTTTGATTGTGCAGAGCAATGGTAATCTAATCATGCTTGTGAAGTGCTGTATATTCAAAGTACTTTTAAATTAATATGTTCACATGTACTAAAAACAATATTGCATATAAATTATTTAATTATTTATCAAATTTATTTTTCAACAAAGTTTATTTAATATGCTACATATTTGCTTTTTTTACAAGAATTTTAAATACTTCAGATGAGCTCATGTTCATGAATAGGCCTATATTAAAATACATGTACCAATCAACTGTGAAATGCTGATGTCAGAAATAACTGATCAAGTATAAATTACATGTATCGTAGGGAAGTGGAACATAACTTATTTTATCAAAGTACTGAAATCACTTATTGCTGGGCTTGGATGTTCATCTTAGTTTTTAAAACTACAGTCCCTGAAACGTTCTACTTTCCCATTTTTCCGTTCGCTCACCGTTCGTTCACCGTTCGTTCAGCGTGCATTCACCGTTCATTCACCGTGCGTTCACCGTTCGCTCTCCGTTCACAGTTTTGCGTTCACCGTTCACCGTGCGCTCACGTTCACCGTTCACAAAGCGTTCAGCGTTCGCTCTTCGTTCCGTTCACTTTGCGTTCACCTTGCGTTCAGCGTTCACCTTGCGTTCAGTTTTCATTGTCATTCGGAACTCCGAAGTGAAAGGACTTATCTTTTTGTAGGGAAGGAGTTACAGGTTTTTTAATTTAATAAGTAACATATCGTGTTTGAAGAATCATTATTTCATGTTTAAAAATATCTACGATATATATTTTTATTATTCTAACTTAGCTGTTAGGTTATTTATTAAATTACTCTGGAAAATAAATGTTGTTATAAGCACATTCTGTACCTATGTAGAACGATGCTGAAATATTAAATTTAACTAAGGGCAATGTGCAAATACTTCAAGCGCTGCAACACTTTGTTGTTTTGTTAAAGACGACAAATCGTTAATGGTGATATAATTATCCAAGTCAAATAATTACGCAGCAAAATTACGAAAATATTTATTTCTAACACGTTTTTTTTTTCAATTACTAAAGAAAATATGATAGAACTAGTTCTGAGAGTTATACATAGTACTGCGGATATCCTGTTAATTCATTATCTTTGGAGCGAATTAAATTGATAGTGTGGTTAAAGGAAATATTTATTTGAAATGTACTGCAGTACAGAATTTTCTCTACTATATTATGTAAAGTCTATAGTTATAGAGAAAAAAAATTTCTTCACCGTAACTTTATATGTTTGCCATTCGATATGATTAATACCCCCCCCTTTTCCCCCTGGACTGGTTACTTAGTCAGTACTGTATTTCCAGAATATTTTAATTAACATTTTTTTTTAAAAAGTTAAGGTCTTTTTTAGAACAAAATTTCAGTCTCAAAACAAACATGCATCTAAAAAAGTCACAAAACAATAGTAGTTCAAAATGTACACGTGTCGGCGGTGGTATTTGAAATTGGCAGAGAGTATGTTTCAAGTTCAAGTGTTAATGCCCAATGTATTTTATTTATTTATTATTCAAATGTTGGGATCAAATCTAGAAATGATAAAAATAGATGTTATAACTTGTTGGAAATATTCGCACTTCGTCTTCGACGTGACGAAACTTTCACACCTGCACAGTGTCGAATGATTTTGATTGACAGGACAAGCACGTGGACTTTCGTATGAACTTGAAGCAGGAAAATAAAAACGAGTATGACTGTCAAACAAATGGATATGATTTGTTGATAAAAAAAAAAGTTACTTTCACTGTCTGATATATTTAGAAAAAAAATTCAGAGTTTTCGTTTGATATAGGTACGAACATTTAGTGAAGCCTGAAAGGAGGGGGGGGGGCTAAAACGGAATATTTCTCTCTCTCTCTCTCTCTCTCATTTGTTTAATAAAAACTATAACAGCATATTACTTAAATATCAAGTTCTGAAAATTGAATTTATAACAAATAATATGAATATGTATCTTTGTATTATCTTGTCCGAGTATAACCACGGCCATCTACATATACCTGTAGTAGTCAGCTCAATGAATCATCATGAAAAATAGAAATGACACATAATATATTATTGTATTAAAAATTTAAAATACGAGAGTATAAATGCAAAACGTACACTGACCTTTGTAATTAATTTTTTTTTCATTACTTTACACGAAATCGCCCTAACAGGAGATATATGAATGGATGTTACAACCGCCTTAATTCATTCTATAAGTCAGAAGTTTTCTCTGATTTGTTTATACTTCAGCGTTCAGCAACAATTGCAATGTTTTAATGCGATAAAAATCTTGTGATTAAAAACTTAATGTGCATGCATCGTCTTTCTTAGGATAATTTTGGAGAATTTATTTTATTGACTTATTTATTCATTCATTTACTGGTTTACTTATTTATTATTTATTTTATTTATTTTTTTGGCACCTGACATTATAATACAATAAAATAGTTTAAATGCAAGGAAAAGATCAGAGGCATTCCGAATACATCGTTCATCTTGCGTTCACCGTTCGTTCAGCGTTCACTTTGCGTTCGCATTTGCACTCCGTTCGCGTTCTGCGTTCGCTCACCGTTCAGCGTTCACACATCGTTCACCAAGTTGCGTTCAGCGTTCACACATCGTTCACTCACCGTTCGCTCTGCGTTCGTTCACCGTTCTTTCAGCGTTCGCTCACCGTTCAAGTGGGAAAGTAGAACGTTTCAGGGACTGTATTCCATAATCAAATAATTCAAATCTTAAATGGACAGTACCATCCTATATTAATTTACTTTTTTTTAGTGAACAGTGTAGGGTACTTATCTAATGCCTCCCTGTTAACAGAACACTCACTTTCCTGTGGCATACTCTTGCACCACCTCCTCTATCTTAGCCTCTCCTATAATGTTCAGTGGTGTTTTTCCTTGGTGGTTTTTGTGGTACAGGTCAGCACCTTTCTCTGCCAGGTAACAGGTCATTAGTACACCCCAGGTGATCTCCTCCACTTCCTTATTCTCAAGGTGTTCTCTTATCTGTAAAAAGTCAAAGTAAAATGTTATTCATGCTGTAGACTTCATTACATATTATTAAACTACTGTGGAATCAGTTTTGGGGGACAACATTTTTTCAATTCTTTAAAATTATTTTCACTCTCATGTGATATTAAAAGTTGTTGCAAAATCTTTTATTGACAGAAATATGCCTTTGAGAGGAATGTTTTCAAATGGTGTGGTCAATCATATGGTTAAGTAAAAGAATTTTTAAAAAATTAATACATTTAATCTATAAAAAAAGGTTGCACTAAATAAGTTTCTTCATTAATGTACTTTTCTCTTTTTTACCTCTATCCTTTAACTGTCTCCTCGATGTCTGCTCTTGTTAAGCAATTCTTTAGAGGGTGTAAAATTTGGCATTTTGCTTGCTTAAAGATATGCCAATAATTTTGGCATACACAGAAGCTCATCTTTTAGATGAGTTTTCAGTCCTTGCGCAGAAGATTGAATAAAAACCAATTCCAGATGAAAGATACAATTTAAACATAAAACTGATTAAAGCTATTTTCTTTTAATCAGTACTTTTATCCAATGGTGCAAATTTAACGATTAAAATTTTGATGGGCTACTACAAAACTGCTAAAATAAGCCAAAGTTAGCATCCTGTTAAAAATACTTTCTATACGGTATTTATATATACCTGTTAACTATAAAGTAACATTATCATTTAAAACATGTAGTAATAAAATTATGCTAGATGAGCGTATTTTATGAACTTTAAATATTTATAATGCTGTTTATTAATTACCATTTTTTTGACATAACATGTATTCTTCTGTTTATCTGACATCTTAAAAAAGATGGCACCCCATTTTCTGTGATTATTAATAAATTAAATCATGTTTAAAATTCATGCAGTTTTTCTACTTTGAACCCATATAAATGTGAGGGTGGAGCTTACTTAAAACTTACAGATTCCTTCAGGCACAGTTTTGTATGCATAGGTCTTTTAATGAAAGATAAATCTGAAAATAGGTCCCAAGTGAAATATCATGATTACATGATACATGTTTTCATTATACTGGGATAAGCAGATAGGGCTTCATATATCTTAAAAAAAATATTCCTCATTATACCATGTACACCAAAGTTCTTCATAAATCAAGTACATGTATCAAACTGAGTCACTGGGCACAACAAACACAAAATGGAATGAAATACAGGATTCATGCTTACAGAGTCTAACATGGGTGTGTTCTCTTGCTCTGTTGTCACACTCTGTCTCATGAGGGCAAGATGTAGTGCAGTATCCCCATCCTCATCCTCCACCTTTAGATCCGCCCCACTGCTGACAAGGAGCTCCACAATGGAGGTGTGACCCTGAGACACAGCCAGAAGTAAAGGTGTTTGTTGTCTGTTGTTTCTGATCTCAATGTTGGCTTGACCCTGCTGACATGAAATGAAAGGTCAATTCACTATAAATAAACCTTAATGCACTAATACGAAAAAAGTCTCTTTGTTTTTTTTTTCTTTACAAACTTTGATTCTCTACTGCTGTCCCATCCTAGACTTTGAGGCATGAATTAAATAAATTGAAATCTAACTACATGTACTAGTATGCAAGGAGGCATTCACATGTTTTAGGTTTTTTTTCCTGGCCCAGAGGTTCTTGAGAAGAAAATTCTTTAATTGACCCACCATATTATATTTTCACTATTTAATTATTTCTCATTGAAAAAGGGTGTTCACATGTTTTGTTTTTTTTTCCTGGCCCAGTGGTTCTTGAGAAAAAAATTCTTTAATTGACCCACCATATTTTCACTATTTAATTATCTCCCATTGAATGAGGGTGTTGGTCTTCATTTGAACACACATGATTTCTCATTATGCAAGAATGCTTTGTGGCATATATGGTTGAAATTGAACAAGAAGTTCTGGAGAGAAAGTTAAAAATGAAAATTTTACAGACAACAGACACCCTTGGACAAAAATAACTCATTTGAACCCTTGGCTAATGTGAGCTAAAAAAAACTTTAGTATTAATGAATTAAAAGAAGCTACACAAATTTTACTTACTGATAATTCAAAGTAGAATGTAAACATAATTTAATAAAACTCAGAATAATTTAATTTTGGTTTTAGCCAAAAGTAATTATTTAAATAAATATTGTCCTATATCCTATTAGAAACATGCAATTCTGTTGATGCCACTGACTTGGGTCAGGAGAGAGTGAGTGACGTCCCGGTGTCCATTGAGTGCAGCCAAGTGTATGGCAGAGAACCCATCATCTTTCTTGATGTCAACTATCTGTCGACACTTGAGCAGAATCTTCTCAGTTGCACTGTTAATGTAAATAAGAACTTATCACATTCCATTTCAATGACCAAATAAATGCTTTAAATTACTTTAATTTGCCTACAATAAGATGTAAAAAAAAAATAATAAACTGCATAATACTCTCATTAGAAGAATAGAAACTTTTCATGGACAGATTTGATATTTTAAAACTCACAAGCTGTTTCCCTTCAGAGCAGCATGATGTAGAACGTTGAATCCTCGTTTGTTCTTCAGAGTGAAGTCAATACTGGGATAGTTAATGAGGCCCTCTATGATGTCCTGTTTTTCCTTACCAATAGCATCATGAAGAGCTGTGTCTCCATAGGAGTCCTGTCATAGAAAAAAACAAGTCATTGTTAAGAACACATAACTCTCCATGAAGGAACTTTACCTTATAGAAATAAGAGATAAGTGATTTATAGAATAAACAAGATAATTTCAAATTAATCTATTTTACATGTAAATTCTAACTGAATTTTAATCTCAGATTGACAAAAAAAAAAATACTGAACAAGCTACAATAAAAATGAGAAAAGAAATGCTCTAACAATATCCTCTTCTGATATAACTAATTCATTCAAATATTCATTGCCTTCTTTGCATACAAGCTTCATTCTACATATTAAAGCTACTTTTCAATTAACAATGAATCAGATTCATGCACTATGCTAAAATTGTAGTCAAAATTTATACCAGTACCTATCAACACTTCTCTGACTTGAGTTTTGCATGTCATCATGAAAGAATTCCTCTAAATGATCAATTTACATAATTGACATCTTAAACTTATTACAACTATTTACCTTCAAATAAATAATCTTGAGAGTACATATACTGTACGTGTACATAAATTTGTGTATTCAAAATTTAGCACAATCACTGGGTATCGAGTTGTTGGTGAAACCATGAATTAGCGCTTTACATGTCCGTGCCATATTTTGTATTTATAAATGATTTCTTAGCGCTATTCATGAATTAGCGCATCATTTTCTGTGCCAAAGCCGCTAAAATATGAAGCCCGCTTTTTTTAAGTACACAAACAGTATATATCACCTGTCTGTATCTCTCCATAATATGAAAAAAAGACACTCAGTATTGTATACCATTTACCTGAATGTTAACATTACACTTGTATTTGAGCAAGATTCGGACACACTCAGCATGCTGCTTGTTGACTGCTACATGCAATGTACTACATCCCCCATTGTTCAATGCATTAATTTGAGCACCTTTCTTGAGAAGCAATTCCATTACTTCAGGTTGGTTTCTGGTAAAAAATTAATAAATCAATAATTACAAAAAATGTGGGGGAAAAAAACCCATTATATCAAATAATTCAACTTGCATTGAACTCTGAAAGAAAGTTTACCTTTTATTATCTCTATAATGATATACATTTTCATTTGATTACCATACTGCTTATTCTAAATTAAAATTTTTATTTTTAAAACTTCCAAGATCTTTTTAGAATGCATCTCCAAATGAAACAAAGGAATCTGTTCCATAATAAACTGACCCAAAGGCTGAGTAATGGAGTGCCGTGTCTCCATCCTCGTCCTGTACGGTGAGTTTAGCGTTGTGAGCGAGCAGAATCTGGACAATCTCTTTGTGACCCTGATGACTTGCCACTTGTAGTGCAGACTTTCCCGAGCTCTTCTGGTCCACCTGTTAGATTAAAACACAAAGACATACCTGAATGTCTCAATAATTGTCTATAAATGACAAAGTTCAAAACATATATATGTAAAGAATATTCCAATTTTCTCTGACAGATAAGTACCATCAACTCATCTGTAAAATGTAATTATGAATAATCACATAAATTCATCTAGGAAGCATCACTTACTTTATCTGGGTGTTTCGTGACAATGTCCTTGACAGCCTCTGCATGACCTTGAGCTGCCTCTCTGACCAATCTCTCTGGGCCAGTGGTATCTGCTCTTATGTCCATCAACTGCTCCAGTAAATCCGAGAGAGTTGCTGTAAAAAATAACAAGTTAACATAAAATCATTATTTTAATGCAGATATCAAGTACGGTCAAACCTCGTTATCTCGAACTCGATGGGGAAGAAAAAATACTTCGAGATGTCTGAAGACTGGAGATATCCAGGGTAAAATATTTAAGGAATAAGCAGTTGAGACTTCCAAATCACTTTGACATATCCATGGTATTTGAGTTATCAGTGTTCAAGATACTGAGGTTCAACTGTATGGGTTCATAATTACACATTACTTTCTTTATAAAAGCAAGTCATGAACAAGAAATAATATGCTTTAGTATTGACTTACTAGAGTGATCATGCTGATCATGTCCTCCATTGGTGTTATTGATGTCTGGTTCTATTGATGGAACAATAGAACAACATGCTGGGTTGAAAGTCCATGTTTGATTGGCCACTGCAACTCGAAGGTCACCATCAGCGTATACCTTCAGCACTCTTCCCACTCTTCCAAGGGTCTGAAACAATAGTTAATATAATAACTATTTAGAATAGTTTCCTTTCATTGTCATAAAAGTTCAAAATCCAGGGACTTTTGATGTAGCTGAATTTTAAAAATTTACAATTTTCATTAAAAAGGAGGAATGGGGGTTGGGTCAGGAGGAGGATAAAAGTCCTGCACATGTATGGTCACAACAATGAGTTGGTAACTTACAGTTCTCATGTTCTCAGTCCATTCTCCATGACTTTTTTGAAGTTCTTTAACTTGATGTATATTGTCGGAGATCCTTACACAGTCATTGACAGCGAAAACATGCACCTAGTCAACAAACAAAAGTCACTTCCATGTAGTGATTTTAAGAATCTAGTGAAAATCAGCTTTAGACAAAATTTACATTTTGAATACTGAGGGTTAATTTTTTTCATTAGCTCCTACCTTTGTGAGTGCCCCAGGGTGAAATGTCCACCTGTTGGTACATCCTTCATACTGTACCCTAACGTCACCCCTCTCTGTGATTCTGTGGACTGTGCCAACCTTCCCAATGTACTGAACAGAACACATAAAATCAAAGATCTTAATACACATCAAATCTGACTTATCATCTCACAATATTGTGTCAATGTTAACACTCTTCTTTTTAAAAGACTTTCATGAATAACAATATTGTTTTTAATAACAAAATAAAAAAAATAATAAATAAAAAAATTATACCTCGGCCATGCGTGGGTTCCATCCTCCATGCCCTTCCTGCATACACTTTAGAATATCTGCATCTAAGTCAACACGGACTTTATCACCAACTTTGAACTGACAAGGAATTCCACCCTGGGCAACAACATCTGGAAACTCTCCTGCAAGGTGAATTTCATAATGGATATTCTAGAAGTATGAAATTTAATACTTGAACATACAGAATATAAACAAGTTTAAACTCTCAAGATATTATCTCTAACTAGTCCTATCCACACACATTAAAGACCAAAACATTGATATCAGCATTCTCTGTTGACCATCATTACTTATGTACCTAGTTTACCTAGAACAGGTAGGTGTTCCTTATAGTAGCTCCATCCTGGAGCAGCACTGATGTATTTCAAGTCCACTTTTCCTTTATGTCCCACTCTGTATACATTGGTTGACCCAGACTGCCAGGTCACATGAGCAACGCTCCGACCAGATTCCGAGTCCCATCCTCGTATGTCAGTTGTCTTACCTATCTTTCCCTCTCCACCTGTATTAGATCAAATAAATATTTCTTTATAGTCTGTATAAATTATGATGCTCATATATATTTCAATCTACCGTTTGTCCAAAGGCTCAAAATTGAATACACACAATCCATTATCCATCATCCTAAAACAGAAAGTGAAAGTTGGAATATTTTCTAGTCCTACCATCCTGATTTCCCCAGTCCCAGTCCGGCCCTCTGATGACCTTGGCACCAGCAAATATGCCATAGGACTGCAGTTTGGTGCTATTTTGAGTGTCCCTTCTCTTTGGCATTTTTTCACTACAATAAAATTTATGATCAATTATTGCAATCAATAAAATTTGCACATGTACGAAATGATTTTTCAAAAGTGATTACCATTACAGATATATCATATTCCAAAACACATCAAAACATTTTAAATAATTCTATGAGTGTGTTAGTATTTCTATTTATTTTCATGATATATTTTATTTGGGACAATCACTTACCCTCTGGAAGAAGCATTTTCAATTCTGAGAAATGCATGCCCTAGATCATGTTTGTCTGCCATATAACAGGCTGTACAGAGGTCAAAGTCATGACATTTGGTGCATTTCCATCTCATGCCCTGGATTCCTTGTTTCTTACAGGCATCACAAATTATGTTCTGATGCTTAACACCTATCAACACCAAAGCACTTTGTAATACATGTATCTATAAATGGTCATAAAATTGAATTCTAATAATGTAAAATTACTAGAAGCAGTTAATGTGTTGCAATGTTTAAATCATATTTCCCAAAGCAACATTACACTGATCTCAATCATAAATGCTTGGGAAAATTTGATATAAGGTTATATGTGGTTTTCTTTAACTTTGTTAATATGTAACATTTTTTTCATACCAATGGGTGCATTGTCTAACACTCGGAGATCATATGCTCCTTGATAGCCCACACGATAGTTTGTCCTTGAACCAGAATCCCATTGCACAACCACAGTTTTGTCTGGTGATGTGGAGCTTCCTGGCTTTCCAATTTCCACCACAGTCCCCACATGTCCCTCCCCATCATCCTGGTTTCCCCACTTCCAGTCAGGACCTCTGACAACTCTTAATCCAACCTCCATTGAGCCTGTGTTAAAAACCCCAAATACGTAAGTCTAAAATAATAATAAATTGACAAAACCAAAAGAATGAGTTATACATGTATATGCATGTTGTTTTTGTCATTTTTATGATTCTTGTATTAAAAAAAAAACTAAAAAAAAAGAAAAATTATCAACAAACAGAGAACTTCTTTGGCAGATGATAATTAACAAAAACTTTTGGATTTTTTTTTCTATTTTCCTTAATTTCTACCAAAAAAATATCTGAGTTAAAGTGAACAATATGTTGAACCCTAGTACAATGGCATTGATAGTTCTTATTCAAATTATCAATGGTGTCTGATCAACTCCTACCTGACTTACTAGACTATTTACAAATATTCAATCAACTCGTAAAAAAATGCAATGTTGGTAACAAGTTGACTTCCACCTTTTGGTTACTAGATGATACTTTGGGTTCAACCTGACTTAGTTATGTGTCGATCAGGCTACTAGTTGACTTAATACCATTCGAATGGCTTATCTGCAGTATTCATAAAGCAAAATACATGACCCTATCCTAAGTGACACTCACTTTGTACTTAAATTTGATGTTGTATATCTACAATAATTTAATGTTTTAAAGAAACATTTAACTGGGTAGAGCAATTATAAGTATTTCTCATCTCAACTTTTAGAAATAAAACGCTGAAAACCCTAAAGAAATATATATTTTAAAAAAAATGTAACACTTAACCAAAGACATTTTCTCCACCTGTGGATCAAGCTTATCAATATACTGCTGTGTGAACTTCTAAAGACATCTACACATATACATGAATATTACCTGACTGCTACAGTTGACAATTTGTCTTATCATGCACAACGTTTTTAAGGAGACAAAGTCTGACAGTTTCTCATTTTTGATATGGGAAAAATGTACCGGAAGTAGGTTTTTCCCCTCAGCAGTAAATAAAAAGTGAAGTTCCCTTATATGTTATAATACGTTATGAATTCATGTTAACCGCTCTCTTTTCATCGATTTTTTAATTAAATTTTACTTAATAATTTGGTAATATCAAGTATTTGATGGACGCAACATTTTTACGATACTTTTGTTTACAGAAATTTCCAAGAGTTTACATACTCCCTTGTAATTTTTGCATTATGAAAAATTAAATATCTTCTTCAAAGTATGATGTCTTAAAATTTGCGCCATGTAATTAAATATACAATATTATGTTTGTTTCTTTAATTAATTTTCTTTGGATAATTTTATTAGACATAAAAACTTTAGAGTATTTGTCATCGCACTTTAAAATGAGTGTTGTAAGGAATCTGTCGGAAACGAAATTTAAATTGAATGGTTCATCAAATTCATATTGACAGTGAAGTTTAAGACAAAACTTATACCTCATAGAAATGAATTATCATCATTGAATTTCAAATTTCTTCAATAGATATCATTAATTTTGGTTCTTAATTTTCAGACAAAACGAATTTTCGGAATCGAGCTCACCTTCCATACGGTTCACTTACTAAGAGATCTACGGGGCAGCCATTTTGATTTTAATTGTAAACAGTCATTGTGGGATCTTTTCTAGCTTTCTCCTTCCTTCGGGATGGAAGAAACAAAAATTATATACTACATTGACGATGAAGATACTCCATATCTAATTAAGCTACCAATACCTGCTGATCGAGTAACATTAGGCGATTTTAAGAATGCATTGAATCGACCGAATTATAAATTCTTTTTCAAAAGTGTGGATGATGACTTTGGGTGAGTTTCATCGTGATCTGCATGTTCGTTGTGCATGGAGGTGATTGTATAGATCTCAATATTACTGTCAATATAAGCAGTATACAATCAACGAAATGACTGAAGCTCATGCATTTCACAACATTCCCGTCTAAGCTGTGTGCATGTGAAAGATTTGTTCAACCAGTATTATTGAAAATACAAAAATTAAACAAGTTCTGGGGTTTAAAACTTGCATGTCTTAATAAGTTACGTGCATGTTATAGTCTCAAAAGTTATTTTCATAACCTTTGATGCCAGAGCTTCATATATTTGCAAATTAAAGCATGTAAAGCATGACATCATTGCACATGTTGAGAATAGATTGACAAGCCAAAAAAAAAAATTATATACTTAGTATCTATAAAAGTAATATTTATTTATTCAATTTTTTTTTCATAATTCTTATCGTCTTTTTACAACTTATGTATAGATATTTGGCTGATGTGGGGGTATGTAATGGTATTTACTGATTCCCTCTGTCAGTTTCTCTGTTGCTCTTCGCCAAGTTGTCAAAGTATATCCCCAGCACTGGTACAAGCAAAATGGGATCTAATTCATAAATTAATTGAAAATGTACCGCAGTGGTAATTTTGTCAAGATTGTAGAGCAATAAATTCTAAAAAGAAGCTTAATTGTTAATATAAGGAACTCATACACTTAAAGATGAGTCTTTTCAACTGGAAATGCTAGAGTTTGTAATAAGACTGGGTTGAATGATTAAGATAAGAGTGATGATACAGTACTAAAGATGTTGATCATACTTTGGACATGCCAATACTTTAAAAAGTCAGTGAATTGTAACAACAGATTCTTTTCAAAGTTTTATAAGTGATACCAATAAATGGTATCATTTCCAATGCCAAAAACATTGATTTTTTCCCAATTCTAAGATTGTAAATTCCTAATGCAACTGCTCAGAAACACACCACATTGACATTGTAGTTAACTTAGTATAAAATGTACAAATTGACTTAATTTTTCACTTCCTTTTAAATCAAAAGTAGAGATGAATCCTCATATTATGGTGAAACGTGTTGTAAACAGCCTTCTTGCACACATAGGAAGTGCTTGGCATTACTGACAACTTTAAAAATGGAGCAAGAGATATTAATATTAAATACTTCTTATTTTTTCTTTAAAACATGGATTAATAGTTGTTAATTTTAGAATAAATGTCTTTTGTTGATATGATGGAAAATTCTCAGTCGTATTTCGACTTCTTTTACCCAATGGAATGAGTATCGGTACCATTTTAATAACGGATTGACAGGGAAAATGAGCTAAAACACCTATAGTTAGTAAACAAATGAGTGTGAATGGTTATGTTCACTTGTTTGACTTAACTGTAGTTCTTACTTCTTAATCTGTGGTTTTATTCTGATTACATGTATGACATAAATCAGTAAATGGTTTTCTTCTAGTTGAATACATAATTGATGCGACGTATGTCATATGGCATTTGGAAAGTTCTATTATTTACATATTGTTTATATTTATGGTCTTGTTTTTAAAATCAGAAGTCTACTTGAGGTGAAAATGCAAAGATGCAGAGAAAAAAAAAATCCAGAATATTTGAAATTGATGGTAGTGGCAGTATTTGTTCAAGGCAATTCATAAGATGGCAGAATTAGCTTTGAAAATGTTTACATATACATAGTATATATCATAGTATATATTGTAGATCTTGTAAGCAGTGATCATTACAACTAAATACTGGACAAGCAGTTTGTGAAATATTTGTGTGAAATTATAAATAAATATTGTAGCACAATTACACACATATATAGATATTCATGATAATTCTTTACCGATTTTATTATGGATTTATTTTGGAATGTGTCTAAGTTATGGGTTAAACATGGTATGAGTAAAGAAAAACATACTGAATTGCTATTTCCACTTGAAATGTTGGGATTGGACCCTGATAGACTTATTGTGCTGCATGATGTCATTGTCAATGTTTATTTATATTTACTAAATAAAATGATTAAATTTAATTACACTTGATATTGTAGGGTTGTAAAAGAAGAAATAATTGATGATGAAGCTAGGTTACCATGTTTCAATGGACGTGTTGTGTCATGGGTAAGAAATCAGGTTTAAAACATGTTAAACATTTGGTGTTAATTATGCCCTGTAATGTCAGCCAAGGAGAGAAATATTTTGAAAGCTGATTGATGTAAAACACTTAAGTGTTACATAATAATACGCATGTTCATAATATTTTGAAAATTTCTTCAATTTTTTTTTTCCTTGGAGTCTGGGGAGTTTATTGTCTTAAAAAAAGATTGAAGAGTAGAAATTTTGATGAGAAGTAACAGATTTCACCAGATATTTGTATTACAGATAGTGATACAACAATATATTGTGTGGATTTTGATATTGCAGCTGGTTCCTGCGGAGAACAGCACATCTGATACTCAGTCCCAGTGTACAGATTCCGGGACAGGCGATGTTCATGTTCCACCAGAAAGAGTGGGGGGTATAGGAGATAGTAGACCACCATCATTTCAGTAAGTGTCATGATAAAAACTGGTCAGTCAAGATAGATAACTCCTGTAGTCTTTACTAAAAATTGTCATAGAGCTCCTGATGACAAAAGGTTTATTGAACCTTGGAACAAAAGTATAAAATAAGCTTTCAAAATCTTTATTTGGTTTCTTTTGCTATGAATGTGAATATTTGACATGAGAATACATGATTATAACATAACAACTGTGTTTATTCAGTGGATACAACTCATATAAGTACAAGAGTATAGCAAGTCATTTACATTTATTGGCATAGTAGTCTAGAACAAAAAATAAAAAAAAAAAAGAAATTGTCATTTTTAAGTACATTTTAAATCATATATTGTAGTATAGAAATTGTAATTTTTATGTATTGCAAGAAGAAGAATTTATTAATAGATAATTTATGCATAATCCATTGTGTGAAGCATAGAATTGATTAGTAGAGGATTTATGATTTGGCTAGTATGTAAATGGATATTATATAGAAACAATTATTTTAAAGCACATTTGTTCATGTATGTACATCTGATATCATGCACCATATAGGATTTCTCTTGTGTTTCTCGAAGCATTTCATGATTTTTGGATAATTGTTTTATGCTTCTCATTGTAGTGCAAATGCTTCTGTTGTTAGTCGTGACCAAACCTGTGATACCTGCACAGAAACTGATTCAGTTCTAAGCTCGCGCCGCGGTAAGTTCTGAGAGTAATGTGCAATATTTGTAGTATGTATTAATGCACTGCATGGTTTGAAATTTAATTTATATATCATGTACTCCTATAGTAGTATGTAGAGTAGAAAGTTTGAATAAAAATTGCATTATTTAAATATCATTTTACCTTTCAACAAAAAATATTTTTTGAGTAAATCTGCACCATACAGTGACAGTGTTATGTTACACAATTACAACTTATATGTATTATTCCAGGGTTCTCACTAGGATTTTGCTAACTTGGGTCCCAGGGCTCAAGATTTCTGACAAGGTTGCGTCCCAGCTAAATTTGATGCGTCCCAGAAAAATTATGTTGAGTCCCAACTGAATTATTGCAGTGTCCTTCCATCCAAACATCAAAAAAAATCTTTCATTTTTTTAACAGTTTGTTTACGAAATATTAACACATTCAAATAGGTAAACTGGTGATGCATCCAAGCCAAAGTATTCTAAAATACATGCGTTATCAACTGCCATAAAAATAAACTTGGTGTTTATAATGCTAAAATTAACTGTTGCATAATCAATTAGTACCCTAAAGTTGACTGTATACAAACACAGGTGTCATGTGCAATAAGGCATAGCTAATCCTGTCGATTGTCTGCACTGGGTGAAATTCACGAGATAATCAAGCCGCATTGTGTATACAAGCAGTAATTATGGTTTCTAGATAAAACTCAAGATTCAAAAGTGTTTAAAAAAAAAGCTGCTTTGTGTTTACAGCTATTGGAGTTTGACATGCAACACTATTATGACTGTGGACTAATAAACATGAAATATCTTATAATCAATCCCTGTTTTTAAAAAAAATAGAAATAGGTACAAGAAAAGTTGTTTCTAAGATAAACTTTATGATAGTTACAGGAAGGTTCCGATTAAATGTTTCTTTGACAAA